TTTTTTTTTTTTTCCTTAGAGGCATAATCATCTCAGAGACCCAACAATTACCTTCAGACTACGGTATATTTAACCGCCATTTCATCTGTTCATTCATGAACAGCTTGCACAAAGCGAGCCGTTAGTTGAAAAGTTAGTTTTTAATTTGTGGAAAACTTCAGGCAAGGCCGATACCGTTGGGGGGGAAACATGATCACGGCACGCATTTTAAAAAGTGGAGCTTTAATGACATTGGTGTGGCAGCCATGTTGACTTTTTTGTCCCTATGGAGGCATATCCTGATTTTCAGGAAGGTGCTCAAGGCAGCAAAGGATCTGATTTTTATTGTGGTTTTATCTGCATGGTGTTAACGGAATAACAGAACAGAACAACAGAGTTGGAAAGGACCTTGGAGGTCTTCTAGTCTAACCCTCTGCTCCGGCAGGGAACCCTATATTATTTCAGACAAATGGCTGTCCAATCTCTTCTTAAAAATCTTCCAGTGATGGAGCACACACAACTTCTGAAGGCAAGCAGTTCCACTGGTTAATTGTCCTCACTGTCAGGAAGTTTCTCCTTAGTTCTAGGTTGTTTCTCTCCTTGATTAGTTTCCATCTTTACTCCCTCTTCTTTGTGACAACCCACAAAAAAGAGGGTTTGTGTTAAGAGGGTTCTTTCTTTTTTTAAATAGCTGTAAAAACAGCAGGAGTTTTGGATTGCAGCAGTAAATAAATGAGAGAAAGGCATAACAAGAAAGAAAGAAAGAAAGAAAGAAAGAAAGAAAGAAAGAAAGAAAGAAAGAAAGAAAGAAAGAAAGAAAGAAAGAAAGAAAGAAAGCAGATTTGTTCTGTTGTGGTGTGCTAAGAACGGCTTCCCGCCAGTCGCAGAAGAACTCTGCCGATATTATTAATGCTACTAGTTTTATTTTTTACTGATTACTCTGCACTTAGCTAATGATTTAAGAAGCTGGTGGGATCCCTGTGCCAGCTGCGACAGACAAGACAGCCACATGTGTGTGTGTGTGTGTGTGTGTGTGTGTGTGTGTCTTTCTGTGTTCTAACTGGATTGAGAACTGTGTACAGTTCATTTAGAGATCCATTCTGGGCTAAGGCAACAAAAAATTAGCTACCGGTTCTGCCAAACTGGTGCGAACTGGCTGAATCCCACCACTGGACAGAACGATGTGGTTTTAAGAGATTGGGTTAGGTTTGGATCCACTTCTGTTACAATAGAGCTCTTGTTGACTCGGGATTAGGAGTAATCGCTCATTCTTGTCCTACCTCAAAGAGTTGTTGTAGGGAAAAGTAGGCCAGGGAAAATTATTTGGTTCCTGGGTAGAAATGTAATGAAAATAAATAAACAAGTAAAATGCAAAATGTCAATTTAATCTTTAAAAAAAAACAGAGGAAGCCAACTGTTCCAAAACTCTGAAAATAGCTTTAGTCAACCTTGAGGCTTATTTTTTCACTCTAAACCTTTGATGGCTACTTTTGAAAAGGAATTGAAATGTTCTGCAAATATAATGGCATATTTACTCTCTCTGTGTGTATCAGCACCGAATGTTAGAATTGCACTTTGGCTTCCTTCCTTTATCAACTAAAAATAATATTTATGCTGACCTTGGTTTCCCACTCCTAAAGGAAATGTTTGCGATAGTTTTTTTTTTGTGTGGAATCTAATTTGTTTAATCACCTCTGATGGACTGAGTAACATTCATCTGGCAATCAGTCTAACCAATACTTCAGAACACAAGGGTATGCTGAAAATTCTCCTTTGCAAACATAGTGACTGAATCCACACAAGCAAAGTCAAAATTACAATTAATGGTACAATTAGTGCACCATGTAAGCATAACGTAACAGTCGCCTGCTAATGTAACACTCTGGTGTATTTTATGACTGCCGCAAGTATGTATTGCTGGAACATGAGGAGAAGTGAAGTCAAAACTAAACTAAAAGCTCTTAAGCGGAAAGAAAATTATTTCAAGAAAAAGCTATTTTGGCTCAGGGACATTAGCATTTCTTGTCACCTCACTTCCTGCTTTCTTTTTTCTTTCTTTCTTTCTATTTTTTGCATTATTCTGTTTAGCTACTTCAGCTTTGGTTGCTGAGCAAAAGTGAAGAATCTGGAGGGGCTAACTTACTGGTTTTCATTTCCCCAATAAACTCTTTACGGAGGTGTCCGACCTTGGCAATTCAAAGAACTATGGACTGGCTGGGGAATTCTGGGAATAGAAGTCCACAAGTTTTAAAGTTGCCAAGGTTGGACTCCCCTGCTGTAATCTTTTGTCCAGTTAATTTCTGCCATTCTCCCCCTTATGATTGAACTCTCGTTCTTCTGATCAGAACGAAGTCCTTTTGGATCCACCTATGACTCATGGCTTAGTCCCCACATCACATGTTGGCTTCATGTCCTTGGCCTACCATGGTGTGTAGATCCAGATGATTGTAGCTGTCAAGCTACAATCCCCCTAGGTGTTTAATAAACACAAGGCCGTCATGTTTCTGTCTACTCAGATAAATTTCCTGATTGAGGGTATCCTTTCAAACAAGATCTCATGGTTGAAAATGGTTGTGCCCAAAGAAGAGCAATTAAGAGATTGGTAGGCCTGGACTCAAAACCATTCCTTCCATCTTGGGTGGTGGAGATTAGCTTTTGCACCAGTCGATAGGAGAACCATGGGATTCAGATGGTCAACTCAAGCCTGTAGGCCAGGGGTAGGCAACCTTGGCTCTTTAATGACTCATGGACTTCAACTCCCAGAATTCCTGAACCAGCCTTGCTGAGGGGAAAGGGAGAAGTTTCCAAGCTAGCCATGCTGGCTCAGGAATTCTGGGAGTTGAAGTCCACCAGTCATAAAAGAGCCAAGGTTGCCTACCCCTACTCTAGAGGTTAAGGCACCAGGCTGGAAACCAGGAGAACTAGTTCCACCTTTAACATGAAAGCTGGTTGGGTAACTTTGGGCCAATCACCTGGAGATGGGAAGTTTTAGTCCGGCCTTAGACATGAAAGCAGATTGTGTGACCTTGGGCCAATCACCAGGAGATAGTGAGTTCAAGTCCTGTCTTAGGTACAAAAGCTGGCCGAGGGATTTGGGGTCAGTCCCTTTCTCTCTCTCTCTCAGCCCATGCCACTTTACGGGATTGTTGTTGCAGAGGGAAATAGGAAGAGGAAGGTGTGTTAGATATATTCACCATTTCATTATTTGCAAAAATAATAAATGCAGGATAGAGACAGACAGACAGACAGATAATTGTAGAGAGAAGAATCGATGCATTTTGTTTCGACTTGGAAATAAAGGACTTGGCGTTTGAAACTGAAAAAAAAAATCCAAACATTAATTTAAGGTTTCAATAACTAGATTGACTTTGTTGTTCTAGAAATGGTTTGAAATGGAAACGTAAGGCAAAAGATAGGATTAGGGTTTTGCATTTTACTTCACTGAAAAAAGTCAAAAGTCATTACTTTTTTTCTTTCTTTCTCTTTGCGCCTCTCTTCTTCCTTCTGTATTTTTCCTGGCTTTTGTTTCTATTTGCATTTTATCTTATGATAAACTTTAATTTAAAAAATATATTCTAAAACTGAACAAAATACCGATTTGGGTATTTGCTAAGAATACTCTGCATGGTTCCCATCTTGGAGTCTGCAGGAGTTAAATTCACTTCAAAAGAGACTTTACCTTTAAAAACGTTTTTGAAAGTTTCTCTCTCCAATATTTATTAACAGCTGCATTTTATTGAGCAACCAAGCTAACCTTTCTCCCTCAAGCATCTACATTCTGGAATTTGATTTAACTTCAGCAAACTATGATGTAAAATGATTAAAAGGTGACTCAAGCTAAGATTCAAAGAAAGTTGAAACGCTTGATTTTTGCTTCTTCTTGAGTTTTACGATTATGAAGATTTCCTTTTTAGGAGAGAAACCAAAGGAACTCCATAGATTTGAGGGAGGAGAGGCTTTGCACCTCCCCCTCCCAGGTGCTTTTAAATCCAATACCTAGGATGGATTCTTTTGTTTCACGCTCAGTTAAATGTTTCCCGCCCAGTAAAATAAATGTTTCCCAAGAACTAAAAAATAAAGATAAGGAAAAGTTCTAAGATACACCCTGTGCTTTACGAGTTCCAGTTCCCAGAATTGGGTTTTTAAATACAGGAAGAAGGAAGATGCTGGTCAAATTATTTTTCTTTTTCTTTTTGTTTTTAGTTTCACCGCAGGGCTTAATAGAATAAATGTTATTCCCTCCACAAAGCTGCATAGCCAAGATTGTCAGTGCAGAAAAGCACCCCCTACATCCTCTGGAAGATGGCCTATCAATTGTCAAGATTTTAGCCCCTTTCAACTGTTCAACAGCACATGTCGTTGGGAGGAAAATCTCAATTCTGAAAGTTTAGCCCAAACTGGCTATCTACTAAGATATATTTCTTTTCAATAATTCCTCTTCCCCACAGTTCTGCTATTCTATAGCTGTCTCTTATCTAAGTATTAGTCAAGTCTGATCATGCTCAGCCTTGAAACATGTCACTGCCCCCAGCTATAGAAATCTCTGTCCATCTCTCTCAACCATGGAACACCGATGCTCTTTGATGACACGGTCAAGACAGCCCTGCTCCCAGTTTTTTTTTACTGGAACGCTTGCAGAGGGCCTGGTCTTCAAAGCCCAGAGAGAATTTTTTGGTCCTGCATTAAGTGTTGCCTAAAGGAAATGAACTCAACGTGGGTGAGAAACTGCTTTCGTAGAATTGGGGTTTTAAGAGAAGAAACATGCATGTAGAAACACACCCAGCAAGAGTTGATTATCTCCCGGGGTGTATTGAATCACACCGAACTCTTGAAGTATTCCTGCATGATTGTTGGTGTGACTAACACAGAGCTCCTCTTAAACAGATTGCTTCATTGGTAGAGTCAAAGTCCTGTTTACGTGGAAGTGAGTTTTAACTTTTAAAGTTACTTAATAGTGCAAACAGGAGCCTTTGTCTATAGAGTTTCATTTCTGTCAAACAACTTCCATAGTGCTATTGATGCTAATGTTGGACAAGGGGAAAGAGGACTGAAAGCTTCCATTCTTTCTATATGTATCACACATGTAAAAAAAAAAGAGGTCTGCTTGTGCCTATATTTTTGATTCAACCCTAAGGAAGGTCTTGACTGAAATAATGTATGTGACATGCTTTTTAATTTAGGACAATATTTTTCAACCTTCAAGATGCATTGGCTTCAACTTGAGAAGATCAAACTGGATTTATGCTATTATAACTGGAAATGTGAAAGTTGGTCCTATATAACCAAAACATAGTAAATAATTGATTTACATTGAATTGTTCCAGCAAATTCTTTTAATGTGGCCTATTGCAGTTGTACATAAAATAGCTAATGGTAACCTGGGTATATTTAAATAACACACCTGTGATTTTAACAACTGATTGTTGAAATGTGACCTCTTGGGGAGAAATTACCCCCAAATAGGTGCCTTGTAGAGAAGGTTTTAGGGCATTGCGAGTTTTTATTCGTTTATTAGGTTCCCTGATTGTGCTGCTCTGTTGGGTTTATGTATTAGCAAAAATAGGATTGTAGCTTTAAAATACAGCCAGGCTTACTCTAACTCATAACTCCTCCTTCTGGAAGGGGTGTTTGTTTAAATTGAATGCCTTTCAGCCTAGAGTAATTTGATTATTGTCATCTTCTTAGGAAAGCCTATTTGCCTTTTTGCTCTTGGTGGTGTGAATACATCCATTTTTAGATCATTGCACTCTATTTCTTCTCTTCCCCTATGAAAAATATTTGGCTGTCTTGCAAGAAATGGATTTTTTTTTAACCCCAGATGTGGTATTGAGAGCTTGGCCAAATTTGGTAAGTTTGTTTGGGGTGATTTTCTTCAGTCTCATTCTGGATTTGGCTTCAGCGGGACCTGGCATAGGGCAAAGATTTAAATTTTATAAGCCGCTCAGACTCACCTATGGTGCAAGTTGAGCGGCTAAATAAATTTGTTTATATAAATAAAATAAAGATCTAACTCTTGTTTATACCCAAAGGAAATTTCCAGGCAAACAAATGCAAGAAGTAGCTAAACCAGAATGCCTGCTTCAAGTATTCCCCCCCCCCTTGAGCAAAAGGGAGCTTTTTAAAAGAATTGCAAATGGGTTACTTGCTTTAAAAAATGTGTTTTTCTTTAAATTAGGAACTAATTGAAATATCAGCATTTGTTAGGCAATCTTTCAAATTAGATTTCCTGTTCTTTCTATTAATTCTATTGAATTGGTTTCCTTTTCAATATGTGTGATGCCTTTAAAAATCATTTGGGAATGAACCACTTGGAATAAGCCACTTTTCTGTCATTATAATGTCTGTCCAGTCCTGCCAGTAACACAGATTATATTATGCAAACGTGTTGCCTGTAAATCAGCTGAGCTTTCCCTTGAGGTCAAAGTGTGCTGCCTTTCTTTTAGTACGTGAAAAATATATTTTCTGTTTTGTTTTCCCCAAAGTTTATTTTTAAGAATTAATTTAATGCAAAAAATGTTTTGCTTCAACTAATATTTTCAAAAGCAGATGTATGTATTAGAAAATTGAATCAAACTGAACATAGCAAAGATGTGTCCCTGTATCTTTTAAAAAAAAAATACAGATGCATTTTCCTATTACCATTTCCGGATGTTTCCTTCCCCCCCCCCTCTTTCTGGATGCTGGAATTCCACAGCCAACTGCCAGTCCTGGGTTGAGTGGTTGTCATGGGAATGCCTCTCTAGGAACAGCATCTCCTCTTTTTTGCTGCTGCTGGACCAGCCTTATGGGCTTTTGAGTGTCCCAAATCGGAGGATCCCCCATCCCTATTTTAGAACCCTCCATGGACCCCAAAGTGCCAGATCCGGTGGGCATTGAGATTAAAGTCGATGACATTGTTTTTAACAAGCATTGCTTCTGTTTTTTGTATTGTAAGCCACCTTGCCATCTTTGGGGATTTGAAAGGCGGACTACAATAATTAGGGTGGGGCAGATTAAATGGCTTGTGAATTGGGACCAGGGGATGGATTGGACATGGTGTGGGGGGGTTGTTAGTCCTAACATAAGATGGGCTACGTAGTTTCTTAGGTTGTTTCAGACTGTGGTTTTGCATCCCCTGGTCGTGTTGCTGTGGCTTCTGGGAACTGGGGCCTGAAATTTTGGGATTACTTATCTCTGTGAAATGGGGAAGGGAAGGACCTCTTTATTTTATATTTGTGTCATATTAATCAGCAATCACCTTCATAATCTAACTATATTTCTGATAAAGAGTTTGAAATATAAATCAGAGATGGAGTTGCTATCTCTTACTAAATCAGTGTTTCTTCTTTTGGTTTACTGACCATCTCAAATTCCTGGATTCAGGCCTCACACTGAGCCTTAAATCATGGCTTAAAATTGTGCTAGATACATTCAGCAAGCTACACTGCAACAAAGCAGACTATGGTTTGGTTTAGTAAGTGGACAAACTGTGATTAAAGCAAGCCAGGTGTAGCAGTGTGTGTGAATCCCAATTTTGAAGTTCAAGCAGATTGCCACCCTCACTTTTATGGTGTTTGGGGATCCAACATCCTGATGGGTGGGTGGGTGGGTGGGTGGATGGATGGATGGATGGATGGATGGATGGATGGATGGATGGGTAGATAGATAGATAGATAGATAGATAGATAGATAGATAGATAGATAGGGAAGGAAGGAAGGAAGACCAAAGGAGGGAGGGAGAGAGAGAGAGAGAGAGAGAAAGGAAGGAAGAAGGAAAGGAAAGGGAAAGGAAAGGAAAGGAAATATGGATATACTAAAATACAGTTTCTATTTTAGGGACGAAAATGGACAAGCTGGGAATCTAGGTGTGTGTGTTTCCATCCTACATGGAGATATCTTGGAAGGGTCCTCCAAGATTTTAATCTTCATAGAGTTAAAAAAAAGTGGGCTGGAAGGAAAAAGAATGTCCACTGACACAACTACAAGGAAATCTGGCCGCACATCACACAAAACCCTTGTTGAAATACATCTTCCAGTACAGGATGCCCTTGAGATTTTTTGGCCTGTGGCTTTCCTTCCAACCACTTTCCCGGCAACCCGGCTATATTTTATTTCCACAAGTCCTTCCTCCACCAAAGCCAAAAGAGGAAGGACATAGTCTTAGTTTCTCTTTGTCTTTTTTCTTTTGGTTCTGATCAGCTTTTTCCAGAGAAGTGTTTAGGTCATAAAAAGATTTTGGAACTTTAGCCAATCTCAAACCAGAGAAACTATCTAGGTCATAGGAGAGAAGGGAAAAAAAGTAACTAAAAAGCTGCTGCCTTTTTATCTGAGTCCCTTTCCATTTTCCATTATGAGAAAGCTGGACTGGATAAAGATGGACTGTGAATCGGCAACAGTACGTTGGTCTTTTTTTCTCGCTCTCTTCCTTCTTTTCTGACACTTTAGAACCAAAAGCTCCCAGGTGGAAACCTTTCTGCAACCAGGAAAGTTTGAATCTCTGACACCAAAGTTGATTCTGGGGCATTTTTGATGTTCCTTTGACTCCACATGCATTCTCTAGAACACTCCTTGATAGCCACGTGGAAGGGCATGTTGTAGAAGAAAATTGACTTTGAACTTCTTTAGTTTAAAATGCCTTTTTTTTTAACCAAGGAACTCTTCTGTAGAACTTACTAGAGTACCTCCAGAATGGCAGGAAGCTGTTGCTGGAGAAGGTTCTTGCGTATATTCCAGCAAAGATGGTTAGTGAAGATGGTTGGTGAAGATATTGGTATGAGATTGGAGTCTTCTGTGTTGGTGGTAGAGCTGGCAGCCTTGTTAGGATTCAGGCAGGCGTCACTGTTGATTTCCATTTGATCTAGAAAAGTTCAGAATTATCCATTTGTTCCTTCGAAGTCTGCTGTGGTGGTCCTATGAGAATTAAAATTGATGTTCTTCAGAACTGTTGAACCTGAGTTTTTCAGAAATGGGTGGTATGTCAAATAAACTGTTGTCCTTCCCTTTCTGACCGACATTCCTGTTCATGCTGGGAGTCATTACAAAACCAGTTATGTTATCCAGTTGAGCAAGATGGTTGCTCATCACATTGATGCTGTTTTCTTGCCAATGATGTGGTGGTGGGGGGTTGCCTTTGCTTCCAGATTGTTCTTTTTAATTTTTATCTAGGATCTCAACAGGGTGGACGAGAATTAATAGGGCCATCTTTTCCCACTGAATGTTTTCCAAATCATTGAGATGCATAATGCAATTTGTAAAGATTTGGGGAATTCTGCCGACGCTGCCTTCTTTAATTTTGTTACCTCTACTGTTTGGAAACTCTGTGGGAACTTGGTTTTTTTTTTTTTTTTGTATTTTCAAAACATTTACTGTGCTAATTCTTTGTTTGATGTTACTCTTTGCTGCCCTGTGGATTTCAGTTGGATGAAAAGGCAGGATATACATTTCTTTTTTAAAAAAATTGAGTGGGATTGCTCGGTTAGAATTTAAAATGGGAGAGAAACACCATCGATTCTTGGCACGAGGTTTTCTGCTGTTTGTGAAAACGGTAATTACTACCTGTCACATAAATGTTGCAATGGGGAAAACTGCATAATTTCTGCATAATAAGAAAGACCGAACTCATCCAATGCCTAGAAATTCTAGATGCTGCTCTAAAAGAATAAAAATAATTCAGAATTTTCACTGTTTGTGGGGACTTCTGCGGGATATCTTAAGATCGGAGAGTCTGCCTTTCCTCTAATGTAAGAATGATTGGACTTTTCCCCAGAAATCAATGTGAACAGTGTGCTCACAGCTGCTGGTTAAACCAGATGATTCCAATGTGGTACGCTGCCAATGAATTGATGTGGTTGTCCATTCTTGGTTTACATCTTCACTGCAAAATCTGGAATTTGTTCTTTCAACACAATATGACAGCAGCAGTTGGAGAAAGCTGCCTTTAGTAATTGGCAAGGAACCTTTATGCATAAATTTGCATTAGTGGAAGAGCAAATTCCTAGAACATTAACACACACAAACGCATGGATCATTCACAACTTCATAGTTTTTCTTGTTTTATAGTTCGCTGGGGAAGAAAAGCGATTTGGGACTCGGACAATAGTGGTTGGCCACCACTTGGTTCCTCATATTGAAGCTTATGTGCCCCCAAAGTTCTGCTCCAATCGGATCGTCTCCTCCAAGGTAGGGGTTGATGGAACTTAATTGGTTGGATCCCTCTGCACCAGGGCCAGCTTCAGGGTGATCCATGCAATGCCTCCTTAGAATGCAGAGGATCTTTCCCCAACTGATTGCCTTCCAGAAGTTTCCAGGTGTATAGTCCATGCTGGTTGGGAATGATGGAAACTGTAGTCTGACTTAAGATATGGGAACGGACCTCAGATCGTCACACTTGTTGATTTTACAGTTCCAGTATCAAGAGAGTTTAGAGCAAGGTTGTCCAACCTTGGGAATTTTAAGACTTGTGGATTTCAACCTAACTTAGCTTCAGCCAAACATTCTTCAGCATGGCTGGCTGAGGAATTATTGAAGTCCACAGGTCTTAAAGCTGTCAAGATTGGACAACACTCCTGGTTTAGAGTCTCAACTTGATTAGTGAACCTAAACCTATTGTTTTCCGATTTTAATCCCAGTCCATACAAAATATGGCATCACATAATATGCTAAACTGTGGTTTAACACAAGCTAAAGTATAATTCCTATGAATAATGAAAATCTCCTCTTTCTATTCATTTGAATGGTTGACAACAAGCCAGCTGCATTCAGGCAATATGTTGGCCTCTAAACAGCCAGATCAAATTTTGGCTGAAGCCAAGTATAGATCTGAGACTGTATCTAGACTTCCTAAAACTCTGCAGAGTTTTCTAATTCAGAAAAGGATCAGTGAAGACAATCTTATCTTCCATAGTTACTATAGCAGAAGCCTGCTTTTTGCCATTATTTTCAGGCTTGTTTTCAGTATAACTGTTGACTTTTGATTTTATTTTAGGAAAGGTTAAATCTAGCAATGTGTATATATTTGTGTGTTTTAATAAACATTGGGTTGGTTAATTTTCTTGAAGCTTTATAGCATGAAGCGTTTTATTGAGTTACTTTTCTGTTTTAATCTTGCACTTCTTCAGAATTTTCTTTTTTTAGGAAGCTGAGGTTAAAAATCTATAAACAAATCAAATAATTCACCCCATCACATTTCCTGATTTTCGTTTCAATCATTTCCCCCCTTTTTTGGTAACAACCTATGTAATTGTATTGGGATAGGGAACTTGAATAAAAATTTGCAGCATGTTAAATTCAGATTAAATATTAAATTTAGAGTATATATATTCATTAAGGTCTGCCTTCCAGCTTTTTACTTTTTCAAAGTCATTTTGAGAATGGTATTTATTTCTTGGTGAACTGATAGTGGGCTGATAACAGAAGTTGTAGAATTGATGGATACATACTCAAAGAAAGAAAATAATGCTTTAAAAAAAGTGAAAATTAAAAAAAAGATCTGGAGTTCAGCAAATCGGGAGAAGTCCTATAAAATCTGCCCTTTGGTGGTATTAAGATGTATCCTATCTCATTTCTGCCTTGCAGTATACAGTCTGGAATTTTCTTCCCAAGAATCTCTTTGAACAGTTCCGAAGAATTGCCAATTTCTACTTTCTTATCATCTTCCTTGTCCAGGTAAGATCACCTTAAAGGAAGGACCATCAACAGATGTAGTTTGGATTGCTTTTATTATATTTTTTTTAAAAGATAAATCAGCAGCAATTTTTGTCCTTCGTTGTGGGTGTAGATTCTGAAAATGTGGGGTTGCTGCACCCCAAAGGACTAGAGTGCAGCTATTTCTAAATATGTTGTGGTTAGGTTTGCCACAATGTCACCTGGCATCTCCCCAAATATCTGGAGGCTTTGAATCAGGTGAAGGAACCTGATCTAACTTGAGATAAATCAAAATTGCCATTGGCCATGGGTGTGACTTTTTCATGTTTTCAGGGACAGGTAATTTAGTCTAGAACTAATTAACCAGTTGTAGAGAACCATGCCAGAAGAGACACGTGGCCACGTGTGGATATTTGCATAATCCTTCTGTCAACGATTTGATTTTGATCAATCCTCTGGAATAATTGTGTTGGGGCATTAAGAAATGGTTTTCCAAAATGGAAGTTTGGGGCCAAAAAAGGATCTTTTGACTCTGGATGATCTGGAATGGAGGCTTCCAAAGTTGCCTTCATGTGGTAGATTCTTCAGCAAAATCCCTCCAGAAGACCATCACAAATTCCTGATGGGCTTCCACAAGCAAATAACATGCTTGGGAAGGAAGGCTCTTTTGACTTTTGATCACCTCTTCCCTTGTTGGAGAAATGCTTCTATGAAGTGGCACCCAATTTAGAAGCATAATCAGGGAATAGCTGTTGCCTTTTGTCCAACCCTGTGACTTTTCTGCATCTCTGTTTAGGTGATTGTGGACACACCAACCAGCCCGGTGACAAGTGGTCTTCCTCTCTTTTTTGTGATTACTATCACAGCTGTTAAACAGGTAAATCTTACTCCTTATCACAGCAAACAAAGTAAGAGGATTGTTTCTACGCACTTCTTGGTATTTTAAGTTGATCTTGCTACAACTGTGAGCTCTTGTAGCGAGGGAGAAAGGGATCTGCGTCTGGAAGGCTGTTTTTAAAACAAGTGGAGTCCATTTCTTCTGTCCCTTCCATTCTGGGATTGAATTTTTCCAGTTTTCTGCTCTGTGTACTCCTCCCCTTTGTTTCTTCAGGGATATGAGGACTGGCTGAGGCACAGAGCTGACAAGGAAGTCAACAAAAGTGCAGTCTTTGTGATTGAAAATGGAGAAAGTGTGAAGAAGGAGTGTGAAAAGATCAAGGTAACAGACCGGGGAACCAGTTTCTCCTCAGTTCTGAACAGTAATGCTGTTTAAGATGCATGGACTCCAGTTCACAGAGATTCCTCGCCAGCAGTTCTGGGCATTGAAGTCCACACACTTTCAAGTTGCCATGGTTACGTTAGGCAGACAGGCAGTTTTGAGGGATGGATGGATGGATGGATGGATGGATGGATGGATGGATGGATGGATGGATGTTTGAGGAGTAGAGAGAGAGACAGACAGACAGACAGACTGTTTTGAGGGATGGATGGATGTTTTGAGGATTTCATAGATAGATAGATAGATAGATAGATAGATAGATAGATAGATAGATAGATAGATAGATAGATAGACAGACAGATTGATAGATAGACAGATTGATAGATAGACAGATTGATAGACAGATTGATAGACAGATGAGCAGACTGTTTTTTACAAAAATTACAACTCTCTGTTTTGGTTTTGAGGTTGGTGACATATTAGAAGTGCCGGTAGATGAAACCTTTCCTTGTGATCTAGTTTTACTGGCCTCAAGTAACAAGGAAGGGACCTGCTATGTCACAACTGCCAGTCTAGATGGAGAATCAAATCACAAGGTAAGAGGACAGGTGAACATACCTTTGTGGTTTTCTTGGCAAGAGATCTGGGTGCAGTTAGCTCTAGTCTTCTTCTAGAACTTGGAGTCTCCTGGTTTCTAAACTGGTGTCTTAACTGCTACATCAGAAGGGGACGCCAATCCTTTCTACACACAGTTAATTGTTCTGTCCAGAATGAACATTTGAATTTCTCTTATGCTGATTTCCAATGAATTTGCTTTCTTAGAAAACAAAACACATCAGAATATGTAGAAAGGATTGGGTATAAATGCTAAAAACCTTTTTTTTTAAAAAAAACTTCTGTCTTGACAATCGTGACCATCTCAGCTTAAAGTTATGGAGTAATTTTTTAAAAAAATTGAGATGCCTCTCATCACCAGTTGATCCTCTGTCTTTACAACCCAAGAAGGGACCTTTCTGAAATGTTTGGCATGTTCCATTACTTCTGTGGGCTCAGCTGCCTCTTATTTGATCATTGCCTACTCTGTGGCTCTTCCCCCTGTACCCCAAGGTCATTCTCACAAACCATTCAACCCTCAAATCCACCTGGATGACTTTGGTCTATTCTTCTGGGTATCCTTCCAAGCAAAGCAGTGAGGTCTACAGCTGCCCTCCAGAGATACTTAGGAGACAGGTTGGACTCGGGAGACATTCTTGGAAATCAAAGTGATACTAGAAGCTTGCTTTTCCCTATCAGTTTGGTAGTTGCTATGTTCTTGTGAATGCCTAAAAGTCAGAGTGAAACTGAGCGTCTAATGAACAGCCAAGAGGTTTGACATTAATCACGAAATTGTTTGATTCCCATCACAAAGTTCATTCACTCATTGCTGCATAGAATGAACACCCGCATTTCTTGGATGGATCATTAAAAATTGTCTTCTGTTGTAATCTAAAGAGCTCTTAAACTAATAAGTAGGAAAAAAAGAAGAGGAAAAAGAGGGAGAGAAATAGAGGAAGAGAATAGTAAAGTTTCCCCCTTTTTGTATCTTTCTGCAGTCCTGTTTCTGTCTCGCTTTTTCCTCCTTATCTTTCTTCCTGATTGTTAGTTTAGGTTAGTTTTTATTTGCACATTTTTGTAAAAAAAATATAATAAAATTATTATGCAGCTATAATCTAAAAACTCGAAGTAGCTTATGGGGCGAACAAGATACCAATGAATCCCATCCAATGATGGGTCAGATTACAGATTTAAAGTTGGCAGGAGTCAGCTGTTGATGTGTCTTTTCTTTTCTAGACTCACTATGCTGTGCAAGATACAGCCAAGATGAATACAGTTGAAGCCATGAACAGTGTGGTTGCCACCATAGAATGTGAACAACCTCAGCCAGATTTGTACAGGTGAAGTTTGACGTAGAGATCTTCTCATTTTGCGAGAACCTGATAGTCTCTTTCTCCACGCCTCATTTCCTTCCTTTAAATTTAAATTGCTGCAACTCCCATATGAAAATGAGCCATGTAGAGTACATGAATATCCTACTCTGTGTATGTCTCAACAGATTTGTGGGCAGAATTAATATCTACACTGATGAACCAGAGCCATTAGCCAGGTGAGTTCCTTTGCTTGATGGATTGGGATTTAACATCTTGTAGCTAATTAGCTGGAGGGGAGTACGGAGATAGCCTTGAAGAAGCTCTGTATGGCAAAGTTGGGGAAACATGAAGCTTATCTGGGAAAACAGGACGGGTGAGGAAGAAACTCAAGAAGGCTTCACCTTGATTCTCTTTGCTATAAGTACAACATTGACCGGCTTCCAGTATGTTACAGGATCCAGTCTGAGTCAGTCACCGGGATCAGAGGTTTTACATTCCAAGCATTTGGACTTGTGCTGGAGCCATCCTCAGGGAACTTCGCCATCTGCTTTGGACTGTTCTGTGTGTGGTATTTCACAAACAGTGCACATAGTGGAATGAGAGAACTTGTTCCTGTAATGTTTCAAATACCACACACAGGACAGCCCAAAACATACACAAGAAATTCCCTGAGGATGGGCTGCAGGATGAGTCCAAAAGCTTGGAAAATGAAACCTCTGATCCCGGTGACTGACCCAGACTGGATCCTGCAACGTTATCCTGGGACATATAAATTCGCCTTCATTCGTTCCAATAATATACTGTATTGTTTTAGCCTATATCCATAAGTTCTAGCATTTCTGACAAGATCTGTTTTCTGATCTGCCCTACCTCAAAGGGCTGGCACAGCTTCTTTTTAATATCAAGGGCTATCACATTTAGGCTAAGAAATCAAGATGTTCCTTAGATATCAGCTGTGAGATATAGACAAGCTAATCTTTGGCTGTCATCTTAGTGCTGATCCAAATTTTTGAAATCCAGATATGGTAGTGCTGTAATCCCTGCCTCTGACCTCTCTTTCTCTCCTCTACCTATAATTTTATACACTTCCCCATGTAGCAGGATGTCATAAGCGACCTTAGCTTTGTCATATTCTAAACAGTTTTTCTTTTCTTCAACCAGTGATTGGCCATTGACATTTTCCAGTTGCTTCTCTTCTTATAAATATTCTGATCCTCCCTTTTTGTTTTAGGCCATTGGGTCCTGAGAATCTTTTGCTGAAAGGAGCAAAATTGAAAACTACCCCAAAGATTTATGGTGAGCAACTGCTTTCCTGCTTCTCTTTCTCATCCATTGATTTTCTTGAGAGTTGCAATCCTGGGCATGTCTAGGATTTACTTCAGAGTAGGCATATAGAAGACAGGGCTGCTGCCTAACCATATTGCTGCCCCTTTTTTTCTTTCTAGCTCTTTAATTGTTAAGAAGTTTCTCTCCCACAACTGTGTTTGTTTCATAGGTGTCGCTGTATATACTGGAATGGAAACCAAGATGGCGTTGAACTATCAAGGGAAGTCTCAGAAACGCTCTGCGGTTGAAAAGTAAGCTGGAGGACTATCTTCCCCTGCTCTTTGTCTTCATAAACATTCATTTAAAGCAAAACAAAAGAGATATTTCTTTGAGTCTGGATTGTGTACAAAATGCTGTAGTCTCTTCTATGCCTTCTTCACACCAGGAAGGGATTAATATTTGCAGATGGGACAGGGACCCAGGCCACAGATCCTGTGATTCCTGAAGTTGGATTCTTCAATCCATGGGCAATCACAAATTCCCTACCCTTGATCTTCAGAAGCAAACAGGTTCAGCTTAATGGTCCAAGTTGTGAGCTGAGAAACCTCTTGAGATAAGCAACTGATGAATGAGATCACATGTGGAATTAGTTAATGGATCGAATTTGGGATTCAGCCTCTCTCTCTTTGCACTCTTGAGCTAATGTATCAGACAAAACAGCCTAAGTAACTAGAATGCAGGATTGCAGGCTAACTTGGATTCTGATGGGGCTCAAGGTTGACTCAGCCTTTCATCCTTCCAAAGTTGGTAAAATGAGGATCCAAGGTGGTAGGGGGCAATAGGCTGACCTTAGAGAGGGCTGTAAAGCATTGTGAAGGGTTATATAAGTCTACATGCTATTGCTACTGGGTTTCAGCAAGCTGTTTTGTTTAGATGAGAGTTGGGCATTTTACGGCCCTTTGGCTGTCCATGTCCATGGCTTGCTTTTGTTTTGAAGGCAACTGCTGTTTTGTTTTTCAGTTTGTGTATGTTCGTGCGTGCATGCCTACGCACCTTCACAGCCATATTGGTTCAGCCCTCCACAATAGTCCCTGCTTCTCATGTGGCCCTTTGAGAAAATTAATTGCGCACTCCTGGTTAGGTCTAACCTCAGTTAAGCCAATGCTTTAACACTATCAGGAGCAAATCCTCTCATCCCATTATGTGTATTGTTTGTGAAACACACGATATCGCCCTAACTCTTGGAACATTTGATTTTTCCAGGTCAATCAATATGTTCCTGTTGTTCTACTTATGCCTGCTCGTGAGCAAGGCTATCATATGCACTACTTTGAAATACGTCTGGCAGAGTGTCCCATATCACGACGAACCCTGGTACAATCCCAAAACCCAAAGAGAGAGAGAAACATTCAAGGTAGAAAGGTTGACTTTTCTTGATTGGCAGTTGTCTACACTCATATTTGTTCCATGCATGAGTGACTTAGCGTATCTTACCCGATGTGTGTCTGTGTTCTTTTCAGCTGCTAAAGATGTTCACTGATTTCCTGTCCTTCATGGTCCTCTTCAACTTCATTATTCCGGTCTCCATGTACGTGACTGTCGAGATGCAGAAATTTCTGGGTTCCTTCTTCATTACATGGGACAAAGAGATGTATGATGAAAATATCCAAGAAGGTGCATTGGTGAACACCTCTGACCTCAATGAAGAACTTGGACAGGTCAGTAATGTCTCCCCCATGCCTTCCACCATTCAACAGGCAAATGTTGGCTGGTCTTCTAATCTTCTCGCATCTGTTTCTCTGCAGAAAAAGAGATGATGTCTCTTATTACCAAACAATAGTGAAACTAGGTTTCTTGTTACCAGCTGAAACTACTCTTGGATCTCAGATCTGATAAGGGCAAATGCTACTCTTGCAGTTGGTGTGTGTCCATCTGGTTGAATTCTTTCTACAGTAGCTTCTTCTCCAAATAAGCTATCTTAACAAGGAGAACTGTCTCTAGAGAAAACATGGTGCATGGTTTGTGAGTTGTGAGCCTTTAGTTTCCAACTTCAGTACCAATTTAAAAACATGATTCAATTACTCCTCTCTAGGATTTGTCATATCTTGAAACACAATATACACATACAAAAATTTAAAAGGAAGGAAGGGAAGACAGAAAGGGAACCGAAGATGGCACTCCTTAATTTTTTTTTATTACTTCCCTTCCATGCACAAGTTTTACTGCTGATTTTGTTTTATCTTAAATGTCACTATTTGGGGGAGGAAAAAACCCACAGATGCTCTGGCAGAAAATTGTGCCTATCTAATCTAAAATTGTGCCTCTCTAAAAAAGAATATGCAATATTCCTTCTAGGTTGAATATGTGTTTTCTGATAAAACGGGAACTTTGACAGAAAACACCATGGAATTCATTGAATGCAGCATTGACGGCTTCCGATACTGCGACTCCTTTTCAGAAGTGGATGCCAAGAGGTCTACAGGAAAAGCAGACAAGGTACAACATGCCCCACCATGTTGCCAACATAGGAGATTGGAGAACAGAAGATTCCTGGGCTTCTTCTGATTTTTAGATGCCTTTTTTGTGGGATTCATAGCTGCATCTACTTGGCCTACACAGGTCTGTAGATCCCTACCATGACTCAGGCCCTTGTTCAGGAGAACCTCTAGTGAATAAGGAAGCAGAGTGCCTCTTCTGAAGTTGAAGATCAGTAGCCCTTGTGAGCTAGGTCCTGACACCCTTGGATTTATAACTGCTTGCATTAACCGTTGACCTGGGTGAGGAGAAGGGACATTCTATCCAGATAATTTTAAGTTAAGGTGGCTTAATATTTACACAGTATGGCAGTTGCTAAGGATGCTGATGCCCAGCTGTCCATCTCAGCAGATCAAGGGGAAAGGATATGATCATGGTTGTCCCACCTCCCCCAGGTTTGACTTGAGGAGAAAAAATGGGACAGTTGGACAGTTGGAGCAGAACCTTGTTCAAAAGCTATCTTGGACTGTAGGAACTGAATGTCTCCCAGTTTAATATCATTTCTTCTCTTGGTTACCCTCCTTTCCAGAGACAAGAAGAACTGTTCTTTCGAGCTTTGTGTCTCTGCCATACGGTTCAAGTCCAGCAGAAAGATGAAATCGATGCAGCGACATTGCAGCCCCAAAAGACCCAAGTCTACGTTGCAGCTTCTCCAGATGAAGTGGCTTTGATACAGGGGGCTCAGAAGTAAGACCACTTCATCCATTTTTTCCCCACTGTATTTTCTCCTCCTCCCACTTGCCTTCACTGTCATGCAGATGATTGATGGATGGACAATTCCATCATCTTTGGATGCTGAGAATTTTGATATATTGCATGATTGACTCACTGGGACCTCTGCTCCCGTGCCCGCATAATACAGATAGTCCTTGACTTATAGTCCTCATTGAGCCCAGAACTATAGACATAAATCATGGCGGTCATTAACTGGGACACCATGTAACCCTGCCCGATTTTACATTCTTTTTTTGTGGCAGTTATTCAGAGAACACTATGGTTGTTCTCTGCTCAAATTTCCCTCCTCTGCAGTCTTTATTTTATTTTGTTTTATTTAGTTCACTTTTTTCGTATCTAAAGGGTGTGCATGTGTGATGCACGTATGTGTCTGTGTGTATGTGTGAGAGAGAGACTGTGTGTTGGTTTTTTTTTTTTTTCAACGCCATTCTGTCCTTTTTGTTCATTGACAGGTATGGTTTCACTTTTCTAGGACAAGAAAATAACTTCATGATGGTAGAAAATTCCCAAAAGCAAATTGAAAGGTAGGTTGGTTTTCAGGCTGAGGTGTCTCCTCAAGGAAGCCGGGCCTAGTCACGGAGGCACGAATTAGTTTTGAAAAGGATCCAGAATTGAACCAGCTGGTTTAATTTTGGCTTTTTCCCAATCCAATTTATTTAGCCGCATTTGTTTGTTGAGCTTCATGCCAAACTTCTCACATTCATTTCTGATTCTGAGGAGTCAGCAGGATGTGTTGAACGATTGGACCCGTCAGGTCCACCCATCAGCTCCATCCATGTTTTCCCGATACATAATTAAAACTTTAGGCAGGACTTGGAAGCAAAGTGGCCCATCTCAACCCCTCTTGAAATGTGGATCTTGCCTCCCCAACTCAGTAAAATATGAGGGTGATGATGATGATCCAAAAAATGATGATAATAACAGAATAACAGACTTGGAAGGGACCTTGGTGGTCTTCTACTCCAACCTTCATTATGATCCTAATCACCATTGTCATCATCATCAAAACATCAATGTTCTCAGATGAAATCTTCAAGATTTGAAGGAAGCTTTTAGTCTTTTCATTCAACGTGGGGTCTATACCTTGGAGCTGAGATCCATGCAATCCCACAAGAGTTCACAGGCTTGCAATATTTGGGACAGCTATTTTTTTATATAAAAAATAAAAACAAAGCCAAGACAGTTAGTGTTGGGGAAAAAACTGCCTAAGACATCCATCCATCCATCCATAGCTTTTTAATGTGGTTTTCCTGGAATGGAGGAGTTTCTGCTACTCTGTGCTGCAAGTAGTCTTGCTTGTATTTACACGTACCTTTATGTTTTAAATTTTTCTAGTTATGCCTGTGTTTTGTATTTAAGAGTTAGCATAAATCACAACATGTGGTTGTGATTCTTCACGTCTGACACTTTTCTCGTTTGAGCTTAATGGGGTTAGAATTCCTTTCAGTTTCCTCATCACTAAATATTCTTTCTCTCCCCTTCCTTCTTAAACATAAAATAAAATAAGATACGAACTTCTGAACGTCCTTGATTTTGACTGCGTCCGTCGCCGGATGAGTGTTCTCGTGAAGATGCCAGATGGTGAGTGGAAACCCGGGAAAACTGATATAGGAGGAAGAGTGTGAACGAGCCCTGTCATCTCCCCAGGACAAATGTTCATATGGATGGACATAGGACGAACGATTGCAGGATCTGGGTTTGGCTAGCTAGAGAAAAGAAGATCTGCGTATGTATCCCTGCCCCTTAACTAATATCCAAATGTTCTGTTTCCCTATCTTTTAAGGAAGAATATACTTGTTTTGCAAAGGAGCAGATTCTTCGATTTTCCCATGGGTCCCTCAGGCTGAAGCACAAAAAACAAAAGTCCATGTGGAACAGAATGCATTGGTAAGTCAGCTGGGCTTGTAGATGTTCAGGAATCCATCCTCCTCAACTTGAACCCCGAGGAAAGAAATTGGTGGAGCCCTTCCCCTTCTCTCACTTCTCCTCCTCCTCCTCCTCCTTTTCCCTTCTTTCCTTCCTTCCTTCCTTCCTTCCTTCCTTCCTTCAAGAGGGCATATTTAGAATTAAGAAGGAAGAAGACTACCACAGAGAAGGAGATCTTCAAATATTTAACCAAAAGTACCATGAAAATTGTGGGTCAATTTATCTATGGGTGACACATTTTTCATGGTATTTTGATTACAGCTTTCAGGTTCTTCTTTTCCATGAAGGGGATTATCCAAGAGCATAGACGGGGTTGGAACAAGTCTCATATCTTAGGTGGGAAACCAAGAGAGAATCACATGGGTGATGTTCTCAAGATCTCACTCATAGTGCCGTGCTTTCTTCAGGTTGCATTTGTCATCCACCTGATCCAGTCTGGCCCACTTTAAGAGATGGGGCACTATATTTCAGAACAATTCTGGATGCCCCTCTTCTGGAATGTCTTGGCTTCAGGGATCACATCTTCTGTTTGTTATCTCTCAGGACGGCTATCGGACTCTCTGCGTGGCCTACAAAGAAATACCTCCCGCAGTCTACAAAGTTCTAGAGGCCCAGATTAAGGAAGCCACCGTGGCCTTACATAACCGAGAAGCCAGGATGGCCAAGGTCTTTGATGAAATTGAGAAGGACATGCATCTCATTGGCTCCACTGCTGTAGAAGACAAGTAAGCCCCATTGGCTAGTTAGGATAACCCATTGTGCCTTCCCAGGCAGTTGAAGTCCCAATCTATTTTAATCAGATGAAGGTGCAATGTGCCCAGATTCTTCTGTTCAAGTACAAAACGTTGAATTTGCCCATTTAGTAGCCCCATCAGTAGGGGCCATGCTTTGTAGACCATTCTTTGTCAAACTTTCTGCATTCAGAAAATATGGAGACCACCCAATTAAACCCCCTTCTCATCTTTTTCTCAAGGAGCCGAGGGTTTCTGGGAAGGAGAGGGATAAACAAAGCTTTTTAAATTAAATTTGGTGCCCCAAAAGGCACTCCAGAATTAAGGAAGTGTTTGACACTTGAATGATTTAATGTACCCCATGCTATAATTTACCACAACTGCTCATACCAGTCAAAGATGCCATGATAGAAATATTTGATAGGTTAAGTACCTAAGCTAGCTTCAGAAGATGGGACTTTGAGACCAGAGTGACAGGGGAGGGAAGGCTGACTTGGCAAATCAGACTCAAAAAATGGGAAAATCCCTCTAAGTGGTTACCCAGAGAAATGGACGGAGAAAACCCACTTTTAATTTTGTGTTGATCCAGATTAGATTTCTTTTACATAGTCTTCTTGTCTTTGCTGTCCTCAGTGGGCTGATGTGTGTAGCTCAACTGCTTCCTTGCTACGTGTTCTGAAGGACCCCTTTTCTTAAAAAAAGAAATCCAATGATTTGTCCTTTTGGGGAAAAAGGCAAAATAGAGAGCGAGCTTTGAGGAAGATCCCCACCTGTTGGTTTAGTCCTTTCCACCGATTTTCCTGCAGACTCCAGGATTTTGCGGCAGAAACCATCGAAGCTCTTCACGCGGCAGGCATGAAGATCTGGGTGCTAACGGGGGACAAGCTGGAGACGGCCCAAGCCACCTGCTATGCTTGTCGCCTCTTCCACACCAGCACAGAACTCTTGCTGTTGACAGCGAAAACGGTGGAGGAAGGGGACAGGAAAATGGAGCAGCTTCACGAACTGCTGCTGGAGTATCACAAAAAGTTGGTGACTGACGCGCCTCAAGGGAAGAAGTGAGTGGGACCCTAAGCAGTAACCAAAGTGGGGTTTCTCAACCTCAGCAACTGTAAGAAGCGTGGACTTCAACTCCCAGAATTCCTCAGCCATAGATGCAGGCTGGGGAATTCTGGGACCTGAAGTCCACACCTCTTAAAAGTTGCTAAGATTGAGAAGCATCGATCTGAAGGGTTGGGAGATGGGCTAATTGCCACTGCAGCACTTTGCAATAATCTAGGGGAGGGGTCTCCAAACTTGGCAACTTGAGGACTCCATGGCTGAGGAATTCTGGGAGTTGAAGTCCACAAGTCTTTAAAGTTGCCAGATTTGGAGATCTTTGATCTAGGGGTAGAGAGAGAGGAGAAATCCATGAGGATGGACTTTTGTGGTCTGAGATATTTGGAACTCACATTTTTCCAAGTGCATCAACTTTTATTGTAAGAGTTGATCTCAGTTTGACCTGCCTTGGCCCCATTAAACCAAGCTGCTGGATATCTTAAGTTCTCCTTGTTTTTCTGCCTTGATGTCTTCCTTGCAGAGAACCCAGAAATGCTATTTTTCCATCTCTTCCTTCTCAGCTAAAGAAGGGTAATTCATTTAAGTAGCACATAAAACACATTTCCCTACATGTCTGACTCTTAAAGGAATTAAAACAGCCAGAAGAATAGAAGGATTTGCTACTCCTTGAGTTTCATTCATCCTCAATTTTTCCTCCTTGGCTCTTTTTGGATACAGCTGGAGTCATATCAAGGTCTCCAGCCAACAAGTCGCCTTTCTCTGTTTCAGAAACTGGCTGTCCGGTTCTGACTATGGGCTGGTCATTGATGGGGCCACCCTTTCCATGATCCTGAACCCTTCACAGGATTCCAACTTCTCCCATTACAAGAACATCTTTCTTCAGATCTGCCTGAAATGCACCGCCATCTTGTGCTGTCGAATGGCCCCGTTGCAAAAGGCTCAGGTGTGTTAATGTCCTCGGTAGTGAGCCAAGTCACTTCCTGTCCCAGCAGAATCTTGCACGGCATCCTTTCTGATGGGGAGGCACTTCTTTGGGAAGCCAGTGGCCACAAATGTCTGGTCTAGTCTTGAGTTCATTTTTCAGGGTGGTGTCGTCCTTGGGAAACTGGTTCAAAGTTGGGTGAGGAACATCTCAACCAACCTCTCCTGATCCACCATCCATCTCTCTGCCCTGTAGATCGTCCGCATGGTTAAGAATTCCAAAGGCAGTCCCATCACACTGAGTGTTGGAGATGGGGCCAATGACGTCAGCATGATTTTGGAAGCTCACGTGGGCATCGGTAAGCATGGCTAGCTGAGGAATTCTGGGAGTTGAAGTCCACAAATCTTAAAAGTTGACACGTTTGGAGACCCTCGGTCAAAGGAAACAGTGTCTATGAGCTCCACAAACATATAGGAGCCAGGCCGAGAGAGTTTATATCAACTTCTGGCTGATCAGGATATTGAGGCCTCTGACGTGCAAGGTTGACCTGCTCCATTCTTCTCCTCGGCCAGGTATCAAGGGAAAAGAGGGACGCCAAGCTGCCCGGAACAGCGACTATGCCATCCCCAAGTTTAAACACTTGAAAAGACTGCTCTTGGCACACGGGCATTTGTATTATGTCCGAATCTCCCATCTTGTACAGTATTTCTTCTATAAGGTAAAGGGAATGACAAATTGGTTTCGGGGGTCAAGGGGAAGGTGGGCAGGGGGGGACTATGCCACTGCCAGGCCTTGGGGGATGCTCAGCAGAAGGTTAACAGGGAAGCAAAACACTCTTGGAAGGAGGTGGCAGAGCCAGCAGGATCCTTGGGGTAGGGAGCAAAAGTGAAATGAGGTGGACAGAATGATGGAGTGCAGGACTCACCATTTGTGAACATCACCCTGACGTTCAATTAGTCCAATCCATTTTACAGGTAGTCCTTCACTTATGACCAATTGTTTAGAAGACTCCATTGCAGTCATAACTTGAGGATTACTTCTGTTTGGTTATTCTATTCTACTCTACTCTGCATTCTATTCTATTCTATTCTATTCTATTCTATTCTATTCTATTCTATTCTATTCTATTCTATTCTATTCTATTCCATTCCATTCCATTCCTTTTCATTTTCCACTCCACTCCACTCCACTTCACTCTACTCTACTCTACTCTATTCTACTCTACTCTACTCTACTCTACTCTACCAAAAGTATATAAAGATATAAGACATAAAAGTCTAATGCAAAATATGACCTACTAATAAAGAATAACAAACAAAGAGGATTGAAAAATGGTAAACAACCTAAGCACCGTCCACCCTCATGCCAAGCTGATGGGAATTGAGAGCCGAATGTAGATAGCTGAAGGCTGGGATAGAATATTTAAAGGGAGCAGCTTCTGACTCTCAGTTCTAAATGCAGAAACAACGTTTACATCATCTGGTTTTCTTGCTAACATCTTTTTTTTCTGTCTCTCTCTCTCCCCTCCCCCCACCCATATTTCTTTTAGAACCTTTGCTTCATTTTCCCGCAGTTTTTATATCAGTTTTTCTGCGGCTTTTCACAGCAGGTAGGTAGCCCTGTGCGTCGTTACTGATGTTGTGATCAAAAAGTAGTCCTCAACTTAGGACGCATTGCTTAATGACTGTTCAAAGTTACTTACGTCGCGTCATAGACGTTACAACTGCTGTACTGCCCCTCCGGTCACATGATTGTGTTTCAGGTGCTCAGAACCATCTCAGGTTTATGACTGGTTGCAGAATCTTGCGGTGATGTGATCAAGTTTTATAACTCTAGAAAGACTCTAGAAAGAGTGCAGAGAAGTGCAACAAAGATGATCAGGGGACTGGAGCCTAAAGCATATAAGAAACGGTTGCTGGAATTGGGTATGTCTAGTTTAATGACGAAAAGGACGGGGAGGGGACATGATAGCAGCCTTCCAGTATCTCAGGGGCTGCCACAAAGAAGAGGGAGTCAAGCTATTCTCCAAAGAATCCAGAAGACAGGACAAGAAGCAACGGATGGAAACTAATCAAGGAAAGAAGCAACCTAGAACTAAGGAGAAACTTCCTGACAGTTAGAACAATTAGCCAGTGGAACAACCTGCCTCCAGAAGCAGTAAATGCTACAACACTGGAAGTTTTTAAGAAGAGACTGGACAGCCATTTGTCTGAAATGGCATGGGTTCTCTTGCTTGAGCAGGGGGCTGGACTAGAAGACCTCCAAGGTCCCTTCCAACTTTATTATTAAAACATTTTTTTGCCATTTTGAGGCCAAAAATGCCCATTGTATAAGCTGGATTTGGACTTAACAACCACATGGCTCACTTACTCACCATGTGATCCATTTAACAGCTGCCCTAAAACGGTTAAATAAGATCGAGCCAAGTCATGCGGTGATTCCACAATTGCCACAAGTTAACCACCAAAATTCCGGGATCAGTTGTAGTCATAAGTCAAGGACTACCTGTAATTTGGGGTGACAAAAATTCTTGCACGTCTGAGGACTGGGAGCTTGGTGTTATTTTTGTGAAGGAGGGCCCAGTCTGTAGCCCTTCCCAGTTTGGACGACTGGGACAGGAAGCTTTCTCCAGTTGCATAGATAATGCCTTTCATCTTGTCTTTTTTTTTTTTTAATGATTCCTCTCGCCAAGCCCAGAGAAGCTGTTCCTTCAGCCTGCCTCTTTGTCCTTTTCTCAAGAGCAAAAGGCAGCTGCGGGCAACACTCTCTCTACCCTCCCTCCCTCCCTTCCTCCTTTTGGGGGAAAAAACCCCCACGGCAACAAAAGAATCTACTTGCAACCTCAAACCACTCCGGCATTGAACTAACTCTCCTGCAAAGGGCAGGTGTGAACGGAGAAGCTGTTGTGCGGGAGAAGTCCAAGCAATTGCAGGTTTGAACGATTGTTCCCTGAATAAGCAGAGGCACCGCCACCGTTTCACAGCTGTCCCCATCGTGGTTGGAGAAGGAGGAGGAAGTGGCCTGCAGCTGCCCTCGAAGGCTTTAGGTTTTTTTTTTTTGTTTGTTTTGTTTTGCTGCTTTTACCAAGAAGTAGTCCTCCTTCTCCTTCCTCTGCCTGCCCAATTGTCTTCCTTAGTTAGGTGAGGCTCACTGGAGCTTCCTCATTAGCAGGGCTAGCCAAAGAGCCATTGTTCCAGAAAATCTCATTTGGGAGGAGATAATGAGCAAACAGATGCACGGTTCCACCAGGTCCTATTCCAGCTGGACTTGTGAGGGTGATTTTGCTGCTTCGGAGAGAGCTGGTTTCGTACTTTCCAGGTCTTGGAACGTTGCAAGTGGGACGGAACAATGCTGACATGCTGCCTTCCATTGCTTCTGGCTTGTTCCTCAAAAGGTTTCAAGGCATTTTGCCAAACAAAAACAACACAGAGTAATTGTCTCACCCCAAGATGTAGTCTTGCTGCTGATCAGGTTGATGATTCGTAGTAGGTCTATGCTAGGAAAAAAGTCAAGGTTATATTTTCTCGCAGCTCACTCCTTTATTCAGGAAGCCAGATGCAATATATAATGCTCAAGTCCTTCTCTTTTTCATTCCAGCCTCTCTATGATGCGGCTTACCTGACTATGTTCAACATTTGCTTCACCTCTCTGCCAATTTTGGCCTACAGTCTCCTGGAACAGCACGTCCCTATTGATGTCTTGATGACTTTCCCAAAGTTGTATTTGTGAGTATGATCTCCTTCTCCTCCTCCTCTTTCTCTCCTTCCTTCCTTTCTTCCCTCCCACACTTCCTTCTCCTCCTCCTCCTCAGCAAAGTCTCAGAACAGGTCCAAAGTGGGAACTTGGTCTTATTTTGCTAAACCTCCCTTCTTAAGGTCTTTCTGATCTGCTCCATTTCTCCTTTTGAAGATTATTTTTTTTGGAAGTAGCTTGCATTTCTGATGTCCTGGCCTGTATTTGAGGTCCAAATTTGTGTTTCTCTTGCTAGGAATGTTTCTGACAACGCTATGCTCCAGTTGAAGCCTTTCGTCTACTGGACCTTCCTGGGCCTTTTTGATGGTTGCGTCTTTTTTTTTGGTGCTTACTTCCTTTTTCAATCTGCCTCTATAGAGGACAATGGAAAGGTGAGGTCTGAAAGGCATAATTCTTTGTAATAGTGCATTTGTGTGTGTGCTTGGTAGGTGTGTGCTTGTATGTGACAACATAGGCCATAATGTTACCTCTATCTCTTTGATGCCCCTATAAAGGAATAGGTAACGTACTTCCTTACATCCAGTCAATGTTCCCTCTGGCTGCATCTTATTTAAAGTGTATTTATTTTAAACCTGTATTTATCTTAACAGGTACTGTTGTTTTCAAAGTAGAATCCAGCAGTATTTCTTAATTGCAAGTTTTGACGTCATGTTTTTCAGATGGCAGGGCTCTGGACGTTTGGAACGATGGTTTTCACTGTCTTGGTCTTTACAGTCACGCTAAAGGTTAGCATCATCATCATCATTATTATTATTATTAAAACAGTCACCTTTGACAAGCTGGGTCTGATAATACAGATCTTGACGAGATTAAATTCTTGCCCTGATGTCGGTGACGCCTGTCCTCAAGGCCAACCAGATGACAGGGAAGCCAACTCCTCTTGAATGGGCCAGATTGAAGGTGGTGGTGATGGTTTTGATTAGGATCAGTAAAAATCAGTGCAATGTGAAGTCGAGGTAGGAATGTTGAATTTCTTGTTTCTTTTTTTCATAGCTGGCATTAGATACTCGGTTCTGGACATGGATGAACCACTTTGTCATCTGGGGGTCCTTGATTTTCTATGTCTTTTTCTCCTTCTTCTGGGGAGGCATCATTTGGTAAGCATGCTAAGACTTCACGGTTCACCAGCACAGGGTGGTCCCTTCGCCAACTCCTCCGAAGAGTCCTAACCTTTAAGCCAGTTTGAAATAGATGGGCACCCCTACTTTAATAAGCACAAGCTATCTCTGAGGCTTGGAAGGAAATGTTGGAGGTGACTGTTTGTCTTTCCTCCTCAAAAATGCCCTCCCAATTGAAGTGGCTTCAGAGATGACCATATCAGAGGGCTAGGATGGGGAATGTGTCATCCTTATGGGGCGAACGAGACAAGCATCCCAACCAGATGAGCGAATTCTACTTTAATGTAAAATTAGAATGACAGAAACAGCAGAACTTTCCCACCATCTGAGAAACTAAGGAGGGTCTCTTCAGAGATTTTTCCTCACTCCCTTCTTCCGTTCTTCCCAGGCCTTTCTTGAAGCAGCAACGGATGCATCACGTTTTCGCCCAGCTGCTGTCCTTCGCCTCCTCCTGGCTGGCGATCATCTGCCTGATCTTCGTTTCCCTCCTCCCCGAGGTCATCGGCCTCGTCTTTAGACACCTGAAAAGGAACAGCAGCGAGGTAAGAGTGGAACAGAAAGCCTGTGAAGTTGAAGAATGGATCCCACTCTTCTAAGCCAGGCCTCAAGCGAAATCACGGGCAGGTGTTCCCTGCGGTTGTTGTGTTTTGTTTTGTTTTGTTTAAAAAAAATCTTTTTTTTTTCTTTTTTCTTTCTTTCTCTTGAATGTTCAAACAATTGCCATCTGGTTCAACTCAGCTACAGCAGACAAGCAAACAGAAGGGTAGCTAGTGTTTAGCAGTCCCCCTCTTTCTGTCTGAAGATAGATTAGCCATCAACCATGTCATCCTGGTAGAATCCATCCAGATCAGGACTGGTCTGAAAAGGAGAGGTTTTATTTTTTCCAGAACTACAACCTCCCATTCAAATTTTGCCTTCTAGGGAATTCAGCTGGAACCAAGTCCAAGGTAGATATTTCTCTCTGTGCCTTCTTTTCAAGAAAGAAGAATTTAGTCTAGGACAGTGTTTCTCAACCTTGACAATTTTAAGGCATGTGGACTTCAACTGCCAGAATTCCACAGCCAGCATTGCTGGCTGTGGAATTCTGGGAGTTGAAGTCCACATGCCTTAAAATTGTCAAGGTTGAGAAACACTGGTCTAGGACAAGAGTCGCCCAACCTTGCCCACTTTACAATTTGTGGACTTCAACTCCCAGAATTCTGGCTGAGGAGTTCTGGGAGTTGAAGTCCTCAAGTCATAAAATGGCCAAGGTTGGGGAGGTCCAGTCTAGGACGCCCTCCACCAGTTGAAATCTGAGCACTCTGCTTTTCCTCTCTCCTCTGCAGGAGAGCAGATCCCCAAAACATGCCAGTTGAATTTTTAAAGGTGGTCACCTGAGGGGGGGCTGAGTTTCTCTCTCTTTCTCAACATCCCACGCTTTGCAATGAAGCTTGAGTCTCAATGAAGAGTCCACTGCCAGTGTTGTGGGTTGTGCCGATCAATCTGCCGTTTCCAGCCAGTTTTATTTTTTCCAGATTTGGGGTCCTGGAGACAAGGAATCCAAAAGAATTGTGGCTGAAAACAGCTGTTCTGAAACTTAGGAGCAAAGTCACAGCTGGTGCGTTCATTAATTTCTTTCTCCAGCCTTATCTGGAGTTTGTTTCAGAAACAGCTGGGAAAGGAGAAATCTGGTTACTCCTGAGCTTGGTTTGAGGCCGCGTAGGTAGGAAGAGCCATTGGGGGGTTACACCTGAGAAGGGAAAAGAGGAGGCCATATAGGTGTGGTTAGTTGAGGAGAGAGAGAAAATGCAAAGCTTGAGACTGAAACCTTAACTGGGATTTCACTACACTAAAATCAACTAAGGCGCTGAGGTTTTGGTCCATACTTGAGCATGAATGCAAGACATTATTTTTATTATTTTGTCTTTTAAGGTGTTGCAGTTGGGACTGTCCAGAGGGATTTTGTCCATTTGATGTGTTAGCGGGGTCTTTTGGGGGGAGGGAGTGGTTTTGTTACAGGGAATTGTAAAATGGAGACCTCTGCTTTGTGTTGGCTTGTAATGTAGTTTTCCAGTAAACTTTACACAAAGAATATGTTGAAAGAATAGTTTTTGCTAGAGTATGCAATTTATTTTTTTAAAAAAACAAAAACCAAAAAACATTTATATAGCCACCCAACTTCTAACCAAAGACAAAAGCAGCAAAAACTGTAAAGGAGGGGAGAGCAAAGGGAAAACACAATGTTTTGCTTTTTCTAAAAAATGGAGGCTACGGAAGGACTATCTGTGGTATGGTTCTGTCTCTCTTCATGGAGACAATGCTCATGTCCTCACATTTTCAATCTGAAAAGAGCCAAAGGAAGAGAAGGGAGGATGGGACTGCAACACAAAATTGTTGCAAAATTGCAACTGGAGAGCAACGAGAGATGTTTCCCATCCCTTGCAGAGCCATCTCTGGTGGGGTTGGGATGACCTTCTGGTGGGAGGTATGGACGAAAGGGAGGGTCCCTTATCATGGACCCTAAGAGCTGGAAGGAACCCAGTGGTCATCTAGTTCAACCCCTGCCCTGGTGCAGGACCCTACCGCCATTTCTCTACCCGATGCATAATGAAGCTTTGAAATCTGCCAAGGGCCATCGGCTTAGACGGATCGAAGCTCTGTTTCTCTATCGTTGCACCTCTAAGCTGGGTGGACTTCGACTCCCAGAACTCCATGTTGGCTGGGGAATTCTGGGAGTCGAAGTCCATGCAGCTTCAAAGTGCTATGGTTGAGAAGCGCTTCTTTAAAGCACAGTTCCCCAGTCTTTCCGAGCTGGACTTGCCTGACCCTTTCTTAGTGGACCTACTGCAGCCTGAAAGTGATGGTGACCACCAGCCTGGAGGCCTTTCAGGTTGTCTCTTTGAAAGCGTTTCGCTTCTCATCCAAGAAGTTTCTTCAACTGATTTGAAGTCGGAATTGAAGAAGCGAAACATTTTCAAAGAAAAAACAAACAAACAAGAAAGTCCAGTTGCCTTTCGGAAAAGCATCTTTGGGACAACCATGACCTGGCTGATCGGAGAATCTCCATGGACTCTCTCTGACCAATTACACAGCAGGACAGATCTCCAGAACTTTAAATAGAGCCTCTCTGTCTAAGAGCATGCTTCCCCAGACATGAGGTGCCACTGAAGAGCAGTCGGTCAAATGGGAAGCCAAACTCCAGGTTTGCAGAGAGTTAAACTCTCAAGTTTGACTACGGCAAGAGAAGCAACGCAGTGCAGAAAGAGGCCCGTTATTCCTCCTCGTTAGAAATCACCATTGTGATGCCATAGTGACTGACAGCCTTTCTATCAAAAGCTACCTGGCCCCAGTCCCTAACCTCGCAGTTTCTTTCTAACACGTCCTTTCCGTTCTCAACTTTTGTTATCAGTACTTTTCCCCCATTAAAAAAAAAGCATACCGGAGTTAAAAAAAAAACCTAATTTGTAATATATTATTTTTTGTCCTGCTTTTTCCACCTGCCTGATTTTCTCTCTCTCCCTCCCTCCCTCTCTCTCTTTTCTCTTACTCTCTCTCTCTCTCTCTCTCCAATTTCCCACTTTCCTTTTGTCTCGTCGTGAACCAGGTAACCCGGCGTCTTCCTTCCTCAGGAACATCTACTATCTTCGTCCTCTCTCAAACCTCCAGTAATCACAGTTTCTCTGAATGAATAAGGTGATTTTCTTCTTTTTAATAAGCTGCCATTTGATGCAGTCGCTCCTTTGCTTTCTTTCCGTGCATCTGACCTTTTGATAATGTGCTTATCTGTCCCCCTTGCTTTGCTTTTTTTTCTTTTTCTTTTTCTAAAAAAAAGAAGGAACACTTCATATATTTGCTGCAGTTCCAAAGCCCTGCTTAATTGCCATTCCTTTTTTTTCCCCTCCATCTCCGCCCTCTTTCCTTTCCTGCCCATGTCATCACCAATCCAGCTGCTGTTTTGGAGGGTAGTTTGTCGTGAAATTGCAATTCCAGCATCTGCAGGAGGAAGCAGCCCTCTGCACTCATGTGCCAAAATTAAGTGTACTGGATGGTTTTGCTTCTGAATCCCTGCTGGGGATCAATTGATAGAGGCCACCAAGATTGCCTTTGCAGTAAGAAGCAGAGATGGTGTCTCAAAAGAATGGAAATGATGGGGCCACTTCAGGCTGAAAGGCTAACATCTTAGCATTCTGGAAGCATTTTGACTGTGGTTTGTTCTCCAAGCTTGTTTTAATATAATTCCTGAATGTTTCGTTACCAAACTCATAAGCGTCTTACGTGCCAGTGTGGTCAGTTGTGAGCTAAAGAGAATAGAAGAAGAAAATCTTGCTGATGATGTTACCTAGTTTGGCATTGAAACAAGCTTGGAGAACAAATCACAGCCAAAATCTAAAAGCCAAGTTACAAAGTTTTCCTATTATTTCAAAATTGTGGAAGCATTTTTTTAAAAATGGGGAGGAGTCTTTGCTAGTTAAAAAGTAGTCTAGCAAGGCAAGGACAGCAGCTTTTCACCTGGATGGAGTAGTTTGCCAAGACTGGATTCCTCACATTCAGTGGACTACCAGCACTTTCTCCTTCAGCATCTGGAGACATCTTTCTTACTACTTTTGACCGTGTGAAATTGGGAGAAGTTACATCAAGAATTCTTCCGATAAGCAAAGTGAGGTTTTGTATGCATTCAGATGTGTTTCTGAATGCAATGATTGTTGATAGTCCAGCAGCCTGTGAAGCAAAGGTAGGTTTGCAGGTATTGTCCCAAAGCTGTGGATGGAAGATAGCTGGTGATTTTAGTAGTGATGGGCTACAAATGGTTGGCAGGATCCAGATAGAAGGTTGAAGTTCCAGAATAAACTTCTTGACTTAACGTGAATCAATTGTATGTCCTGTTCTGTAGAAATGTGCCAACTCTAAATGAAAAGAGATCTATACAAATCAGGGAAATGCTTAAAAGCATGAATGAAAAGATGACCATTATAACCCTAGGTAATAATTTGCAGACCAAGACAAAAATTAAAAATAAGCTACTGGTGGGACTTTGCTTCAGGTAGAGTTTAGGAACCAACCATACAGATGGAAATGTTCTGCAAGACAGCCAAGTCCATTGTGGAGAAGATTCTCTTCTGTTGATCGAATATGGACAGCCTCTTCTTTAGGTCAAACTCTAGCCAGATCCAATCCAGATCCTTCATAATCTGGCCAAGCTCCATGGTCATTGTCACGCTTTGCTATAATTTGAACTAGTCAGTCCCTGTTAACCTATTGGCCAACTGTTGGGCTACATCCAAAAGAAAGGAAGATTGGCTATTAGGGCAAATTTCTAATTTCTGCAGTAAAAGGAACTCAGTATATTGAAACTCTTGGTTCCTTGGTCAACTTCAGCAACTTTAAGATGGGTGGACTTCAACTTCCAGAATTCTCCAGTTAGGAGAATTCTGGGAGTTGAAGTCCACCCATCTTAAAGTTGCTGAGGTTGAGAAATACTACCCTGGCTTTTGTTGAACCAGGAGGTTCTTGTTGATGGGAAGTTCTTCCCATCCAAACAAAAAGCAAAGTGGCAACCAAATTTGTCTCCGGTCCTAAACAAAAGGTCTCTTAGACATCATTGTGGGTTTCTCTTAACCTTTCATTTTTACTTCCTTTTAGTTTCATATTGAGGAACCAAATTTGTTTTTCAATGCCAAACCTCACTGTTTAAAACAGAAATGCCCGCTCATATCCTTCATTTTATTTTTGCCTCGCCATTTGCAGAGAAGACCCTGCAGAAAAATTGCAAGGGATTCAGCACCAGACAGACCATCGGTCAGGCCTCTGCTTTTAAGAGCGTTCTCAGAAACATCTAAAATGTCGTAACAGGTATTTTCCTCCTCCCAAAAGCTCCTCTGGAAGGCATGAAAATAACCAAGTGATTCCTGGAATCAGTTGAATATATATCTGGATATGATTCTTTAATCTCAGTTGTCATGATACTATCTTAGCCCAGCAGAACACAAGTACATCGCCTGCCATAATTTTATAATAAAAAAATTAAAATTGGAAGGCCTCGTTTTCATGCGAGCTTCTATGGCACATTTGAGAGCATCAAAATATGTGTTAAGTTTTTGCAACCCCTGGGTTGCACGTAAAAAGGGTTTATTGGTTTAGGAAGGATGGACGTGTTCTGCTACTGGCTCAGAAGTTCAAGGGACGTGATTGTCCACTTTGTGCTGTAGGTTCCCCGCTTTTATAATGTTTACCTTCTGCACCAGATCCTCAACTCTCCCTCTCCTCTAGTCTTGTAGATGCCAGTTGTCCACGCTCACATGGTATTTCCAAAGTTTTGTCATCTCTAATCAAAATTAATCAAGGTGATCAAGGTAATTAATCAAGGTAATCAAGATGCAACAAAGATGATTAAGGGACTGAAGGCTATAACATATGAAGAATGGTTGCAGGAATTTGTCTAATTTAATGAAAAGAAGGACTAGGGTGACATGATAGAGGTCTTCCAATATTTGAGGGGCTACCACAAAGAAGAGGCAGTCAAGCTATTCTCCAAAGCACCTGAAGGCAGGAGAAGAAGCAACGGATGGAAGATAATCAAGGAGAGATGCAACCTAGAACTAAGGAGAAATTTCCTGACAGAACAATCAGTGGAACAACTTGCCTCCAGAAGTTCTAGGTGCTCCAACACTGGAGGTTTTTAAGAAGAGATGGGACAACCATTTATCTGAAATGCTCTTAATTACATGAAAGTAATTAATTTGGAACAAAATCTAGATTAAGGCGATGCATGTGGAATGAAAAATGGATGTAAGCCTTTTTCATTTTGTTTCTATATAAGCTACCAGCAGGCCATCAAACCAACTTAGATTTAGCTCCTTTTAACGTAAGCGAACCCCCGAGAGGACTCAAGACAGTCAAGTTGATCATGTCCTAGGAGGGCAAGCCTAGAATCTATTTAATCATAGCTACTATTGAAATGCTCCCTTTTAGCTTGACTGACAGGTTAACAGGTTGCCCTTAAATTGGACGCAAATCACATCACTGCATTGTTTGTTAAAATGCACAGAGTGTCTTTGACTTTGGAAAGGTTGATTCCATCGAGATTTCATTATTTCTTCTTCCCTCAAATTTATAACTTCTCTGAATTTGGGGTCTTCTATTTTTATAGTATAAGTAAAGTTCATAGCTGATTAGTTCTTCAAAACTCTGAACTGCCTTACCAGCAGTTAAAAATCTCAGTGCTCGTTCGATAATAACCCAAAGATTAATTGCATACTTCTTTCACTGAAAATATGTTTTTGGCATTCTTTTCTCCCTTCTCTGGAAATTATAATGTTCTTTTCCTCCTGAAGTATTATAAATCTAATATGTGTTGGCCTGCAACCCAAATACCTGATCATTTTGTGTGTCTTTGCAAACCACAGTAACAGCAGCAGTAGCAGCAATGTGGTTAAACGACTCTCTTTCCCTCTCTCCTGTGTTTGTGTGTGGTGTGTGTGTGTGTGTGTCTGTCTGTCTGCCTGTCTGTCTATCTGATTTTAAACAGCCCGCCCCTTCGGAGTTGCCGATGCTGGTTTCATACAAGCAGCTAGACAACAGCCATTCCGCAGAAGTGAAACCCAGAGAGGCCCTCACACACCTGGCTGAACACCATCTCAGGGTTCTTCAAATGCAACAATTATAATTCTGCTGTTTGGGGAACAAAAAAAGGGACATTGGTTTGTTTTGTCTTTTTAAAACTGGGTGCAAAATCCGGAAGACTTGTGGTTGATCTCTCTCACTATCCTCTTAATGCCAGCCCTGAAGACCCCAATTGGCCATTTTGATTGTGAAAATCAAGAGAGATTTGGGACCTTTGAAACAAAGGACACAGCTTCTGTTTTGCAGTGGGTTATCAGCGAGGGGAAAAAAATGACAATTTTCTAGCTTTGGACTTTCCCTTCTGAACCAGTAAAAGAGCACAGATTTTAATTCTCACTTTGCAAGCGTAAAGCTGGACTATGTCTCTTCGCATTGTCTAGCCTGCTTCCTTGCACTCACGGTGTTTCCATTCTTTTACCAACAAATTGGGTCATGAAATATATCTTTTCCCCCCCTCATCTTCCTAACCAAACTGGTTTTATTAAGGAAATGTGGATGGACATGTTCGCTGCTAATTCACTTTTTCTGCAAGCACCCACGAGGATGTAATAAAAGCCACTTTAAAAAAAAAAAAAAAAAAAACACAATGGGAAAACTCCCGAAAGCTAATGAGATGCACCAAAATCTCACCTCTGCAATCCTTTTGTTCCCTCTGGCTTGAGGCTTTCACACAAGCCAAATCAAGGTCCATTTATTTTCAGAAGAGCATGCTGGTTAAAGTGCCTGGGCTTCAACCCTCTTTTTCTTTTTCCCATTGGACTATCCTGGTCTTGTGGAACACTGGAAGAACTTTGGATGTTAGAACATCATGAGTACAAGACTTGGCCAGTGGTAGATTGGGCTTGTCATCTTTTTCCGTGCAAATTCTGTTCCCTTCTAAAACTTGTGGGAGGTCTGAGAGGAAATAAGGTCTACATCTCTGTTGGGCTGTATTAGTTGGCTACCGCCAACCCAAAACTTTTTTTGTCTTGTGTACAAAAGGGAAGAATGAATACTTAAGCAATACATTCTGGATGTGTTAGCACGTTGCTTTACAAAACATCTGGGATCTTCACGTCAATGTTTTGTCACCATTTAGTGTGGAAACAGAGGTCAAGTTGCTAGAGGCACCCTACTTTTCTAAGACTTTGCTCAGGAGAAGAAAAGAAGCAGGTGACTATCTGGTCACCCACTCAAGACAATATGATCAAAGGAGTTGTGTTAGACCCAAACAGCCCTGGTTTTGTTTGGACTTTCCTGGATTCATCTACCATTGGCCAAGGATCCATCCACCTTAATCTTTGGATTAGAGTGTTCATCTGCTCCCCACAGCCCAGTTTGGGCTCTTTAATCACGACCATCTGGCCCACTTTTTCTCCAAGGCATGCCACATCTTCACAACCGATCTATACATCCTTTCAAGGTGTCCTGTAAAATCTTTTGGGGCACCTAAGAAAAAGCAAACAAAAGGCCTATTTGCATGAGTAGAGCAGCAAAGCATGTATTCACAGTCAAATCGGCAGAGTCCTTTGTAGCATGAAAAAAAAACCTCCCTCCTTCTGACACCAACAGTGGCATCGTGAAATTTCCCACAAAGTGTTCGTGGCAACGCGAGCCGTGATGGAGGAAGATCTAAGTTGGATTTCAAAAGAGAGTTGAAGTTTGGATGTGTAGAGCCAGTTCTTCCCCAGCAAAGCAAGGCTGAAGATAGTTCGTTGGTAGTAGGACATGGACAGAAAAAAGGTTTGTGTAGCCTTGAAGAACAAGGGATGTGATAAATTACTATGAGTGCCCTTAACACACATAATTATTGCTGAGATGGAGACAAAATGAACTATTTTTCTGTTGCCACCTCCCTTTAGAAACAACACACAGACACACCGCCATCATCCAAGAGCAATTTCATTTTCAGTGTGCTGACAAGCTGCATTTTTTTCAACCTTGCAAAAGGCTAACAAGCTAAGAACACCCTTTTGTCCTTTTCCCTCCCAAAGGAACAATGGAGACCTGAACCCAAGTCCAAATAGAACTTTAAAAAAAAAGGAAAATGAAAAAGCCTACAGGATATCAACTAACCACATTTTTTTCCAACTTAAAAAAAAAAACTACTTGCTTGGTCTTGATGTTTACATTGATTTCCTAATGCTTGTAACCAAAAATCACTCCTGTATCCATGTTTAATTGGGGAACAGGGGAAGGGTATATTTCTTTTCTTTCTTTTTTTTTTTTTTTGAATATCAACAAAAATACTAGGGAGTTTAAGAATTAGCCTATCATTCAAACAAAGCCAAGAGAATGCTCATTCGGTTTCCATTTTGGTTGTCTTCCTATCCAAAAAAGAGCTAGGTTAAAAATAGGGGGGGGGGACATTTTTCCCAGTTTTGCTGCATGACAAAAATGCAATTATATAGTTTTAAAACCACAAGCTCTGGATGAAAACCTGCCCCATCTCATTGGGGGATACTTGACATTTTTGCGTTATTCTGATCCATCTGGAATTTTGCCATTTGCCACTAGAGAAACATCACAGCAAAAATAACCATTATTTCCCCCCCCCCCAAAGTTTGTGATTCATTCTAGATAACAAATCATGGTAAACAGAAGATGTTCTGTTCTGACTTGGCACAATCAGGGACGATTCCGTCCCCTCCAATTTGGGTGGCACTCACTTTACTGCCCAAGTTAAATAATCATATCTGCTTGGGTGTGCTCCTCTCTGCCAGTTTGTTAGTTAACTGAAGACTCAGTGAGCTAAAATAACTAGAAATTCAGCCGTGTATCAGTGCCTCAGTAGGCTCATAACTAGTGGTCAGTTTGAGAGTACTCAGCTGACCAAACCAGCAATGGATCTTTGCAAATTAGAAAGCAGAAATAAGAAATAAGAAAGAGGATGTGTAAATATAGGGAACAATCAGAGCTGGGAAGTAAACATTCTATAAAGATTTTAAGGTGCATTTTTCAGCTTGCAAAAAAAAAAAAAACACACACACACACACAACCCAGGACTATGTTAATCACTTCAACTGTGATTTTATATATTCATGTTGCTTTATATAATAATCGTGGAATGTTAAATTTTATGAATGCAATCGGCTCTTTTTTCATTACAATTTTTTTGACTTTTCTTTTGAAATGATCAATAAACTTTGGTATGTTCTGATGATGAGTTTAATTACATCTGTCACCCAAGATGACCTCGGTTTCAGGGGGGACATTGGGGTGTTGCGCGTAAACTTCTTGTACACAAGCCACGGCGGTCCTGTTTTTACGGTAAGTGTGAAGTCAGAGGTGCAAAGTCGCAAGTATGAAGTCATAATGTGTGAAGTTATGAAAATCATCCAGATGTGGAAATAGTTACCTGCCCCTTTTACGGGCAGTCAACATCACTTCAAATTAAGGACACACGACAAATGTTAATGAGGAAAGCAAGTCAATCTGCAAATCTCTTAAAATTTACTGGCTTTTGAGGGATATCCAGAGTTTGCTGTATACCCAACAATAACAGGAGGAGGAGGAGAAAAAGGAGAAAGTTGGAAGGGACCTTGGAGGTCTTCTAGTCCAACCCCCTGCTCAGGCAGGAAATCTAGTATATACTATTTCAGGCAAATAATTTCAGTCCTTCTCATATTCCATTCTGCACGTAAAGAGGGGGCACGTCTTTTGTAACATTTGTTGTGAGCTGAGAAGCTGGAAAAGATTTTCGAGCAGTGTTTTTCAACTTTGGTACCTGTGGACTTCAATTCCCAGAATTCCCCAGCCAGCATGCTGGGAGTCAAAGTCCTTCTCTTTTGAAAGGGCTGAGATGTTTAGAGGAGCTGGGCTGTTCGGGTTGCTGCTGTTACCCCGAAAACCAGCCCCACCAAGCCAGGCTCTCCTCAGCCAGCCGGGAGAACGGGATTCCAGCAGCTGCCAGATGTGCTGGGACTACAGTTCCCAGAATTCCCCACGGCCAGCCAGCTTAGCAGGGTGACAGCTGCCCGGGCCGGCTCTCTCCGGAGAGCGCCCAGTTGGAGAAGGGCTGATCCACCCAGTCCAACCAGTCCGACTCCTTGTAAGGCGATTTCCTGGTTCCTCGTTTGCAAATCGCCGGGCGCGAAGCGGCGGAGGGGATGAGACCCCCCTGCCAAGCCCACCCTCCACCCGCCAAGGGAGGGAGGCCAGTTCCGACGTGATGCGGGACACGCGAGGAGCAGGGACCCTCCTTTGGGGGGGTCGGCTCAGGACCAGCCCCTCGCGGGCTCTCTTCGGCTCCCCTCCTGGCCCTGGGGACCAGGGAGCCAGCCCCGCGTCCCCAGCCTCCCGTCTGAAGCGCGGAGAGGCGGGCAGGCGCCGCTCTCCCTCCAGCTGGGCTCCCAGCCGCTGCAAGCAGAGGGGCCACCGAGACCGGACCACCTGCCCTGCCCAGCCAGCCGCCCCCGGGCCGGCGGAGGAGGCGGAGTAGCGCGGCCCAGCCCAGCTCAGCCCAGCCCGGCCAGGCGCGCCGCTGCAGCCGCCCGCAGGAGCCCGCGGGCCATGGCTCTGCCCGCCCGGCCACCCAGCCGCACCTCCGAGGCCGAGATGGCCCTTTACTACCGGCTGCTGCGGAGCGCCGCTCGCGCCGAGGCTTTGGCCGGAGCCGGTAAGGCGCCCGGGGGAAGCGCATCCTCTCCCCACACCTCCCCGCGCCCCGGCTCGGCGGTACTCCGGCCGTGGCGGAGTCTCTGCGCTACGGAAAGCGGGCTGGAGTGGAGAGGTGGTGGGGGTTGCTGGGGGTGTCCTTCCTCGTTTCCCCCCCCCTTCCTTATTTCTCCTGCCCCGGCATCCCGTGTCTCAAGAGGTTTTAGGTTGCTGCCACGAGAGAAAGAGGGAGATAGAGAGGGAGGGAAAGAGCAGGGGAGAGAGAGAAGGAGGTTGGGAGGGAGGGAGGGGGAGAGAGAGAGAGAGAGAGAGGGAGGAAAAGAGCAGGGGAGAGAGAGAAGGAGAGAGAAAGAGAGAGAGAGAGAGAGAGAGAGAGAGAGAGAGAGAGGAACTTTGGGGTTGCCAACTGACCGAGAGGAGGTGCCCCCCTGGGACCCTGGCTGCTTGCCTACTGTAGGAAAAGCAGAGGAGCCCGAAGGAGAAGGGCTGGCAGGGAAGCTGGCAAGGGCCGTCCTACAGCAATGGAGGGTTTGGTGAAAGGGAACGGAAATGTGGGGGTCCCGGGTCTGATGCTGATCATGGGAACGCAGGCAGGTTTGCTTGTCACATGCGGTCAGGGTTGGGTTGAAAACAGGATGCCCTGAAGAGGGTCTTTTTCCTGTAAGAGAACGCTGAAGCTTGGTGCATTTTGTGCTTTGGAAATCGGAATGCCAACAGGGCCTGACTGGCCGTTCCTGTGGGTGGTAGGACAGAGACCCCTGGGCTCAGTCCCCCCCCCCCAGAGATCAGCAAACAGCCAGTTTTGGCCCAGAGGGGGCTTGCTGCTAACCTTCCGATCAGATTCCAGCTTTTCCTTAAGACCAGGTGCTCCCTTTGCCCCAGTGATGGACTGGGGAGGGGGCTCCCTTCTCTTTCCTTCAGCCCTCCTGATGGGGAGATGATTCCCCCCTCCCTGTTTTTGCTGTTATTCCTCTTCTTTATTCTTCGCCTTTTGGCTGTAATTCATCCCTGCATCTTCCAGCATTCTCATCTAGTTAGATTTGCAGTGAGAAATAAAACCTAGTAGTTGGTCCCAGGCGAGGGAATAAACAAAATATTCCTCTCTGTTTCCTAAAGGTAATTAATCAATCTGGGCATCCTGAGCCAGGAAAGTGGGCTGAGCTTTCTCTGCATTGGCCAGCCGTCTTTCGAAGCCCTGCCAAGCTTGCCTGGGAAGGCAGGCAGAAAAGGAAACCCGTGACATGTGTGGTTGTCAATGGGTGTTGTAGTAGGTTTTGGGTTGCAAAACACACTTCTCAGGTGCAGGCAGGCGAGAGCAAGAAATAGCCTGGCTGGGTCAGAACAATCCTCCTTGCCTTTCTAGCTTTCTTCTTGCAGGGACTGGAAAGTGCAAGTTTTCTCTAGGAACGGAGCATAAAATTCAGCGCTGAACAGAATTAAGTCCCGTCTTAGCCAGAGAGATAAATGAAGAGTGGATAAGCCTGAATACAGGCAGTTCTCGGCTTACGAGCCCAACTGAGCTTTTTGTTGCTAAGCAAGATGGTTGCTAAGTGAGTTTTGCCCCATTTTACGACCTTCCTTGCCCAGTTGTTAAGTTAGTAGCCCAGTGATTAAGTGAAGCCGGCTTCCCCATTGACTTTGCTTGTGCAGAAGGTTGCAAAAGGGAATCGCGTGGCCCCAGGACGCTGCAACCGTCATAAATATGAGTCAGTTGCCAAGTGTTTGAATTTTGATCGTTTGAGGATGCTGCCACGGCCATAAGTGTGGAAAATGGTCATATGTCACTTTTTTCAGTGCCATTGTAACTTTGTAACTAAACAATCTTTGGTGCTTGGTAAACAACGTGTTGCCTGGGTTCACATATTTAACAATAATAATAATTAATTTCTATAATTCCATAGTTAACCTGTTAGATAATAATACACTTCCTTGATCCTCTCTTCTTCCAGTAATGTTCTCATTTTACCAACGTTAAGCAAATTCTCGATACATACAAAATTCAATAGAGGCGTTTTGGTAGTGTTTATACAAATAACAATAATATCAGTATATAACATCTTTTCTAACCAGCTTATATTTCAATTGTATTTGCAATTAAGGTCTTCTTATTGAACCAATAGAGATCCTGATTTTCGAGCTCTTATTTAAATTAAGTTTCCCATCAGTATTCAAAATATTCTCGTCAGTTATGATTTTCTCCCAGTTGTAACTCAACAAGCTGTTGTGAGACGACGATTACCTGCACTGTATAAGTAAGGAATATTGGACCAGAATCGTTGCCTTCGTTCCTACCAAGTATTTTCTGGCCTTAGAAATATTTCATAAACGTGTTTGCAAGCGGGGAAATCTGATTTTCTCACTGTTCTTTTTCTCCCTTTCGTATTTTTCAAGCACTTTCTGAATCCTGGTGCTCTTGTGCTCGTAATTGTCTTTCTGGATCTGCAGTCGGGTTTGGCCGAACGGCTAGAGCTTCCATGTACAGGGACTGTCTATACAGGCAGTAAAGGGTTCCAGGGTCTTCAGCCCCCATTTCTTCCATTTTCTCCTGTGAAGCAAGGAACACCCTGACCTGGTTGATAGTAGAGATGCCTTGGTGCAGATTTATTCTTTAACTGTGGTTTTAATCTTTAACCTACAAGGGTGTGTTAAAAGGGTGGACATATTTACTCTTCTAGGCTAATTAGTGTGTTTAATCAACTTGATGCTGATTTTTAGAAACCTTGGACCCAGTCTCTGAATCTTTGAGGGGGAATCCCCAGTTTTGAGGGGAACCCCAAGATCCGCAGAAGCACAAAAAATATTGAGGTGTACAAATATAAGGGAAGCATCCAAAATGAGGACGGGGTTTGTCTTTTGGAACAGAATAGAGATTTAGTTATGGGCAGGTGGTGAAGGAGCAGAAAATTCAAATTAGAACAGGTGCTAGCTGGAATCCAAAACAGCAGCAGCTCACGCTGCAGAAGCTACGAGATTTACACCCAGATGTTTTGTTGATTTTAATTCTCGGTTTCCAAAGTAATGTTAACACGCAACGTTTTTCCCAACAGCATGGCAAGCATCCAGCAATTTCTTCTTCGACCACAGGGTGGTTGAAAGTTCCTCTTTTCACACACACACACACACACCCCAAAGAAGAGTTCCTTTTTGCAACTAATGAAAATCCAGTTTGACTTGAAGTAATTAAAACTCTTCCTCTTTAATTTGGAAACCCATTAGAGGATTAGAGTAACAGGGAGGAGGAGGAGAAGGAAGGGGAAATTAATTACAAATCCTATTCGGCAGCCCAAGGCTGCTAATTTAAGAATCCCAGTGATGGATTTTCCTTGAGATTAGTTTCATTTTTGTTTTTTGTTTTGAAAGGAGAGTCCTGAAGATTAATGAATTATCCTGCAGTTCTGTGTATTTTTCAGGCCAGGCAGGTGTCTCTAGGATTGCAAATTAATGGGTATACATTATTGGCTTCTCTTTCATAGGAGCGTCTACTAAACCCTCTTGGGCTCTCCGGATAATGGTGTCATCCTGGTTTTATTTCAGTGCATTATTTTATTAATTTATCAAAGCATAAAATGCAAAAGTATGAAAAAAAACGAAAATAAAGGTAAAATACAGGAGGAAAAGGGGAAGAGAGAAAAGTGTAGGGTAGACAGGAAAAGGAAAAACAATAGACTTCCGACTTCAGACAAATTCCATTTATAAACTGCCGCCATTCAATCGTGTCTTTGGGGAAGCAGCCCATCAAAACAGAAGAGTCGTTGATCAATTCATGAATGGGATCTTGACTTGGAAAATTTCGTGGTGTGCAGACCACAGCTTGTTCCCTATTTTCCAGGGTTTTTTTTAAGGCTATAATATTGCTTTTGTCTACAATATTTCAAACTGTATTGTCTTCCATCAGCCTTGCGGAGAAAAGCTTGCCCTTTGATTTGTTTTCCATTTAGGCTGGAGAGCCTGGATATGGGAAATTGTTCCATGCGTCAATAAAAAGAGCTTTTGTATTTGGAAATGGTGGCTGTGTGTTCTCTTGGAAATCATTTTTGCCCAATATTATAAATATTGCTTGACCTCCCTAAGTAATAAAAGCAGTTCACGGGCATTTTAATTGAAAAATTACAAGTCAAAATGTAACTTTCTGGTGAGAGTCCTTGCAAGTTAATGGACTGTGCTGGCTGTCACAGGTCTCTGGTGCTGATTGGCTGGGTTGAGGTGACGTCATGGAACGTTCAGGTTTTTTAGGAAGATTGGGGGGAGGAAACGGGTGAATCTGAATCGAGTGAATGGAGAAATGTTTTGGGGGCTGGAGAAGAGCTGAGCAAAGAACATTGATGGTGGGCACTCAGCAGGCAAAAGACTGAATTCAAATTTAAATGCAGATTTATTTAGTTATGGTGAACTACCAGCAAAATGTATCAAAAAGCTCAGCGCTGATGGATCCATACAAGACAGACAATATAACAGGTATATAAAACCCAAAAAGAAAAGTAAACCTAAGAACTGGAGGAACAGAAGGCTTGAGTAAAACCCAATAACAGAGTAGAAAACACCATGTAAAATAGAGATGTGGTAAAATAGGAATGCAGTAAAATAAAGAAAAAGGGATAAAGGGGAAGAAGGAGACTGGAAGAAGTAAGAGTAGAGATGGACAATCTCTAGGAAGCCAAGATCTGCCCATAACGTTTGGTGGAGCTGAAGGCCATTTCACAAGTGGGCAAAAGTGACTTCTTAAATGTGGGTTGGGATTTTAGGCTTTAAATTCCATATTTTTGCTTCTTCCCTCCTCCAAATGGCAGGAAGCTTTCAAGGGCAGGCCTGTTAGGGGTTCTCCCTCATGACCCTTCATTAAAGACACCAAGATGATCATTAGGAGGAACATGGGAGATGTTCCACCATTCAGAAGGAGACAGGATGGAGGAGGAGGAAAAAGGATGAGGAAGCTAAACTGCATCCAACGGATAAAGAAATTAGGAACAAGCTGCTGCTTTGCCACAAGCATGAGGAACAAGATCCCAAAATTGCCAAAAGGGAAACTCAGGGACCCTGAAGCCGTGAGGGTGAGCTGCCCAGCCAGTTCGTTCTCACACACTTCGCACTTTTGTGTTTGCTAGAATCAGCTGCCCCATCGCGGGCCAAGGAGCTTGCGGAGGACCTGAGGAAAGGAATTGCATTTCTTTCTGGTGAGTGGAATTGATTTGATTCTTCCTGCCTGTTAGAAAGTCTCTTTTGAGAAGGATGGGCTGACTGTAAGAGCAGGTAGACTTTGTCTTCCAAGAGTCAATGCAGCTTGAGAAATGGGAAGAAGAAGGTCCATCAGATGACTTGGCCTTAGCTTGTTCTGCAGAGGCTGAAGGTTGAAGGTGAAGCTCTCTGCTGACTCCCTTCTTATGGGTCTCAATCATCTGGGGGCCAGAGCTGTCGTCCATTGCATAGAAGAGAGGAAGAGGAGGATGAAGAAGAAGAAGAAGAAGAAGAAGAAGAAGAAGAAGAAGAAGAAGAAGAAGAAGAAGAAAAGAAGAAGAAGAAGAAGAAGAAGAAGAAGAAGAAGAAGAAGAAGAAGAAGAAGAAGAAGAAGAAGAAGAAGAAGAAGAAGAAGAAGAAGAAGAAGAACAGGCATCTCTTTTTCTGCCTTGTTCTCCAGATGTTGAGTCTTAATGTACAAAAAAATAGGTGGTTACTTTGAGCTGATTATTGTAGGCTGCCTACATCAGGAAAAGCTCTTGAAGGCATGAATCCTTTGCTGAGATCTCTCCTTTAAGGAAGAAGGAAGGAAGGAAGGGAAGGAGGGAGGAAGGGAGGAAGATGGAAAGGAGGGAGAAAACTATAGAATGTGGTTTAGTGAGTGGCTTTGATTCCTTTTTTCATTTTTCTTGTCTAGGTGGGAGAGGAAAAGACAAGGAGTGGATTGTCACATTTCCTGAAAGTCCTACTTTCAGCCAAGTGCCTGAGGAGGTCATAACAAAAGTTTTAACCTACCTCGCATGGATCCCAAGGTACAACTCTTAACTTAGTGCTGTGTTTCTCAACCTTGGCATGGACCTTATTGCCCGGAATTCCCCAGCCAGCATGGCCATTGATGAGAATTCCGGGAGTGGAAGTTCAGGCCCCTGGAAATTGCCACAGTTGGGAACCTCTGCTTTAGAATCCCATTGCAAAGTTTGCTTCCCATAAGCCATTTAAAAAAAAAAAGATCCATTCTGGTTTTGCATTTCAATGTAGATTTGACCCCTGCAATATTCTTTCTGTGCTATCAACTTTTTTTCCCCTTACCTTCTAGCCAACGCAGACCAGAAAGCAAATTTATTCTCATCCTGGACAGAAGGTTAGATACATGGATGTCGGTCAAAATGACTCTCCAAAGAATAGCAGTAAGTTCCTGTGGGCTTTTGCCAAGCTTCAAGATGTAGAATCAAGCTGTAGGATCCTTGGTGCTCACTGAGCTGGGTTGTTTTCTTGACCCAACTAGAGAGTTGAAATCCACAGGTCTTAAAGTTGCTGAAGTTGAAAAACACTGTTCCAGACCAATCTTATTCAAACCAGTGGTTACTTTTCAAGATTCAGATGAAAAAATAGGTCTCCTGTTACTTCGTGTATTGCCACATTTTAAATTGGAAGCCTACAGAATGAATCCGAATTCTGTAGTTCTTACTCTTGGGTTGAGTTAGAAAGGCCTTCGGGACCAAAATTGAGTAGAGTAACTCATATGTATCTTTTAAACCAAGAGTTTAGTCCAGAAGCAGGATTACTGCTCCAAAACAAAGGAGAAAGTGATTGAGACTTTTGTTGTCCTAAATGATGGCAAAGCACTAGAAATTATCAAACCCAGTTCATGAGGGATGTCATTTCACTTCTGGCTTAATTCAAGAGGATTGCTGTGGCTGACTCTCCCTTCTCTCCTAGAGAGTCTGTTTTTCCATCCTTCTTCTTTTTCTCCTCCTCCTCCTCCTCCTCCTCCTCCTCCTCCTCCTCCTCCTCCTCCTCCTCCTCCTCCTCCCCCTGCCTCTCTTCCCCCATTCCCTCTCCCCTCTTCCTCCAAAGTTGCCAGATGATCTCTCATGCATTTCTGTCCCATGCCTAGTAGCCCCCAGCCACCAATGGTACATGTTTTGTACCCAGCTTTCTGGTCTAAAAATACACTAAGAAAAGGATATTTTTTCCCATTCTGGAAAAGAGACTTCTAGAACTAGCATAATGCCCTGAATATGATAGCTTCTTCCAAAGAGAAAAGGCACTTCTGCATTCCACCTTAAAAATGCACAGCTGTATTTGGCCACCGAGTGTCTCTCTTTTGCTCCCTCTCTGGGTTTTTTTTTCTCTCTCTCTCTCTCTCTCCTTTTCTGCCCTCTCTTTTACCGGTAGCTGGGCCAACCGCCATCCCTTTCTTTTTCTTGCACATTTGCTGGCTCTGCTTTCACCAGCCTCAGGTATCAGATTATCCGATGGGCAGTTTTGAAGGAAAGGGCATCTGATTACGGGCATCCCCAGGTGAAATCCTAGGAAACTCAAGGCTTGCTGTGTCGGGCTGCTGGTGCAGAAGCCCAGGGAGAAAGCCGGCTTGATGCCGGAGTCTCCACTTTCGACAATACAGCATTGACACTAGGGCAGGAGAGGTCCACCGGAGGCCTCTCGTGTGGGTTGCTGTGGGGGAGATGGCCGAGGCAGGTGTGCCAAGAAGCAGGATGTGGTGCCGAAGAAATGCGGTAAGAGCCTGCAGGCTTTGTCCTTTTTATTTCTTTGCAAAGCGGGTTGGAAGCTGCAGGAATCCTGGCTGGGCATCTTCTAGGACAAAAGGCAGAAGGTGGTGCTTAGGAAGGAGACAGTGAGCGGAGGCTTCTTGCAGCTGACTTTTCTTTTTTTTCTTTGCCCCCCCCTCCTCCTTTTAATCATCCAAGGTGACTTGGGCAGGTTGGCATCCAAGTTGAAACATGGTGTGTCAGAAATAATTGTCTGAATCTCTCTTTTTATGTTCTTCTTTTTAACCTCTTGCAAAACATGGATGAATTTGGGGTTGGTGTTTATGTGTGCATAGAGACATAACGGAGAGATAGAGATGAAGCTGAGAGAGAGAGAGAGAGAAAGAGAGAGAGATGTCAGTCCTTGAACAGTGAAGGAGATAAATGACTCAAAACTGCTTTCTCCTTTTCAAGGCCTTGGGGGGGGGGGAGTCCTTAAAAAAGCAGGCCAGGCTTTTTAAGCTGCTCAAATAGGAGGTTGCATGTAATATGTTCTAATTGGCTTTATTATTAGACTTTATTGTTGTTAGGAATAAGCCTATTTTTTTCTGCGGGTCCCCCCTCCCCCCAATGTGTGAAGAAATGGCTTTTTCTTAAAAATGGGGGGGAAGCAAAAATAAAAGCACTGTATTTTCTTTGACTTTCAGTCCCATCTCTATCTTCAAAGAAAAGGGAGGGAGGGAGGGAGGGAGGAAGGAAAGAAGGAAGGAAAAGAAAGGAAAGAAGGAAGGAAGGAAAAGAAAGGAGGGAGGGAAGGAAAAGAAAGAAAGAAAAGAAGGAAGGAAGCAAGGAAGGGAGGGAGAGAGGAAGAGAGGGAGGGAGAGAGAGAGTGAGAGAGGAAGAGAGGGAGGGAGAGAGAGAGTGAAAGAGGAAGAGAGAGAAAACAATTTTCATTTTGGAAGAGTGAGCAGGCCTTATATTGGGACTGGTTTTATTGGGTACCCTGGAAGTGGGGCTACCCCCACACACACACACACACTCCCATGCACCAAATACAACTTGTGGTTGTATCTCCCCCCCCCCAATTAACGTCCAGACAAAGGTGAACTGGAATTAATACATCCACTTTCCAAAGACTCATGTCTGGTTAATCTTCAGAACCTTCATTCTGTAGTCCTCTGGGAGAACTGGGGCCAAAAATCCTCAGGTCTAGCTTTTGCCAAGCATTTCTGAGCCTTTAGTGACAAAGGACGCTGGCTGAGTTTGCCTGGTTTCTCCCAGGCTGAAAGGCCCAGAAAGAGCCAGCTGGCAGAATTCCCACCGGCTTAAATTGGACATGTTATCAATTCATTTGCATCTGCTCATTATTTGAGGTTGGTTTTAAAAATAGCTCTTGGGAGTGTGGTATCTTTCAAGGGCGAGAATGGAACTGGTCATGAAACCATTATTAAGCGAGATCATGGACAATAAAAGATTGAGGGAACTAGGTATGTCTAGTCTAACAAAGAGAAGGACCAGGGGTGACATGATAGCAGTCTTATTTCCTTCTTAGGTTTTTTTCTGAGTGATGTGTGGTTTATCTCTATGTGTCTAGTAGAACATTCTTACTGTAGCTAATTTCAGATTTGGCTATTATGGAGAAGAATAACATTTATTTATTTGGCCTTCTTTTTAACTCCAGACTTCTTTTCCTGGGAATCTCCACCTTGTGATGGTCCTACGTCCCACTGGGTTTTTCCAGCGCACTTTTACCGACATTGGTTTCCGATTTAGCCAAGAGGACTTCCTTCTCAAACTTCCGGTGAGATCCCTGTTGCTTTGAAATGCATTAATGCTGCAGCTTTGGAATTTACTGATTTTTTAAAAACCTCTACGAGGTGGGAAGTTTTAGAGCTATTTCCCATTATGCAGTTTTAATTGTAATAGGTGTAAAAGTGGAGGCTTTGGGCCATATCTTGAAGGACTCTTGCACCTCATTCAGCAGTATCAATGTGAACTGTATGAAGCTTGAGATGTCCTTGGCCAAACATGGCTTCTTTTACACAAGAGAAAGAGGGAGGAAGCAAAAGCAGAATTTAGTTATGATCCTGTCTCTCGGCTGGTTCTGCCACAGCTCAGGGTCCCCAGAGAATAGGAGCTTGATTTAGCTTGTGAGTTTGTAGACTTTGCCAACTCGGTAGTTTTCTTTTGAACGTTCTGCTTGATGATGCTTGCAAGCCATCGAGTCTGTTGACTTTCATGTTTGCTTAGATAGATCTCCCTGATGATGTGTCCTTGGCCTCTTCCAACAATACTCTCAATGCCGTTATAACTGAGTCCATCTGCTTTGGTTCTGATTGTCCTCTTCTTCCACCTTTCCCAGCATCTCCCACCGGAGAGAGCTAGATATGCACCTTGTGTGCAAAACAGGACAAATTGTGCCTTGAGCGAGAACTCCGATTTGTTCCATGATCCATTTGTTTCATTTTTTGGCCGACTGTGGTCTTCTCAGGAATCTCCTCCAACACCAAGGCTCAAAAGCATCTGTAGTCTTCCTCTCCTGCTTCTTCAGTTTTCACTTCCAGGGAATAACACAATTTATGTGACTCTGATCTTTGCGCCCCAAAATGTCTTTGCCTGCTCCTCTGGCTGAATCCAATCAATCCCTGAACATACCTGCAGTGTTCTATCAAATTGAGCTTCTAGACCTCTATGGAAATGGACTTCGTTAGGACCAGCAACTGTGATTGTCTTTTCTTCCTCCCCTCCCCCACTTCTCTAGGTGGTAATGCTGAGTTCTGTCAGTGACCTATTGACATACATCGATGAAAAGCAATTGACACCTGAATTCGGAGGCACCTTGGAATATTGCCATAGCGAATGGGTCATCTTTAGAACGGTACGTCTCTGATGTTAACATTTTTATGCCAACATTCTGGGTTTATGAGGTTAGCCTCTGGGGCACCATGTCTGAACCTGGATGGAATGGAAGGATGTGGCCAATCTCTGCTCATATAAGAAACAACGTAGCCCTGCCTACTTCATAAGAAATATTCCTCCTTGTCCATAAATCATTGTCCAGCAATCAAATCTTTGGGACTGGGAGGGAGATTTCAGGATTGGACCCCTTCAAGACCCCAGTAGGGTGAGGTCCATCAGCATCTCAGGGGGAACCTCAGTCCAATTTTACTGAATAAATGCCTAAACCAGCAATATTTGCTTGCTAGGCTATAGAAAGCTTTGCACTCACAGTGAAGGAAACCGCTCAGATGTTGCAGTCTTTTGGCATGGAGTTAGCTGAAACACACCTGCCGGATGAAACCTATTCCATTGAGCACATCCTGGCTCTGCGGACAGAGAAATACTATCAGCTAAAGGCAAGTTGAAAGAAATTGTAGCCATTTCCTTGCTGTTGCTGCCTGAACTTGCCAACCCTCAGTCATGGGTTCAGTTCATACATCATGGCAAACCCTGGCTCACTTAACCCTAGTTTGTTGAGTAAGACAAGGGGAAGTTGAGTCCCTCCTAGAATAGTCTTCATGATGGTTGAGGGGTCATGTGGATCAGAGGAGGTTTGCTGTCTTTTGCAGGAAGATATCACTGCAGTAACCAAAGAAGGGAAGATGTTGTTATGTAGTTTAGAAGAGCCAAATATGGACGATCTAGGAGAAGATCAGCAACAAGAGAGATCCAGTGACTGGGAAACTGTCCATCGGTGGGTATCATGAACCTGAAGCTTAGTTTTAAGTTGGGTACCTAGAAATTCAGGTGGAGCTTCCCAGAGCAATGCAGAGGGGAATGTCAGATGAACATTGGCTGACCCAAAGATGTCACCTTAAGAGATACAGTGCCACAAGCATGTGGTTAAAAGAGGTTCAAGCGCTCTTAAATTCATAGATCCCGGTCAATTGCCCAGGGTAAAAATTTCACAGCCCATCTCTGCTCTTAGATCCTTTCTTCCTGTTCTCACCACTTCTTCCTGGTCTCTGTCCAGTTTGTGCTTGTTTAGTTAAGGCTAAGAGTCAAACACAGCCATGTAGACCCAGATCAGTTCCTTCAAACACCGAGTAAAAGGATATAGAGTGGTAGGCGAATTGGAAAGGGATCGGGGGCCAATTTTGTTGGAGATTTGGAAAGATATGGGTCAAAAAGAATAGAAAAGTTCCTTAGAATTAATATAAAGGGGTATACTGTGTCCCATAACCCAGTTTATGGATGTTATTTTAGCCACTTTCTATGAATCAATAGTTCTTCCCCGACTCCAGTTTTCACTTCAGAAGGCCATAAATCTCAAGGGTGTCTCCTAGCTGGCTAATATCAATACCAAACTAGACTTTCTGGAATGGATCCCATACTAGATTTAGCTGGGGGTAAATCCCTATGAGTCCCCTGGATAGACGTAGAAGACATTGAGAAACACGCACAGATCCACCAAATGACTGACTTTTTTTGCTCCCGCGAGGAAAGTTTACTCACCCAACTGCACGAGATGGAAACAGCTTTTGATGGTTTCTGGGAAAAACATCAGCTGAAGATGGAGCAGTACTTGCAACTGTGGAAGTTTGAGCAGAATTTCCAAGAGGTGAGAAGAAAGAGACGTGACTTTGGTCTTTCTGAGATGTTTCAGAGAAGTATGGGATCGTTTCCAATGATTTCAGATAGGGAGAAATTAGCTTTCTAGCTAGATTTTATATCAGAAATGAATTATTTTGGCTTTGGAGGATTGCAAGAAGTCTCCTGTCTCTTCCTCCCTCCTTCCCTCCCTCCCTCCCTCCCTCCCTCCCTCCCTCTTTCTTTCTTTCTTTCTTTCTTTCTTTCTTTCTTTCTTTCTTTCTCTTTCCTTCCTTCCTTCCTTCCTTCCTTTTCTTTCTTTCTCTTTTTTTCATCTTCACCATAAAGTACGCACCAATACTTAAACCAAGTATTTTTGAGGGAGTTTTTTTAAATATATCCCATTTTCATCAGTATCTTTTGGGGCTAGAAGCACCAGATCTCAACAAAAGAAAAAAACAGCATTTTTCAAGCAGCATCAGAGTCACAGACTCCTTGTGCCTGTTCTTAATAAATGATGACCTTCTGTTGGTTTTGGGTTTTTTTCCTTCGAAATAAAAGTTTCTCTTTTTTCAGCTCAGTAAAGCCCTGGAATTCTTAATGGCCCAACAGCGGGAATTGTCAGATACAGGAGAAAATGTCGCTCAGGTGAAGCAAAGGCTCTCAGAGTTGGATAACTTGGACCAAAGGGCGCAGGTGAGCCCCATTGCCATGGAAAACAGACTTGTGACTATGGACCAGCCTCTCCTTTTGGTTGACAAAGGATGCTCTTTGCTAAATATTATTTTTGATAAGGAGAACTCCTCTGAAAGATTGGAGAAGGGTATTATGGCATGCAAATGAGAAGAGATGAGACAGGTGGATTTTCACAAATTTGATGGGATTATTATTTTAGGAGGCTAAACTAGTCACATGGACCTTATTTCGCTTTCATCTGGGGGGGGGGAAATGATCCATTCGCTTTGGATTGCTTGACTGGAAACACATTTAGCCAGAAGGCCTGACTGATTTCAGAAACTCTGCAAGGTCCAACTTGGTTGCTATTTGAATTAGAGACCCCTGCAGAATCTCGGGGCAGTTGACTTCCTTGGGAAGTTGAGAAAATGTCCCAGGAAAAGATAGTGACAAACAGCAATGGTCTTGTGGCCAAGAAATTAAGGGCCTAGGAGCTGAATTTGGCTCCTTTGACAGCACAATCCTGGGAAGGTCCAATAAAATAGTTTGGAGGCCACATTGCAACTTTCAGAGGGAGAGAATGAAGATTGCAGAGTCATATGATATAAGAAGCACAATTGAGAAAGGAAGAGTTCAAAGTTATGGGAGGTGACACGGCCTCATGCTTTTGACATCCTATTCCCTCCCCCTCCCCCATCCCCATTGCCTTTAAAAGGATGTAACAGGAAAGGCCCAAATGGTGATTCTTCACGGACATCAAATGGCGGCCAACCACCATTATGCCCTCAACTTGATTTGCCAGCAGTGCAACGAATTGCGCCATCATTCGGACATTTTGCTGGAAGAAATCAAAAATAAACACAACAGGCTCCAGCAAACATTGGACCTCCTCACTTCTCTGCAGCAGGTAATCCACGGATGTAGATGTATGAAGACCTTGCTTCAGCCACCTTTGTCTTCTTCAGTAGGAGATGGTGGAGATGCAGATGGGATAATTGTTTGGGGCTTTCTGATTTACTCATAAACCTTCCTTATCCACCTTGCCATCTCTGTTAGGCCCTGGAATGTTGTGATGAAGGTGTGTATCTTCTAGCCAACCAGCCATTGGACAAATGCCAGTCCCGGGAAGGGGCTCAGAAAGCTCTACAAGACATCGAGAAGTTCCTTGACAGCTCTTCAGTGCATTTAAACATAGATCCCCAAACCCTGTCTTCTAATTTTCATCTCATCTTAACACCGGAACTCAAAGTATGTATAGAGGTTCTCACACTGCTAACACGATCAGTAACTATTACATAAATTGTGACTGTTTGCTTTATAAGATTCTTATTTTGGGGGGGATCCACAGGCTCGGATACAGATGGTCCAGATCAAGCTGGAGAACGTGCGCAGCATGTTTGAGAACCGACAGGCTTGCTTCAGAAAGCTTGCAGACAAGCAAGTCCGTCCAGTGCAGCTTGTAGCTCCCCGGCCCGAATGCACAGCCCGGTTTAAATCTCCGCTGTTTTCCCCCAGACATGGTAACCTGCATTTGAGTTCCATCATCCAGAAATACTCATGAGTGAGCAACCCTGGGGAAGTAGGAGTAGGACTGGGGAATGCATGAGGGAGAATCCATCCCGGGTAGTGGGCTGTATTGGCAAGCGCCAATGACGTCACTGCACCATCTTTGCACCTCCATTCTCCAAACTCTCTTTGCCATGTTTCGGGAAAAAAAAAATACCTTCAAGTTCTTCTTGAAGGAAGTTCTCCAGGACTTCCTTCATCCCACGTGGAAGTGAAGTGAAAAGGAGGAGAAATTTGGAATCCCGTCTGTCCCATTTTTGAATTCAGTGCCTTCTGTAGTATCTCCACCAACCAGCTTCTCCTCCCCTCTCCCCACCCCGTCTCCCTCCTAATCCTGACCTAATTGGTGCCTCTTTTTTATTCTTGCAACAGCATACTTTGAAGATCAGACATCTTCTCTTCATATCTGTTTACACTCTTCTGCATCTGTTTTTCTCCCTACCTCTTTTGCCCATTGCTACATCCCAGGTGCTTCTTCTATATACCTGATATTTCAACCTTTAAATAACAGCAGATTAGATGCTGATCACATTTGCATACAGTACTGCTCTTTTTGTTCCACCAAAGTTTTTTTTTTAGTTTCATAGATATTAAATCTAGACAAAAACAATGGGGTGGAATGGTGAGGCCTCTTGTGGCATAGCTTCTTACCTCTGTTCAGGTGTTGAGTCCATTTTGTAGAATTGGCCTCAATATTTCATTGCCCAGATGAGCTGCCCTAGTGGATAATTTCACGCTGGACTCTGCTTCTGGCCCTATCCATATGAGCCATCTCCCCTCTGTAAAAATTAAATTTGTTCCTGTTCACTGGATGCATGTCCTTAATTGTTTGGTTGGTAGCTCTCCTGAGAGAGCTTTGACTATCTTCATAGTGTCTAGGCAGAATGTTTTCAGATCTTCAGAGTTCCTTTAAGCAGATGAGCAACCATATAAAGTTTATTTAATCGGTCAGTCATTGCTGGCCTCTATTGCACATATCACAGGAGTAGAGACCTTAGACTCCTTGGGAAAATGGATGGAAGGGTAGATGGATAGATAGATGTTAGGATGGATGGATGGATGGATGGATGGATGGATGGATGGATGGATGGACAGATGGATGGATGGATGGATGGATGGATGGATGGATGGATGGGTGCGTGGGTAGACAGACAGACAGACAGACAGACAGATAGAGGAATGGAGGGATGAGGGATTAGATTGGAAAGCATTAGATAGCTTGGGAAGATGGATGGATGGATGGATGGATGGATGGATGGACGGACGGACGGACCAGCTGACTGACTGATTTCTCCTGGGGTAGGGGGAGAGAGAAAGATTATACACATAAACACACATATACATATACATATATTCATTCTTTCACTCATTTCAAATTGTTTGATTTTTTTTCCTGCTTTTTTAAAAATTTCATCCTTCAATTAAATCACCCTCCTTTTGGATGACCCCCCCTTTTTTTAAACATTCCCTTGGGAGGGGGAGGAGTCGAATTTACTAAAAGAGAGCAGTTGAACAAGAAATGATATTTTTATTTCCAAGGTATGGATTTCAATTCCAGTTTGAAATTTTCCTTCGATATCTCTCTACCAGGCAAGAAAACTTCAAGGAAATCTCAAAATTCCCGCAAGGTAGGATATACATATAACAACCAATGAAATGCCAATGGAAGCTGCCCCAAATTTTATGCTGCCTGGAGAATTCTGGGAGTTGAAGTTCAGATATTGTAAAGATTGAGAAACGCTGCCTTAAGGACAGGATTCTAATACACTGAGAGCATAATGCCAAGGCAATCTTAAAAATGAGCTCTTGATTAATTGTGTCTATTTCTATTTGACCTCTCCAGATTGAAGTTGTCCACAATTATCAAGAGAAAAGAAATTCCTTGCAGTACTACATCACGGAAAGTGAAGACAGCTTAGACATGTTGAAAAGGTGTGTTGGCTTTTCCATTTATCTCCTTCCCATCAAGTTTGTTTAATCTGGAAAGAAAGGCTAGATCATCCAAGCAAACTTTAAACAAATGCCTTGGGTCCTGTTTAGTTAAGATGTTTGAAAATCCTTAATCCATGAAAAAAAAAAATATCACCACTATGACCCTAAACACGAAGGCTGAAGTTTTTTATGGCTTCTACCAAAAGCTGGATTCACTTGCTCTTCTTGTTTTTCTAATAAAGGAAAATATTTGTAGCTCTGGGTTGAAATGAGGGGTCCTTGGTGCGCTCTGAGCTTGCTTCTTTTCTTGCAGATGTTTCATGACCCATCTAGGTGACATCATCAGTGCTAGAAGAAAGTGGGGTGTGTGGAGAGGAGGGGGAGGAGGAGGAGGAGCATGGGGTCCTTGGTGCTCCCTAAGCTTGGTGATTTTCTTGCAGACATTTCATGACCCAACTAGGAAACATCATCAGTGCTAGTGATGTTGATGTTATCTAATTTGGCTCATGAAACGTCTGCAAGAAAACAACAAACAGCTCAGAGAGCATCAAGACACCATCTTCTTGTTTTGTTGTGAAATAGTTGTAGAGTCATCTGTTGATGCTTTTCAGTTGGGTTTCATTCCAGCCACGTCATACATGAACTGATACAAACTGAACGAGTGTACGTTGAGGAACTTTTCACAGTTTTGATGGTGAGTATTTATTTACTGGATTATTATTTTTTTACACACATATGGTTGCCCAACTCCTAGGGCAACTTCTCAACTTTATTGTCCCATTAAATGTATTTTAGTGTTCCTATTCTACTTCTGTGCCCATCCTCCACTTCTTGGCCCATATTCCCAGGCAAACCAAAGGCTAAGTGATTAAGTTTTTGATGCGGTTCAAAAGAGAGGCAGTACAAATATTTGCCACGTGAGTGGAACAGTCTGAACTTTGCGCCAGTTTCTGAAGAAGCCAGCTTTTCAACGTGGACTTAGTGTATTTGACAGAGCCAAGAAAAATTAGATCTCTTGGAATTGCTCAGAGGTTCTTAGGAAGCTACTTTTGGATTAAAAAGAAAAAAGAAATATTAAATGCCACGAAGCTAGATATCCCAGCACTGAAAAAGGTTGCGTGCCTAATGTTGCTTTTTGGCTCAGGATACTCAATTCTAAGGTTGCCTAATGCTCGGTTGGGTGATGCTGTTGGCAGGGCTACCGAGCTGAGATGGATAACCCCACCATGACCTTCCTCATACCGCCCCTTTTGAGAAGCTGCAGAGACGTTCTCTTTGGAAACATGCCTGAGATCTACGACTTCCACAACAAGTAAGCTGACCTCTTCCTCAAGCTTTCCTTGGCCTTCCTCATCAATTCAGGAAACTGATCTATTCCCCATCCATCTTTTCCCTTTTGTGCAGTATCTTCCTCCATCATCTGGAGAGTTGCCTTGAAGCTCCAGAGAGAGTTGGGTGCTGCTTCTTGGAAAGGGTTTGTAAGCACCTTTTTCAAACAGATGGTGGGTCCCCTTTATACCAAGGCTGGAACTCCAGTAGATCCAGATGGGCCCAAGGACACCGCTGACATTTCTGCACTTGTCTAGCTCTAAAAGCCCCCTTGCAGTCTTTGACATAGATTTTTGTCCTTGTTTTTTTGTTCCCTTCTGCAGCGGGAGGATTTTCAAATGTATGAGAAGTACTGTCAGAATAAACCACAGTCAGAATCTCTCTGGCGACAGTACGCCGAGAGCCTCTTTTTCCAGGTATTGAGAAGTTAAATGTTTCAGATGTATTTGGGGTGGGGAAACGGACTTAGGTTGTTAGCTATGTTTCTGGATGGAGGAGTCAGAATATCAGTTGGAGCCTGTGAAATGGGTACATTGAGACAGGTTTATGGATGATGATTAAGGTTTTTATCTCAACAGCCAATTGTTTATTTTATTTATTTTTGGGTCTGTCTGGGGGTATGTCTCTGCCAGTGTTGTTAGGGACATGGAAGGATCATGGAAGAAAAGGGATCTATGTGTTGTCTACAAGTCAGCAGCAATTTGATGGCACATAATCCATTGATGGATCATTGTGAGCCACCCAGATTCATTTGTTTAAGGTAGAAACCATAGCAACTGAATAAATAAATAAGTGGAGACATTTCTAACCATTTAAAATTGGACTCATTGAATGCAAAGCATTGGAGCTGCTGAATGGTTCTTTAGTACCCACTCTTATTTAATCCTGATTTTTGACTACAGGCCCATCTCCTCGATTTTTATTTAATATGCTCTTCTCAAGAGTTTTGTAGACTTCAGACAGGGTTGGGGGACTTTAAATTCCAGAATTGTTAGCAGGATCCCTATTAATGAAGGAATTTGGGGATCTGCCTCCACCCATTTGGTGGACATCCAGGATCAGAAAGATGGGTGTCCATGTTCCCAATGGCAAATAAGTTGTGCTTCTTCTGCAGGAATGCCAGAAGAAGCTAGAACACAAGCTCAGTCTAGATTCATACTTGCTCAAACCGGTGCAGAGATTAACCAAATACCAGCTGCTTCTCAAGGTAGGGAGGCTCTTGGCTGAGATCTTTCAAAGGGTTTCTGGATCCCCATGAACCTTTTTCCTACTTCTTGGAGGATTTTGGGATCTACTGGAAATTCCCTTGAGAAACAGCTAGAGGGATTCTGTTTTTCAGGATTACGTCCTTGGGAAAAGTATTAACCAACTCTCTCTCTCTCTCTTTTTTAACTTGCAGGAGTTGCTGAAGTACAGCACAAGCTGTGAAGGTGTGCAGGAATTGCAAGAAGCTTTAGTTGCCATGTTGGATTTGGTGAAGTCAGTCAATGACTCCATGCATCAGATTTCCATCACTGGTTACGATGTAAGTTTTTCTCAGTGTAGAGGGCTTGCTAGATGCATTCAGCAAGAGAGGGATCTCCAGATAACTCCAGACTTTCCACTCAGTATGTTTAAGGAGATGCAGCACAAAAGGAAAAAGAAGGGGAAAGGGAAATACAAACACTGCACATTCAATAAACTTTATATCATATGTGTGGGTGGGTGTACAATCATACATACACAGAGAGAGAGTATAAAGCATAGAATACAAAACATAGAATAATAAAGTGGGAAGGGTCCTTAGAGGTCTTCTAGTCCAACTCCCTACTCAAGCAGGAGACCCTATACCACTCTGTTCAGTCTTCTTGAAAGTCTGCAATGATGGAGCACCCACAACCATATAAATACATAACGAAAAGTTTTAAGGAGAGTGTGAAAACTAACCCAAACTAATATAGAATAAAAAAAACACAGAGCAGAAAAAAGAAAAAACTAAGGAGGAAAACAAACCTCAGCAAGCAGAAAGAAAGACATTTGTGATGCAAAAATAAATAAATAAATTGCATTGCATTGATTACACCCCAGAGTTCTCAAGGAACTGGCAGATGTGATATCGGAGCCACTGAACTATATTTTTCAAAGATCCTGGAACACAGGGGAACTACCAGAGGACTGGAAAAGAGCTGATGTAGTTCCCATCCTCAAAAAAGGAAAAAAAATGGATCCAGGAAATTACAGACCTATCAGCCTGACCTCAATACCTGGGAAGATCCTGGAAAAGATAATCAAACAACGAATCAACGAACACCTAGAGGCAAACAAAGTCATTACTAAAAGCCAACATGGGTTTGTCAAAAATAGATCATGCCAGACAAATCTTATTGCATTCTTTGACCAAGTGACAAAATTAGTGGATCAGAGGAATGCTGTGGACATAATTTACTTGGACTTCAGTAAGGCATTTGATAAAGTAGATCACAACCTACTACTTGACAAGATAGAAAAATGTGGGGTAGACAGAACCACCACCAGATGGATCCGTAGCTGGCTGACCGGCCGTACTCAGCGAGTGGTCCTCAATGGAACTGCATCTATATGGAGGGAAGTGTGTAGTGGGGTGCCCCAGGGCTCTGTTCTGGGCCCAGTACTCTTCAACATCTTCATCAACGATTTGGATGAAGGGATAGATGGGGAACTCATCAAATTTGCAGACGACACCAAGCTGGCAGGAATAGCCAACACTCCAGAAGACAGGCTTAAGATACAGAAGGATCTGGACAGACTTGAACACTGGGCACTAACTAACAAAATGAAATTCAATGGTGAAAAAAGCAAGGTTCTACATTTAGGCAAGAAAAACCAAATGCACAAGTACAGCATAGGTGGCACCATGCTCAATAGTAGTAACTGTGAGAGGGACCTCGGAGTCCTAGTAGACAATCACCTAAATATGAGCCAGCAGTGTGCTGCAGCTGCCAAAAAGGCCAACACAGTGCTAGGCTGCATTAACAGAGGGATAGAATCAAGATCACGTGAAGTATTAATACCACTCTTCAATGCCTTGGTAAGGCCACACTTGGAATACTGCATCCAGTTTTGGTCACCACGATGTAAAAAAGATGTTGAGACTCTAGAAAGAGTACAGAGAAGAGCAACAAAGATGATTAGGGGACTGGAGGCTAAAACATATAAGGAACGGTTGCGAGAATTGGGTATGTCTAGTTTAATGAAGAGAAGGACAAGGGGGGACATGATAGCAGTATTCCAATATCTCAGGGGCTGCCATAAAGAAGAGGGAATTAAGCTATTTTCCAAAGCACCTGAAGGCAGGACAAGAAGCAACGGGTGGAAACTAATCAAGGAGAGAAGCAACCTAGAACTAAGGAGAAACTTCCTGACAGTGAGAACAATTAATCAGTGGAACAGCTTGCCTCCAGAAGCAGTAAATGCTCCAACACTGGAAGTTTTTAAGAAGAGACTGGACAGCCATTTGTCCAAAATAGCGTAGGGTTTCCTGCCCGAGCAGGGGGTTGGACTAGATGACCTCCAAGGTCCCTTCCAACTTTACTACTATTACTATTTGCCTTCTTGGGTCCACAACTGCTCCTTTCTCTTCTTAACGCATGGTGCTCAGGGCCTGTTTTCTGCAAACAAGCAACCCCTGCCTTGCCAATCCGGGGCCTGACGTAAACCTTTCCTCTTCCTTCCAGGGGGACCTCGGTGAGCTTGGCAAAGTCTTGATGCAGGGCTCCTTCAGCGTGTGGGTGGGCCACCGGAAGGGCCCCACGAAGATGAAGGACCTGGCTCGCTTCAAGCCGATGCAAAGGCACCTTTTCCTCTACGAGAAAGCCCTGGTCTTCTGCAAGAAAAGGGAGGAGCATTGTGACAGCTACGACAAGCGGTCATCCTACAGCTTCAAGCACTTTCTGAAGGTAAGGAAGCACTGAGCGCTCGGATGCTGGCGGTGTCCTGTGTCCCGATTTTATTTTCAGTGGTAGGGTAAGGAGCATCAACCGCAGAGTGGCTTTTTGAAGAGTTATGGGTTAAAAAAGACACATAAGCGATACTGTGGTCCATAACAATGGCTTTGCTCTGAAGTGCTTGGCTTTCCCTGCTTTGCCTGTCAACTAAAAGCTGAAAAATCCTTTCTTGGAAAGAAGACAGGAAAAAGGATTGGCAGTTTTCTGCCTGGCTGTTCTCTGCCTCTGGACACGTCTGCAGCTCTCAGATGCCTCCAGCTGAGGGTCTGATTGGTTTCTCCAGCCGTGCCTGGAAACCTCGTGTGCAGAGACGACTTTGTGATTGGTCAAGGCTGTCCTGAGGCCATCTATCACAGCGGATGAAAGCCATGTCCAAAGCAGAGGAGAAAGAGAGAACAGATGCTTTGCCAGATGGTCCCATTTGTTGAATGCCTCCGTTCCTCCTGCCCCTGTTGTTTTGTGCACGCAGGCAGCGCAAGATGTCATTCACAAGCACGAGAGAAGCCCTGAATATGGTCATTTGTATCTGCAGGGAGCCTTGTTTATCTGGCTCGATAGGGACATTCGGGGGTGGGGAGGCAATGAGGCAGCTCTGAAAAGGTGGGCTTGAGGGCCGTGTTTGCATGACGTGACTCATGTGGCCATCTTCTGCCCCTGGCCAGTGACTCAGCCTGGTGCTTTGGCCGCCTGCAATCTGGAAAAACTGGGCCAGGCAGTCAACTTTTCAATCTTCCCAGTTTTTCCATGCTTAGAAAGAACAAAGGGAGGGGAGGAAGGAGGAAGGAGGAGGAGAACGAGGAGGTTACTATAAGGAAAACCTGGAAGGAGAAAGTCAGTAGTAATATTTTTTAGTGTAAAAACAATAAAAATGAAAGCTAGACCTTGATGAGAGGTCATGCAGGATGGTGATGACCAGCCAAGGTTATTCTTTCAAGTTCTGCATGTGAATTTCTTCCTTCTTTTAGATGAATGCTGTTGGAATCACGGAAAACGTGAAGGGAGACCCTCGCAAGTTTGAGATCTGGTACAGCGGGCGAGAAGAGGTCTATGTGGTACAGGTAGTCTTCCTGTAACTTCTCTCATTTTGACATTGAGGGACAAGCATCTGGAATTTCTGGAACCGAAACCGAAACTATTGGAGGTGAACCAGCAATTTCTTGGTGGTCCCTAGGATGAACATCCCCCATATAAAGCTGGCGTGATATGAAACTTTGCTAATTAAGTTCTATAAAGTACGCCGAGTTTTCAACACAGTTTGCAAAACCGTGACCATTTCCTTGGTGCGATTTGACTTGCTGGGGGATGCACACATTGCAGCACTGATGAGGTTACCTAGTTTGGGCAATGCAACATCTGCAAGGAAACAGCCAAGTTTAGAGAGAGCACCAAGGGCCCCTCCCTTTAACCCCAAGCTATAAATCTTCTATTGATACACATCTGTATGTGGGAAGGCCATTCCTGAGAGAGAAGTTCACGTTCTTTGAACGGTTTCTACCACATTCTAAAGAGGAATTTTGATTTTTAGATCTTACTATCTTCTATTAGGCACAAACCTTTGACTTGAAGATGGCTTGGCTAAATGAAATCCGAAAGATTTTGTTCAAGCAGCAACAGCTCATCAAAGGTAAGATATCCTAGTTTAGAAACTCCTCAAGAAATATACAAACCTAGATGATTTTGACTCCAGTGTCTGAACTGGGAGATGGGTGCCCATTTTTGGACGGCTAAATATTAAATCCATGAACAGATGTCCTTAATAGTGGGAGTTTTCAATGAACCTCTTGATCCAATTTATTTCCTGGACCATCTAGACCAATACCCAGATCTGGATATTGACAATTTCCCCATTTCTAACCGTTAGAATGTTTGGTAAACAAAAGGTATGGATCTAACATGATGTTGTATCATGTTCACAGATGAGAAGCAAGTGTCATCTTTGTGTACTGACACAATTCAACTTTCTCCTCCGTTGAGTGAAGGGTAAGTTAGGAAGAAAAAAAAAACCAAGGAATTTTTGGATAATTCATGTGTCTTATTTATAAATCCCTGCCGTTGAATTTCCATATCATTCTGACTTTAAACAAAAATTCCAACCTGTAACATCATTATTTTTCCATTACATCAATTCCAGTGCAATGAAACTTTTATCAGACTTCAGTTTAATGGACACTGCATGGAACAAACCAATATTCCACGCTAATTACTATTATTGGCCTAAGGAAACGATTATCTAAATGACTTCCTTACATAAATGATGCAAATGGCATCGTTTGTTCCATTTGCATAATGAAGTCCTTATGCAAATGCCGTAAATTGTTCAGAATGAATTACACTCCCCGTTCAGTGAACATTTGCGGTTAAAAGATGCTTCCCCCCCCCAACTGTCCATCAAAAAGAGATTTCAAAATATATGCATTTTTGTCTGGAAAATTTCATAATGGGCATATTTTGTCCCCCCCCAATTTTTTCTTTTAATTGTTCCATTTTTCAAACTGAATTCTGGATCTCAAAGCCTGAAAAAGCCTATAGCCCAGAGCTGTGTTGTGTTGTGGTCCATTTTGACCCAGGAAACATGAATTAAGCCTGCTCTGTAAAAGATGCAAAGCCAAGATTTTAACCTGGGTCTCGTTCCTTCTGATCTTCTGAATGGACTTTGTGTGCTTCCAGGAAAAAGCTGAGAGCTTCTGTAAGCTCAGAGGAGAACGATTCTGAACATACCAGCCCTGTTGCTGTGGAGAACTTAGCTTCCTCTACTTCGAGCAAACCCAGCAAACGTAAGTATCACTGTGGAGTCTTCTTTTTCTCCTTCTTTTTTTTAACTGATCACCTTTGGGGATTTGGTACTTTGCTTTGAGGTGGTTGTCAACAACAGGATGTACGACGCAAGGTTTGGGGTGGGGGTTGACATTTTTTGTAGGACTTATGAAGCTGAAGGAGAAATGGGACCTATCCCCTAGGGCAGGAGCCTGCAAACTTGACAACTTTAAGACTTGTGGACTTCAACTCCCAGAATTCCTCAGACAGCCATGCTGGCTGGAGAATTCTAGAAACTGAAGTCCACAAGTCTTAAAGTTGCTAAGGTTGGAGAGCCCTGCTCTTGTCTAGGGGCCTTGTGTTCAGCCACAAGGTATGTCTGTAGCTTCTGGTTGCAAAAATTGTCAACGTCGAAGGAGAATATTTGTATAGCATCGTTCAGCAAGCACAATTAACAGAAAACAGATGCCAGTAACAAAAATCTAAGAATTTTTCCAATGATCTTTCTGTCTTCTAATGGATCCAAATTCAGAACCAGTGTTTTCCCAACCCTTTTAGCACATTTAGAGGCAGAGTCAAAAAAGGCAAAATATATATATATATATATCTTTCAGTAGCTTGACATCTTAGAACGAGGATTATTTCTTCTCTTCTCATGCAGCTTGGACAGGCATGTCCCATTCATTAGAAATCTGTGAAGGTCTTGAAGAGTGGTCCAGCCACCATTACTTCTCAACCTACTCTGACACTGAAGAAGAAGATGGCAACCAACTGGTTAGTGGGCACATGGGGTGAAATACGCATTGGGAATTGTAGGCCAACACAACTTCAAAGCAACAGGTTGAGGAAGGTTGTCCTAAACCAGAGGTAGACAAAACAGTCTATCATGGAATGATCCAACTTGGAGAAATGTTGTTCTGAGGGTCACAGAGATGAGGGGCCTTCTGTACCATGGTTGGACTGGTTTGGGATCACTCAGAAGAGCTGATTTTGAAGTTAGAATGGTACATTTTAAGGTGGACAGTTATATTTCTGGTGTAAATCACATATTTATTGTTCATGCTTTAGTCTCCAGGAAAATATAAAGCCTTAGCAGATTGTAAGAAGAGTAACTCAGATGAACTTCTGGTGAAGAACAGGGATGTCATTCAGCTCTTGCACGAAGATGGAGAGGGTCAGTGGTAGGTGATCCAGATGTCCAACTTCTGGTCTACAAAAGTAGACAAGAACCTTGCCATAAGTAAGAAGAAGAGTGAGAATGCTCTACAGCTTTACCAAGAGCTTTTTCAGGCTTGTTTCATCTCCACCATCTCCTTCCTTCCTTCCTTTATCTGAAAGGCTGGTCAAAAACCTCAGCCGAAGTAAAGAAGGATGGGTGCCCACCAACAGCCTGCAGATAATCCTCGGGGACTGTAGGTTTCACAGCACCGGAGTCACAGGTATCCCTGTGATGACAAGTGACTTGCTCATCTGACCTGTTTCAGCGTTGGCATGCGCACAAGTTCGGAGGCCTGGGCACTGCTTTGCTTGCTTGCTTAGAAGAAACCTGACTTTTGTTAAAATAAAGCAGAGGATGAGAAGGGATTAATAATCTAATATGTTCCAGGAAGTTAGTATTTAGCAATAGTATTAGGCACTCTTTCTTCTTTTTTATCCTCTTTGCTCTTCTCTTTCTCCTCCTCTTTCTATCCTTCTCCTTCTTGTCTCCTTCCCTCCTTCTTCTTCTCCCATCCTTCTCCTACTCATCTCTCTTCCATCTTCTTTTTCTCATCTCCTTTCCATCCTTCTCCTTCCTCCTTCCATCCTTCTCCTTTCCATCCTTTTCCTTCTTATCACCTTTCCATCCTTCTCCCTTCCATCCTTTTCCTTCTCAACTTTCCTCCTTCTCCTTCTCCTTCTCCTTCTCCTTCTTCTCCCTCCTAATATACTCCAAGAAATTAGCACTTAGTGGTAGTACTAAACACTCTTCCTTTCTAATGTACTCTGCACTCTCCCTTCTTCCTCCTCTTTCTTCCTCTTTCTTCCTCGTCCTCCTTCTCTTATGATTTTATTTGGAGGACAACAACTGAACTGATCAAGACTTGAAAAAGAAACCTACTTGAATGAGAGGACATAATGTCTAGTCCAAGCAAGCCATACCTCTTGACTTGCTGCTGGGTAGCAGATGTGCCTATGAGAATTGTTCCCTTTTGCCAAGTCTGGATGCATGAATGATGTTTTCGACTGTAAGTTATGAGGATTAGAAGCATGCTTGCTTGTTCAGACTGGGAATGAAGATGGTTTGCTAAGATCCTGTGCAAAGAAGCTGAATCTGCTTTATTTATTTATTTATTTTTTAAAAGCGGGGAGATGTTGTGTTTTATCACCTCCATTGTTGTCATGGCCATAAATATTCCTAAAGCGAGTTATCAGTTTTTGACAAGGAAAAAAAATGAATGTGGTCATAAGAATAGCGGCTGATAGAAACCAAGTCTTGGATGTTATGGAAAGAGACCGGCTCTGTTATTCTGTGGGGCTATCCAGTAACATCCACCATTAATTGCTCAAAATATTTTAAATCATTTCTATATCCTTAAGAGTATTTATTTCACTTATTCAATTTTTCACAATGTCACAATCATTTGCTACTCTTGACTGAGTACAAAGCCATTTATTGGCTTCCATGTTAGGTAATATAAGATTCCTGTTTTTTCTTCTTCATTGATATGGAGATTTGAGTGTTCCCCCCCCCTGCTTCCTGAAAATAGTATTCAAACAGCACCAATCAGATACTCACAATTCTCCCAGCTAGGGAATTCTTGCCAAGGTTGAGAAACATTGTCCTAAAAACCACCTGATTTTGCCAAATCTTGCCAAACCATCTTCTGTTTCCCCACCAAAAATATTTTATCCAACTACTGATGGGAACTAGATTGCACAATGCTTGGGGTTCACATTGTCCATTCTTGGTATGGAGCACCTCAGATGGAAGACATAAAAGGAAGTGTCACTCCAGTAGGGAGAAAACTTCCTTTGAGAAAGGTTTAATTTATAGCATGACTTTTCCAAGCAGATGCCAAACAAATCAAAGAGTGAACATCCAGGTTAATAGGCCATGGTCTAATCTACTCTCCTGATAACCTCTCTAGTGTCATCCAAAGAGTGCCAGTCAAAAATTAGCTCCTTTGAAACATCTCCAAATCAGACCAATTACAAATCCACCTGGATGAAGAACCCATGAGGAATATCCCAAAGGTGCTTTCCAAAAGTCAACTGGTCTTTCTTGAGTTTTCCCCTGAAAATGTTTCGCTTCTCATCCAGAAGCTTCTTCAGTTGGATTAGAAACGAAATGTTTTCAAGGCAAAAACCCAGAAAGCCCAGTTGCCTTTTGAAAAGCAGATTTAAGACAACCATGACTTGGATGGTGGAGAATCTCCCAATACATCCCATCCGAAGCTGACTTTTCACAACTGACAAGGTCCAATTAGAGTAACTCATTACAATGACAAGAGCTCAGTCAATTGATGCTTGTCGGGCCTGCGAGCTGCTAAGAAATACATCCCTTTGCCTCTGAAAATGCCAGCCTCTGTCGCTGGCAAAATGTCAGGATACCACATCATTAGACCACGGCCAATTAGCCCAGAAGCTAATCACGGTTTGATTGACACTGACCATGAAAGCCTGCATCAGTAGAAATCAAGCTTTCTCATTTACACTGGAGTTGGAGGGGGAAGATCTGAGTTTCAACTTTTTGCAGGATTACTTGATAAAATTGTGCAGGTATCGGGGTGGGGGTGGGGGGTGGGCAGGAGGGAGGGAGGGGAGAGGGAGGGTATTATTGCTCCCAAAAATTGATCTGTAGCCTTGCAAAGCATTCAGTTGCACTTCCTATGCACTTTAAAGATTTTCCATTACGAGCTCATGTGCAAATAGCCTTAAGTTAGATCCCTGTCTGTCTTTCTGCTAAAAAGGCAGGTCAAGATTTCCTTTTTGGTAGCTTTGAACAACCACACCTCTAGATTCATTCATCCCTTAGCTAGGGATATGAGAAGAAGCCATGCGTTCTGGGTTCCGTGCCTTCTGACGTATAATGCTGCTCTCCATTGCTTTTTAGACGCTGGCGAGAATAGGATGAGGAAGTTAAGCTCTCCCTGAATTTAATGTATTAAGGCCCAGCCTTTTGTGAATACTCCAGTGGAGACCTGGAATGGTAACAAGGGACAAAGAGGGCAATTAGACTTATTCCGTCATCTGTCATCCTAACTAAAGGACAGCACTTGGCTGTTCTGGTCTGGCCTCAGAAGCTAAGCAGGATCAAGCCTGATTAGTACTTGGATGGGAGACTATCAGGGGGCTAGGCTAGAGGGGAAGTTGGAAACCCTTCCGGAAGAAAACGATGGCAATGTTCTTGAGGAAACTCTACAGACGTATCCCTTTTAAGCATCACGAGTTGACCTCAACTTGAAAGAAACTTTATCTTTTTTAATCATCAAAACATCACATCCTCACCAAGTGGGACCATGATTGGGAGCCATTCTTTCCTCTTCCTTTTCATTTTCTTTCCTTCCCCTACTTCTGGAAAAGCTTTATTGCTTTTGACCCAAGGATGAGACCTCCTCTTCCTCTCTACAGCATCTCCTGAGTTTCCTTTGAGAAGGCATTTGACTCTTCCATGGCTTTGGGGAAGGCTGAAGGATGTGCTTCCTGTTTTTCCAGCCACTCTTTGCTGGGATTAGCTGGCCTTGATTAAGATCTTGTGGGTCTCAAGGAAATAATTGCCCTAACAAGCCAACTTCAGTAGGTTTTGCACGAACTTTGAGATCATGTCCTTCTGTTTTTGCTATAAAGAGTCTAAAGCACCAGACATCCATGGGTTATGTCTGAAGACTTGGTCAGTTGGCAAATCCAGCCTGTAGACATCTCACTGTGGATTCTTCTACATGGGCCAAGCCAAGGGTCTCGCAAAGTTTGCAGGGTAATTTTTAAGGGTAATGGGGAGGGGGGGACATATGTGCCATAACTAAATCCAGGAACCTTTTGCACTATATGTGTTAAGATTATCCTTGTTAGTAGTCAGACTATATATTTCAGCTCTTTAAGAATGCACTTGTATTTGGGCAAGGACTGTACAGTAGTTGTTGTTTTTTTAAGGGAGTTTCCATCCTTTATTTACCCGTGCACCTTCATGATTTTTTAATTTTTCTTTGTAGGCTCAGGTAACTTGGTATCTACAGACAGTGGTTACAGATTTAACTTCCCAAAGCATTTCTAATCACAGGGTAACTTGTGACAGGCTACTCACAACTACTCAGGGCAGTGAGTGGTCTGCCTAAAAAGAACACTGTCAATATAAATGGCCATTGGTCTGTTCTCCTCTATGTCTCGCATCTGGTTTTCGGAGGGGGGGGTATATAATTTTGTTGAAGAAGCCCAGCTTCCATCTGGACCTCTGAAAATGCTGTTGTATTTTTCTTCTCTTAATCTCCGTTTATAAGCACTTTCCTAGTCTGCTGAAGATCATGCTGCTGCTGCGGGAATTCCTCGTAAGAATTCCTAAACAAGCCATTTTCACACCCTTCCTTCCCCTTGTATATAAACCACCATTGAAATCACAGTAGAACACTTTTCAAACGGGGATAAGTTAATTACAGTTGGAAGGCCTGGATAATCCAAATAAAGGCCATTTTTAAAAGTGTTCGTCCTCACGTGCACAACACCGTTCAATCTTTTTAACTTTTGTCTACCACGTTCTAAACTGTACATGCTTCGGTTTATCTACGTACGTAAGCAAGTCTGACTCTAATATTTCAGGCTGCGCTCAGAGATTTACTTCCGAGTAAATGCGTCTAGGATTGCACTTCTAAACTTTGAAAACTTTGCACAAACCGTTGAGGGCCTCTTAAAAATAGGCTGGTGTAAAATGTAGCTGTGATCCTGAGCTGTGGACTATGTCTTTCCTGTCCAATTATTTAAAGCATTCTGTAAATGTCATTGTAAGAACGAGCTAACTCTATATTTAAAAAGAATTATGAACCTTGTTAAATAAAGAAATATATCTGAAGACTTTTCATTTTGTGCTGAGAATTTTGGGTTGGCTTCCTGGATTCAGAAGAAAGAGGTGCTTTTTTCTCATGTTGCAACTCAGTGCTGGTTTTATTGTGTTCCATCACAAAGCATCATCATTGCACTGAGAGCTAATGTAGCATTGAAATGCATAGGCCTGTTCATTTTCCCGTGTGCTTTTCAATACTGTATTTAGCTCTGTTAGCAATCTTGTGAAACACTTGTTTTTTTTAAAAAAAAAAAAAAATGGTAGGGAACATATGAAAAACCACCCAGCCTCGCTTCCTGAATTTCAAACTTAGTGATCCAAATTAAGTATTTGGGCTGTTGTGCCATGATTTTTCTTTGCTCACACAAATAGTATTTCCCTTACAATTTTTTTTCGCTGTGTGATAGACAGGATGCTTTCCCATTCTTATATACAATTGTCCTATGATTTTAATTTTCCAAATCTATTTCTGTGAAGCAGTTACAGTCCTGTGTGAATACCCTGCTCCATAACTGTATGATTCTTGAGAAAGGAAGAGGAACTCTACTTGGATTTTGGATTAATTTATGTTGGTTTGGTGGTCTGTCTTATCCACTTAACGTATCTGGAAACTCTGGTGTAGATTCCATATTTATCCTTCTTTGCACATTGCTCCCCCCAGCTGGTGATCCCTGTAAGAAACCATATGTGTTCAATGTCCGTGGTGTATGGACCCCCACTGTCCCCTTGGCAAGTATCCTTGACTTCAGAAGGGTGACCTGCACAGAACATATTCGGCAAGATGGGATAACTGCTGCTCCTCAGACACGTGGGTCGATCAATAAACCGGATTTGCAGCACCTGAAGGATGCTCGCCTGCCTGCCTTGGTAAGCCAACTTCCCCCATCCACTCACGGTGCCCAGTCCAAACTTAAGAAGGTTGTTGGTGAAGTCTTTGTCTCCAAGGCAAATTGGGATGACATAGTGGTTGAACTCCAAAGGTCTGTCCAACTCAAGGAGGGCAATGTCATTGTGGTACTTGTTAGTGACATTGTAGGTAGGGTGAGGGATTGCTCTAACCACATTGCGGTATTGTTCGGTATTGTCCACAACATAGACATTGTGTTCACCTGGAGGAGGAAAGAGGAAGGAGGAGGAGGAGGAGGAGAAAGAAGAAGAAGAAGAAGAAGAAGAAGAAGAAGAAGAAGAAGAAGAAGAAGAAGAAGAAGAAGAAGAAGAAGAAGAATAAGAAGAAGAAGAGGAGGAGGAGGAGGAGGAGGAGGAGGAGGAGGAGGAGGAGGAGGAGGAGGAGGAGGAGGAGGAGGAGGAGGAGGGAGGAAAAAAGAAAGGAAGAGGAGGAGGACGAGAGGAGGGGAAGAAGAAAAAGATTATTTAACATAATTAAAGCAGGAAAGGCAAATCTCTTAACATACTAGATGCTAAAAGCTAAATAATATAACCAGGAACTTAAGGGGAATTCCGTATTGTTACCCCAAAATTCCTGAAGGAGAGATTTTTTTCCCCCTCGTGTGTGTTAATGCTTAACTATGCCTGCTACGTCCGCCTATTTCTTCCTCCACCGCAGCCTCTTGGATTTCATCACAAACCAAGTCACTGACACACTAAGTAAATACATAGCCAGGAAAAGGGCATTTCAACATAACAGGTAGTTGATGGATTACCTGCGACAATCATTTGGGGCTGAAACTCAAGGCAATGAGCTGCTGTGACAATCCACTTTTCGTTGATGATGGTGCCTCCACAGAACCCTTTCCCTTCGTAATTGAGCAAATAAACCTGAGAACAGGGGAACAAAAACATACAAAGTCAAGTACTGTTGGTTAAGAACAGAGTAATTCAATGATTGCAAGGAAAAGTCAAAATCTTGGTGATGAATTCAGGTGACCTCATATTTCTCTAGGCTGTGGGCTTCCTGAAAGCATCTGGTGGAACATGATGAAAGACAGACAGGAGCCCAAACTCTACTTGATGATGGCCTGATCCTTTAGAAATCTGGATTTTGGGCAGTGGAAATTAATATCTTAGCAGGTGACAGTACCTAACACACCTTGTCTAAGTTTGGAAGCTAAGCAGGGACAGGGCTGGCCAGTATTTGGATGAGAGGTTGGTTACCAGAAAGTCCTGGAGCTGTAAGCTAGATTTAGGAAGTATCTCAGAAGAAAACTTCCATATTGTTATTATGATGTAACTGTGTCCATGAAGCCATCAGTAGTTGGCTTTGAAGTTGAGTTGGGAAGAATTGAGTGTGAAACTTGACTATAAGGAAATATTGACTATTGAGCATTCTGTAACGGCCTCTGAACTGTTCTGAAGCCTTGTAGATAGATAGCCAAGCCATTTCTGGCGATTCACAAAATATCCTTGGTTAATCAGCATTTCAGTGTTGTCAACAATAATCAGATTTTGAACCCATTAATAAAAGAGCTCCGCGGACAGTACATGAAAGTCAAGGCAATTTTATTACAGCATCCCTTTTCGTTCCAGGGAGGGTTGTAAAATGCTATAAAATAACTCAAGCCATGGATGAATATGTTGCAGAAAGAACAAAAAGAACATAACCTGTTCCCAATCCATCAGAATGTGCTTTATTATATTACGATGAGTAATAAATATTCTTGGAAACGGGTCTCAATTCTTTTAAAATAGTAATGAGAACAGTTGCCTTTAGATGGCACCAAAGTGAAATTAACTGGGCAAAGCATAATTTATGTTAACTCTCAGCAAGATTCTGGTAGAATTTCCATAGGACTTTGGGGCTATAAAGATGAGATGTGTTTTAATTCAATTTTTTTCATTTTTATTTTTATTTGACCAGGTTCTTGAATTGCATGATTTGGAGGGGGGGGGGACACAGTTGCATGCATTAACCTGGTGCATTTGTCCAGAAGAAGCAATAAGAAGTGGCTGAACACTGATGAATAGAAATAAAATAATTATTCAATCTGGTCAGTTTCAGCACAGGGAGCTGGAAATTCTCCGGAAGAACCCAGAAAGGAAGTTGAAGATACTGAATGAAAGTTTAAAATCCTTTGCTCTGTCTTTCCAACTGCAGCGAAATGGATCAGCTTGTCAAACCTTGCTTTATATCTGAGTCTTATTTTTCCAAAAGAAACATCAAAACAATGGAACAAAACAATGAGATGTTTTAACAACCTGCGAATCTGGAAAGGCAACTGAAATGCTAAACCGCTGACATCCAAAGGAGAGTACTTGTTTGCTGAAAAGTATATGCAAGCGTGTCCAACCTTGGCAACTTTATGGCCTGTGGACTTCAACTCCCAGATGAGGACTTCTGGGAGTTGAAATCCACAAGTCTTCAAGTTGCCAAGATTGGACACCCCTAGTATATATGGTTTCTGTATCCCCACATGGGCACATCATACGTATATGTCTGTACGGAGAGCAATTTTGGCCCTGTAGAGGGTGGCTGTGTTTAGGAGCTCTCCAGCTGTTGCTTCAAATCCTAATTAACAAAGTGCGTTTCTCAAAACATTCAAGAAATCATGCCATTTTATTCTGGGTTGCTCAGACCCTGAGTGAAGTCTGATGTCTAATCCTTGGCCCAGTAGATGGCTTTATTAAACTAAGGATAGTCCTTGTTTAGCGACTGGACTGCTTAAAGTCTGGACTTTTTACAGTTCCTATAGTGATGTTACAACCACTCCTTCCTTTTACAATCTTCTGAGATCTGTGAAGCAAAGGAAAACTGAAGTAAGGTCAGAAGCACATTCACAGTTTCACTTAGTGATGGTTTCACTCAGTGACTGAATTGCTGGTCCACATTGTCACTAAGTGAGGGCTAACTATCATTTAGTATCATTTCTCTGCAATGGCTCTGATGGAGAGCGGCAATTCTGGAGCAATTTGTCAACTGTCAGTTGGCATTTCCAGAAAAAGAAACTCCTGGGACATATTTTTTACCAAGAGTATAATGCTTTACTGAAAAACTACATTGGCACAGAAGAAGCGAAACCAGCTCTGGATTTCCCATGCAAACGGAAGCATAGTTATTTTCCCCTTTTCCCTCTGAGCCATCCACAGTCCATTATGTCTACCAATCACTTCTGTTCATTTTGTTATGCGAAAACAGCTAGCCACACTCGGTGTCCTTGAAAACTTCCAGAGATGCCTCGGTTGCCTAGATACCCTCCACTCATCTTTGCATTCCGCCACCCCTTCCTTTTGTGTCAAGCTGTGAGTGAAGGAAAAAATGAAAGTGAAAGGGTGAATCAGTCTTGACACAATTGTGGACACATCTCAATGGCCTACCTGCCAGGGAACCTCTCCTTTCTTGCTATCCATGCCGCCAACCACTCGTATATTGGATGCCAAATGAAAGGAAACCTGAGTGTGGTTGTAGCCTTCTTCCCCGTCATCAGTGGCATTGCTTGAGACGATCCAGTGATCAAATGAGTTTGATGGATGGGCACGAGTGAATTTACTCTTAGCTTCTGGAGCTTGGATCATTCCACAGGGAAAGGGCACTGAGGAAGACACCACAGGGAGGGAGGAAACAGTTGGAAAACTGTTGGGAAACTGCCACTCAGGCTGGAAGGAGGAGTCAAGCGAGGTCCTAGTTTGGAATCTTTGGGCAGCCACAAGCAGCATAAGCCTGTTCTCCCCCAAGACTCATGAAACCTTATCTGGTCATTCCTAGTAGTCTGGGGAGATTCTTGTAACATAAGTAGAAGTCCATAAAGTTGTTAAGTAAAGGTATTCATCAGCGACTGGTTGTTTGAGCCCAAGAAAAACTGGGCTTTTGAAAATCTTCTTCTGAACCAAAGATAGAGCAAGATCAACTATTAGATTCCAAGAAGATTTTCATAGGTTGGTAAGGAGATCTGTTACAATTCTTAAGAGTTCAACAACACAAATAAGAAAATAGCTACTCCAATGCTCAAGAGTTGCTTATCTTTCATCTTCCTCCTCTGAACTTAAGGTTGAAGATCAGTTGTTTGTCTTCCAGCAATTTTTTTTTCTCAGCCAATCTGTATTAGATCAATCGGTGTCAGGCATGGATCCCTGATTGTTTGGGATTCAGACATAAAAACACACTGCCAGAGGAAACCCTATTCCTGTCTCAGAGTACTGGGTGTCAGATTGAATAAATATTTTTTCCTGTCCACCACAGGGTAGAACCAAAAGGACTTTGGAAACTTCCATTAAACTAGTGTTTCTCAACCTCAGCACCTTTAAGATGCTGGCTGGGGAATTCTGGGAGTTGAAATCCAGAGATGCTGGCTAGGGAATTCTGGGAGCTGAAGTCCCCACATCTTAAGGGTGCTAAAGCTGAGAAACACCGCGTTAAACCACCAGGAAATATCTGGTTGGCCGCATTGAGAAACAAAACATTGAATTAAGAAGGCCTTTAGCTTGACCCACCATGAAGATGCTGTTCTGGGTAATTTTTGCATTTATTGCAGTTTTTGTATTGCTTTCTAGACAGTCGCCCTACCTGTTGGTTCACAGGTTTTCATGTCTTCCTTCAGTCTGTATCCTGCGGCACAGGAGCAAACTGCTCTTCCAGCTTCGTTGTCCTTGCAAAACTGTTTGCATCCTCCATTTTTGGTTTTGCAGGTAGCATCTATATTGGAGGAAATCAGATATTCCTCTTAAGTACTTTGGACGCGATCAGATATTCCTCTTAAGTACTTTGGACGCGTGATTCAAAGAACCAACTTCCTAGAGAAGGCTGTAATGCTGGGGAAGGTGGAAAAGAAGACGAGCAGCAAAGTGGATGGACTTAGTTACAATGGTGATGAGTGCACTGTTGGAAGATCTGAAGGACCAAGTTGGGGACAGATCCTCATGGATAAAATTGATCTCAATAGTCACTAAAAATGACTTGATGGCACATAATCCATCAATCAAAGCTTAAAAACTGAAGACAGAAGAATCTGAAAGACCACGATGGACAGATTGAAAGAATCTTAATCTAAAGCTTATTTCCCAACTGCCTGAGAGAGAAAACATGAGTATATTGAGGTTTGTATGGACCCAGAACTGACATACATACACATACATGTGCATGGGAGGGGTTGCAGCAAAGACACACAACAAATGACACTCCTGATATTGCTAACTTACAATTTCTAAAATGGTCAAAAATAAAAGAACAGGAATTGTAGCTCAGCAACACAGCGATACTCACAGACATATTGAAGGGTATTTAATATCCATAAAATATGTAGACTTTATGAAGATAAAGTCTTCAAATTGGGTTCAACTCTGGTAGCAAGAGAGGTCGCCTGTTTTGGTCTCTATGGTTTTTCTCCCCCTTTTTTTTTCTTTTGACCTCAATCCTGGGATGTCCTTCTAATCTCTCACCTAATTTTAGGACCCCAGATAGTTTTGCCATTTGCTGAAAAGGAAAAGGGGGGGGGGAAACCCTCCATTGAGTCATAATAAAAGAATAAGAGTAAGGTCTCAATGTACCAAGTTCACAGCTCTTTCCTTCAAAACCACCTGGACACCAACAGACGTAGTCATTTGTGTCGTCTTTGCAACGTCCTCCATTCTTGCAGGGGTTGGGGTCGCATTGATCTCCGTCTTTGGAAAAGAGAATGGACAATGAACGCAGAGTGGTTGACTCCATTCTTATTTTATTCATCGCTTTTCAGTGATCCTGTCAATTAATCAATAAGACTGTCTATTCTCTTCTGACTGGAACAGAAATATTTTTATTTTGAACTATGAGCTCCATCATACCACTAAAATGAAAAGGGGGAAAAAGAAATCACTTACCCATGTAGACTGTCCAAAATGTCATCTGCAAAGAAAGCAGAAATGTGGGATTCAAAGGCTTTTAAATATAGGGTTTATTTTTAATAGACGATGGTGACAACATTTTTTAAAATTTCTATACTCCACAGGGTTCTTTGTGAGTTCATAATTTTTATTGCTTCCTTGCTGTAATCATCCAGAGATGTTCTTTTGAAAAGGACGATTTACAAATACTGCAAGTCAATCAAATCAAATCATTGATGGTGCACTTTAGAAAGAAGCGGTCTCCATCTTCATTCCAAAGACATTAGACGGCTTTTACCCTTAGAACAATGTAGCCTGGTGCACATCTAGTCAGAGATAGAAAACCGGATGGTCCATTCACACAAAACCTCCAGAACACAGGAAAGAAAGAAAGAAAGAAAGAAAGAAAGAAAGAAAGAAAGAAAGAAAGAAAGAAAGAAAGAAAGAAAGAGGGAGGGAGGGAGGGAGGGAGGGGGAGGGAGGGAGGAAGGAAGGAAGGAAGGAAGGAAGGAAGGAAGGAAGGAAGGAAGGAAGGGAAGGAGGGAGGGGGAGAAAGAAAAGGAAGGATGAAGGAAGGGAGGGAGGGAGGTGAAGGAAGGATGAAGGGAGGGAGGAAGGAAGGAAGGAAGGAAGGAAGGAAGGAAGGAAGGAAGGAAGGAAGGAAGGAAGGAAGGAAGGAAGGAAGGAAGAGACAGACAGAGAGATAGAGAGAGAGAGAAACAGAGAGAAAGAGAGAAAGGAAGGAGGGGAGAAGTCTTGAGGTAAAGATATAGCTTAATAAATCAGAACAGAGAAGTAATAGAATATAGAATCCCAAACGCTACTGGAAAAAGATTGCCAACAATTTTGAGATTAGAGTCAGTGGCCACTTCTCATGTCCAGCAAAATTAGAAGGTTGATAAAGTAGTTTTAAAAAAACAAACAAAGCCTATTTGAAGACAATAGCATTTGTTTAACGGACCTCATTCTGCAAAATCCAGTGCTGATCTGGGCTACTTTAGCAGACCATTGTCTCTTGCGCAAGTAACTTTCCAGGCTGATCAAGGATATTCCTCTGAGCTTGGAGCATGTTCTAACTTCTAAATCAATATTACAAACCCTCTATGGATTTAACAGTGGGGGTGGTGGTCTTTCTGAAGAAACCATGAATCCTATGACCTAAAGGCCCCCCCTCCCCTCCTCAAAATCTCAGATTTCCCGCCAGGCGACTCACAGTTTTCTCATCGTTTTCGAATATTTCTCTCGCTTCTTCGTAGTTGCATAGCTCTTCCATGCATTCTCGTTCGAGGTTTCCTTGGAGAACCTCCTCAAGGCGCCCAGTGTTGAATCTCCTGTATCGGTGCAAAACGGTGCTGGCTTCTTCCTGATTTATAAAAACTTCAGGATGCGAAGGAGGAAGAAGAAGAGGAAAGCCAGCGTGAGCCAGAGAGATACTACTTGGATCCAGCCCTGAGCAATTCTGAGATTGGGATGAGGCTATACAGTTAGTCCTCGATTTACAACTGTAATTGAGCCTGGAATTACAATTATAAGTCATTGTGCTCATAAGGCAAGGCATCACGTGACCAAACGTGACTCTTTTTTTTTTTTTGACATTTTCCTATCAGTCGTTAGGCAGGTTCTGCAGCCATTAAGCGAATCAGTTTCCCCCAATGGATTTTTTTTTTGCCAGAAATAGGAAGTAAAGGCCAAAACCCCAGCAAAATAAATAAATCATAAATTTTGGTCAGGATACTACAAACAGTCATAAAGCCGAGCAATCTAAATGTGATCACATGATTGCAGGAGGTGTAGCCATCGTAACTTTGAAAAAGGGGTCATATATAGTTTTGGAGAAGTAGAATAGAATAGAATAGAATAGAATAGAATAGAATAGAATAGAACAGAATAGAATAGAGTTGGAAGGGACCTTAGAGGTCATCTAGTCCAACCCCCTGCTCAGGCAGGAAACCCTATACCATTTCAGACAAATGGTTGTCCAATCTCTTCTTGAAGACTTCCAATATTGGAGCATTCACAACTTCTGGAGGCAGATTGTTCCACTGGTTAATTGTTCTAACTGTCAGGAAAGTCTGTCATAACTTTGAGCAACCAGTTATGAATCGAGGACTATCTATAATCCAGCATCCAAATATTCAAGTTTGATACCAGAGCAGTAAACCTCAGCTTTCCAAACCATTAATTTGTTATTCAGGAACAGGCTGCTTTGGCAGCAAGCCACAGACACAACTTAGCTCAATTAAACTCTGGGTTGCAGACAAGAACGATGTGTTAATCGTAAACGCTGAGCCGCTCTCTGCATTGCAGAACAAAGTTTAATGTCACTTTACGATCCGGCGTCTACTCCACTCTGAGCTGTTTTCTCCCACCTTTCCAAGTTAAATGATCATGGGCCACTGTCTCTCTTGTCTGGAAAATACCAGTTGCCACTTGTATGTTTCAGCCATTACATCACCACTTGATCCATCATACAGGAATGTGGTGGCTTGTGTGGTTAGGATGCTGGGCTGATGATCTGTAGGCTCATGTTTGAGACCCAGTTACTGCCACATAGGCAGGGTGAGCTCCCGTCACTCGCTTCAGCTCCTGCTGACCCAGCAGTTTGAAAGTGGGCAACGTTGAACAGAAAGATGGGTACCATTTCGTTGGGCAACTTAATGGGGACATGAAAGGAGCCCCCAACTGGGCATTCCCTGGGCAATGGAGATATCACCAGCTGATCCTTTTACTATAGAAGCACTTCAGTGCTTCTGACACAGAAGTATAGTGTAGTATCCATAGCACACAGGTACATGTCTTCCTCCAATCCCAGTTCACCCACCAATTTACTCATATTTTTGGCGCGACACATTACAAGGGAACATACAAAGGAGATGGAGATGACAGAGGATGAGATGGCTAGATAGTGTCATTGATGCAATGAACATGAATTTGGGCAAACTCTGCGATGCAGTGGAGGATGTGGGGGAGGATGTGGGTGTGCTGCTATGGTCCATGGGTTTGAGAAGAATCAGGCACAATTTAGCAACTGAACAACATCAACAAAGTTACAAGGAGTTGACATTAGTTCACTGCCTTAAAGGTTTTTTAAGAACAACACAGAAAGCAATTTGATCAAATCAGATTGCTTTTCTGAAGTGTTCCTCTGCGTATGGGAACACCTCAACTTACAGCAACAATTGAGACCAAAATTTATGCTTCTAAGTGAGAAGTTTTGTTTTGCCCCATTTTACGACTCTTCTCGCCACATTTATTAAGTGAATTGCTGCACTTCTTAAATTAGTAACACGGTCATTAAGCGAATTTGGTTTCCTCACTGACTTTGCTTGTCAGAAGGTTGCAAAAGGGGATCACGTGATCCCGGGACACTGCGACCGTCATAAACGTGGGTCAGTTGTCAAGCATCCAAATATAAATCACGTGACCCTAGGGATGTCGCAGCTAATCCTTTTGTATTTATACTACCCTGTTACAATATTTGGGGTGTAAAAAAAGTATTCATCCTCTCCAAGGTCTGTCTGCTATGTTTATCAGAAGAATGCAGCATTTGGTATGAGAAGCCCTCTGAATGCTGGACCCAAAGCTAATAATCCGTTCCCCACAATAAGATTAATAATTAAGCTTCTGGTTGTGACCTGTGACTTCTTTGTACAAGATAAGGTAGACAGACAGGCAAAGGCTGAACTTCCTGAATGAAAACAGTGGTCCCTACAAACACCGACATTTGATTGGGGGCTGCTCGTAGTTGTCTTTATACACACACACACACACACACACACACACACACACACACACACATATATATATATATATGTGTGTGTGTGTGTGTGTGTGTGTGTGTGTATGTGTGTGTGTGTGTGTGTGTTTTCTGAGGTTTTCGCGGGTGTTTGAATGTAGGTCTTTAGTTATTCGGGTTTTCTCCCACGTAAAATTGGAAGTGTCTTGGCGACGTTTCGACAAAGACTTCGACGAACACTTCGTCGAAACGTTGCCAAGACACTTCCAATTTTACGTGGGAGAAAACCCGAATAACCAAAGACCTACACATATATATATGAATAACAATTAGTTTCTATAATTCCGTAATCCACATAGTCGCTTTCCTTGATTTTCTCCCAGTAATATTCTCTTTTATCAACCTTAAGTTAGTACATTTCTTAGTATTTTAATAGATAACAATTGAATATAACCATTTTTCTAGTATTTCTACAAGTAACCATCAATATGAAGCTTCTTTTCTAATTAATCATCTTAATGATTAATGATTAATGCTAGTAGTTGTCTTTTTTGTTATCTCACTATGAGAGCATCTTAAAATTAACAAAAGAGGATATTCAGAAACCCATGGAACAACATTCAAGCATGTTGATTATATTCTATCATCCTAAAAGTAGATGCAAAATGTCAGTAAGAGGAATCAAAGAGTCAGATGATGCAGAAGCAAACATTGTTGACGTGTTCATCCTGCAAAATATCCCAAGCTGTGTTAAATATCTACTGGAGTTCGTAATTCAATGCTGAAATAATTATATTTATTGCCCTTTGCTGTTACTGGCCTGGGCAAGCTCTAAAGAGGTCCTCAGAGCTAATGTTTTCCCTTGGCATTGCAATTTAAAAACAAATGAATATCAACCAATTTTCTACAGCATAGAGCGAAGGGCCATTTAACTTCAGGAAAAATAAACCACTTTTCGAGATGAGAAAGTTGGCTTATTTGTCCCGTATTGATCTAACCACAAGAAGCAATGGATGGAAAGTAATCAAGGAGAGAAGCAACCTAGAACTAAGGAGGAATTTCCTGACAGCTAGAACAATTAATCAGTGGAACAACTTGCCTCCAGAAGTTGTGAATGTTAAACACTGGAAGTTTTTAAGAAGAGACTGGATGACCATTTGTCTGAAATGGTATAGGGTTTCCTGCCTAAGGAGGGGGTTGGACCAGTAGACCTCCAAGGTCCCTTCCAACTCTGTTATTCTATTCTATTCTATTCTATTCTATTCTATTCTATTCTATTCTATTCTCCCACATTTCTTTAGAAGTTCTATTTTATACAAAAACAGAAGCTAGTGATCATACCTTTTGCAGGTGTCTATGGAGAAGATATCATGCAACATCAATGGAAGTAGCTAGATTCACTTAGTGACTATGTGATTCACTTAACTGCAGCAATTCACCATGTTAAAAAAAGGACATAAAAGTGGGTGCGATTCACTTAAGAATTGTCTTGCTTAGCAATGGAAATTTTACCTGTAAGTACACCCTCGTCCCTCCCTTCCTTAACAGGCAGCTCACTTTGAGCTGTTGATTCCTCATCAAAAGCAGAATGTGTTTCTCTTCGCCCAAGCCAAAACAGAAATCCAGATGTTTGTTAAACAGATGTAAAATAGACTGACCTGCACACTCAGCAAGGAAGAGACATCCCAGCAGACCCAGGGCAGGAACAAAGAAGCTGTTTGCCATTTTCCTTTAACTTCACAACAGTGTCCTGATGCTCGGTGATACGAAGCCGCATGGTCAATAGTTCCAAAGTGCAAGTCAATATTTGTTGTTGCTGGGTTATCTTTCTGGATGAATTTCTGCAGCTGGTCTTCCAATGGCAGTCCCCCTTTTGAAGGGTTTGGCTAAATGTCCACCCCGTTCTGCAAAAAAGGACGCTAGAATTCCCAAGTGCGTGGCCACCCAAAATCCTTCCTCAGATCAGTTATCCACAAATGCTTCCATTTTGATTTTTGACCAGAAAAACCACGTAAAGAGCCCTGGTGGCACAGTGGTTAGAAAGGGGTATTGCATGCTAATTTTTGTTGACTGCCAGCTGCCAGCAGTTCAGCAGTTCGATCCTGACTGACTCAAGGTTGACTTAGTCTTCCATCCTTGTGAGGTTGGCAAAATGAGAACCCAGATTGTTGGAGGCAAATATGCTGACTCTGTAAACCACTTAGAGAGGGCTGTAAAGGACTGTGAAGCGGTATATAAGTACTCTTGCTATTAAAAAAACTTCAAAAAACTAGCTGCTGTGTTGGCTTAATACATTAATCCTAGTTGTTAGTTTCTTTATTATTAAATTGTTTTTATCCTGCCTTTATTATTTGAATAAACAATTCAAGGTGGCAAAAATACATAATATGCTTCTCCCTCCTTATTTTCCCCACAAGAACAACCCTTGGTGGTAAGTTGGGCTGGGAGAGTGTGATAGGCCCAAAGGTGCTTAAGGTGGGATTAGAACTCTCAGGCTCCTGGTGATTGGCTCAGCCGGCTTTCATACCTAAGGTAGGACTAGAACTCACCATCTCGTGATTTGTAGCCTGGGACTTTAAACACTAGATCCAACTGGCTAGCTTTAACCTTGATGAGGTTTTCTGTCAGGGCATGTTTGGCTGAACCCAGGCCATTCAGTATTCAAAGCTGCATCTTTCTAAATAAATAAATCCAAAGGATCTAGGCTGCCAATGTTCTTACAAACATATATTAAATCTATATTCTAATATGATGATTTCACTAGCACTGATAATGTTCCTAGTTGGGTAATGAAACATTTCCAAGAAAACAGCCAAGCTCAAAGAGCACCAAGGACCCCACCATCCTCCTCCTCCTCCTCCTCCTCCTCTAGTTGATGTTCCCTAGTTGGGTAATGAACCATCTGGAACAAAATCACCAAGCTCAGAGAGCACCAAGGTCTCCACAATTTCACCTTATTAAAACAGCTAGATAAGAATACATCCTTCAGTGATCTTTTTCATGTTGCCATTTATTTCTACTTTCATTATACTTCATAAACATACAAATTTCAGCATTTCAACCCATTTCTCAGGCTCATTAGCCTTTTTCTAATCCTGTGTTTTACCGTCACTTCAGCCAGGTAAGGATGTGGTGCTTAGAAAACTGATGCTGTTGTAAGGTATGAGTAGACTCATAACGATGGGATTAAAAATGGGCTTTTTAATTCTCCAAGCCAAGGGCTTTACCCACTGGGCTCTGCCACCTCTACCTTTTATTATGTTTCCAGCTAATTTCTGTGCAAATTGGAACTGATTTCAGTGAAAATAATGCCTCCCATCACCAGAATGAAGCAAGATCCATTTTCATTAAATGAAAGTGACAAAGAAATTAGGAATCATATATCTCTCCTCCCTCACATGGTCAGGAGATAATGGGAAACTGATAGACCACATTGTGCCTCTTCCTCATTGCTCCCCTCTTATCACATTGTTTATCCACTCATTATAATTTGCTATCGAAGTGAAGATACTGTATGGTTCATCCCCAGTACACTCTGCTCCACAAGTTGCTATGCCTGTTAGAAACCACGTGTTGTTCCTATCGGTAGCAAACGGAGCTCCACTGTTGCCATGATAGACCTTTTTAACAAAGGTAGGATGGCCTGCACAGAAGGTATTGGGCAAAAGTTGGCTCTCGTTCGTCTGCAGACATTTGACCTGGTCAACGTATTGGATGTCTGCACGTTGAAGGGTATTTGAGACCTTCTGTAAATAGTCGAGCTGCCACCAGCCACTCATGGTGCTTCTTCCATGCTTCAGGAGGTAATCCGTGAGTACCTTGTTCCCGATGCAAATTGGGGTGACGTATTTGTTCAGGACCAATGGTATGTTTAGCTCCAGAAGAGCTAGATCATTTTCAAATGTGGTAGCATTGTAGCTAGGATGCTGGACCGCCCTCAGGACTTGACGGAGCTGTTCAGAGTTCTCAAAGATGGCGGTGTTGTATTCTCCTGATTCAAAAGAACAATCACAAACCCATTAGATGTGTTTTCAGGCTGACCAAGCTGCATCACATCTAAGAGATGTATCTTGTACCTATAGCTGGTATCTGCAACTCAATGAGGTGGTTGCAGTGAAGGAACATGGTTTGAAATATTTTTTTTTTTTAAGGAAAAGGCATCAGGACCAGGGTTCAGATGACATGGTTGATCCACATAAGCTTCAACCCTAGGATAATTGTTCAGCCAGCAGCACATGATCATGGATAACCTGGTCAAATGGGAAGTGGGCATCTTTGACTGCTTCCCATCATCTACACTCTCCCTTTCAGCTTTAAAAATTCATGGAAACCCAGTCGCATTCAGATCAAACCATCTTAGGCAGGAGAGAGAGAGGCTTATCACCACCCCCACTATTGCTGTGGGGAGGTTCAAGAGTGAAAAGTAACAGAACAGAAAGATGGCATTCTAGGGTCAGTCCAGATGTTGCAAAGCTGTTCCAGGACTTCTTCTTTGAGTTAGCAGCACAAAAGCTGTTAACATTAGGTTAAGCTTTTCTTTTAAGCTTATACAACATGGCTGCTACTAATTATTTTGGCTACAATAATCCTCCTCTAATCTTAGTTGGATCTGGGTACAGTCACAATGTGTAATGGTCTAGGGAGACCGAGATGCAACCTAGATTAGATAAGACGGGGCATAGTCTATAGTTGCATAATGGACAGAGCAAGAAGGTCAGGAGGGACCTTTCCTAAGTTATCAGGCTGTAAAGATGACAGTGCAAGAACTGTACATTCAGACACGCAAGATTCTGTTAATGTAGCTTTACCACAAAGTAGAATTAACTTGTGGACTTCAACTCCCAGAATTCCCCAGTTAGCCAGGCTGGCTGAGGAATTCTAAGAGTTGAAGTCCATAGTTCTTAAAAGTTGCCAAGGTTGGACACCCATAGATGATTGCCTCCTTACCTGCCATGATTTTGTGAGGTTCATAGTCAAGGCAATGTGCTGCTGTGATGACCCACTTATCACTAATCAGCACCCCTTCGCAAAATCCTGTTCCCTTCAAGCTGAACAGATAAACCTGGGAGCAGATAAATTGTGTCAGATTGTGACAAATGTGCAAAGCCAGAACAAAGGATCTTCCAAAGGCTGAACATTTCCCACCCGTTAATACTTGCATTTTTCCTGGATTAAATCTCAACCTGTTTACCCTCATCCTTTCCAAGCACAATCTAGTTCTCTAGTGACTTCCCCATGTTGGCTGAGGAATTCCGGGAGTTGAAGTTCCACCTGTCTATAGAACCTGCCCATTACAATTGTAAGTCATCATGGTCATGGAGCAGACCGTCAAGTGACCGGACCATTTTTATGACCTTTTCGCAGTGGTCATGAAGGGACATTATTGTTCACAAAGCAAATCTATTGTTCGTTATTGGCTGCTTTTACCGAAAATCGCAAGTAATGCCAGCTTTCATAAAGTGCAGTCATGTGACTGCAAGACACAGTAAACAACTGTAAATCAAATTGCCAAGTGCACATGTGGTCATGTGACCTCAGAGAGGAGGGCTGGCCTTCAGAACTGGTTCATAATTACCTTTGGGGACTATCTATCATACCTTCAAACAATCACTAAGTGACCAGTTGCAAGTTGAGAACTACCTATAATTCCTCCTCTGAGAGTAATGATGTCTTTTTTAGTCTCTTAAAGGAAAATAAGAGGTGGGGCTGAGTTTGGCCTACATAACAATGACATGATAGCAATATTCCAGTATTTGAGGGGCTGCCACAAAGAAGAGGGGAACAAACTATTTTCCAAATATCAGAGGGCAGGACAAGAAACAATGGTTGGAAACTGACCAAAGAGAAAAGCAACCTGGAATTAAGGAGAAACTTCCTAACAGTGGGGACAATTAACCAATGGAACAGCTTGCCACCAGAAATCGTGGATGCTCCATCATTGGAGGTTTTTAAGAAGAGACTGGATAGTCACTTGTCTGAGATGGTATAGGTTCTCCTGCTTGAGCGGGGGGCTGGACTAGAAGACTTCCAAGGTTCTTTCCAGCTTTATTCTATTCAATTTCAACCCGAGCAACTGATCATTTTGATGTATTCTTCACAAGAAGATGTGATGCAACCCCAAGGAATGCAGAGCGTGTGATGGAACCACTACTTTAATTTGCCTACCTGCCATGGGACTTCTCCTTTCCAGCTGTTAAACTGACCCAAGTCTTGAGTAGGAATTCTCTGGAGGATAGTGTGAGCAATGTTTATCTTCTCTTGGTGGCTTTTGGTATTGACGTAGCTCTGGTCCGGTGAGACACTGGATGTTATGGCTTCTGGAAATGTAATCGTTCCACAAGAAAAGGGTCCTGGAAAGAGAAGATGAGAAACAAATTGTCCAATCACAATCTGGGTCTTGTGCATGCTTAAACAGAGTTGGAGTTGATAACCACCTGATTCTTATGGGAACGGTGCTACACAACATCCTTTCTCTGAAAGAAGGAGGCAATGGCCAAGAAGTGACATAATAGCAGTGGACATGATAGCTGTGTTGCAATATCTCAGGGGTTGCCACAAAGAAGAGGGAGTCAAGCTATTCTCCAAAGCCCCTGAAGGCAGGACAAGAAGCAACAGAAGGAAGCTAATCAAGGAGAGAAGCAACCTAGAACTAAGGAGGAATTTCCTGACAGTTAGAACAAAATCAGTGGAATATCTTGCCTCTAGAAGTTGTGAATGCTCCAAAACTGGAAGTCTTTAAGAAGAGATTGGGTAGCCATTTATCTGAAATAGTAGAGGGTTTCCTGCTTGAGCAGGTGTTTGGACTAGAAGACCTCCAAGGTCCCTTCCAACTCTGTTATTTTATATTATTCTAAGAAGGATAATGTTTGGAGATGCTTGGTCACTGTTGTGACCTATCAGAGATTCTGGCTTGGTGAGTCAAACCATCTTAGCAATGCATCTCATTGCCAAGTTGTCATACAACCACAGTCTCAATGCATCAGAGACAAAAGAGATTCTCAAATGAAAGATGATTGAGATGGGCAGCTATAGAAATGGAATGGATAAAGACATAACCCCTCAGTTTTACCTGATGGCTCGCAGGACTTCTGATCCTCTGACAGATTGTATCCATCAACACAGGAACAATCAGGCCTTCCTCTTTGCCCATTTGTACAAATCTGCTCGCAACCTCCATTGTTTACTGAGCAAACATCTTTAGTAATGAAAGGGAAAGAATAAGAATAAGAATAAGCTTATTGGGATGAGAGGGAGGCAAGGAAGTTGCTCTATCGGATACTTGGATTTGAGTCTACTTCCCCAAAATACTTTCCATCTAATGAAAATGTTCCCTGCAAGTTGGAAGAATGGAGGTCCCACACCTCTACTCCAAGAAGGTCTTTGTGCTGTGATCCTAACTCCTGTTCTCTTGTAAAGCAGGGGGTTCACCCTTGGAAACTTTAATATTTCTGGACTTCAACCTTAGAATTCCCCATCCAGGTCTTAAAGTTACCAAGGTTGGATATCTCTGGCAGAACTTAGTAGTTCCTTTGCCACTTACCTTCCAGACACCTGATGATAATTCCTGATTCTGTGACCTAAACACAGACTGGATTTTTAATCTAGGTTTTTATTTTTAGTGGAATCTAGGATTCCCACATTCTTTACCTAAAAAGGTCATGAGGGGGTGTGGCCAGCTAAAAAAATTAAGTGTTCCACAAGGAGGTGGTAGATAAGTCCAGAGTCTTCTCTGAATTGAGACCTAGATTGCCAGGTATGTGCTGATGGTTTTTTGAAGGAACACTTACCGATATATGTCTTCCAAAAGGCTACCTGAAAAAAAACAACAACATTTTATAACATTGCATTCAAATAGAAGTAGATTCGATTCTAAATTCAGACCCAAAGTTCATATATGGTAATAATCTCATCGTCTATCAGGTATACCCTGTCCCTCACCATGTCCATAAACTAGACAACAGATCTATAAGTCTCATGCTTTGAGAAGGTCCTCCTGGCCATAGAGTCTCTCCTTTGATTTCAAATCTAAATAAAGTTTCTAGACTTTATTGGTCCATATAAGTACTTAGAAGAATAAAGTGATGCCTACTGAAATTGAAGAAAGTCTTACTGGACCTGATCTTGAAGGTCCTAGACCTAGGGGATCTATTCTGCAAGCTATGCATTGATAAATTACGTAGATTCCTGAGAAAGGAAAAGATTTGGCACCCAACCATCCCAACTCGAATCAAGACCAGGAAATTCTTCTGGAAAAACCTATTTATGGCACCCTGATCAGGACAGGGATCAGAAAGGGCAAGATGGTGGCTGTGTAACAATCTGAACTGTTGATCTGCAATTACAAAATTGTTTGATTAGTAGGCATTTTGTTAGTGAAGGAGGAGGAGGAGGAAGAAGAAAGAAGGAAGTAGAAATTAAGTTCTCTTGATGCCTATAATCACCGTTTGAGCATCATCTTCAAACACTTCTCGGGCTTCTTCAAAATTGCATTTTTCCTCAAGGCATTCTCGTTCAAGATTCCCTTGAAGAAACTCTTCAAAGTGTCCAGTGTTATATCTTCTGTATCGGTGCAAGACAGAGCTTGCCTTTTGCTGATTAATAAAAACTACAGTGAGAAAAATAATGAGAGGTGATAGACACAAATGTTCTCTAGGTGAACACCCCAAAAATATCAAAAGACATTTGAGGTTTTCCAGTTTTGCTTCATAACTGTCATCCTGTTTTTTGTATATTGTTTTATCCAAAAGAACCATGCAGCCTCTTTCACACTAGCTTAGAACGGAATTCAAAAAAAGAAAATACTTAATTGGCAATATGACTACCTAATATTTTTATTTTGTTTAGCCTAACATTCACAGGAGGACTATAGATTTGTCTTTATTGAGACAAGGAACATCTTCAAACCGTATTATTTAGTTGCAAATTTCACTGATTAATATCAAAAGACTAAACTATGAAATGCAGTTGATAAAATCAAAGGCAGCTCTGCAATCTTTCACCACCTTCCCCAGGAAGATAATAATTAAACTTCCAATTTGGACTAGTGATTTTTATTGCTAGTTATCAATAGAAGAGATTTCCACAGTGGCTTGGTAATCCTTATCAACAGCAATAGTAACATAGAATACCCTAAAATGAACAGAAGGAATTCACAGAAATTTATGAAGGCTGTAATTTAGCCTTTTTGAATTAACATTTTCAGCAAATAGAATACCAATGCATTGGGATTCATTGCAGTGTAAACTCCTTATAAAAAATCCAAATTCTATTTGAAATATACATTTGGGACGACTAATTCCATTATTATAAATGTTATTCTCATTTTTTAAATTGGTATTTGTTCGTATAACAGCATGTTTTAATAATCTGTTTCTTTTTCCATTTTTATTTCCCAAATCTACACTTTATGGGTTGGATATGCAAAGGCCACATAAATCAAATAAGTAGAAAAGGTTTAGGGTTGCAAATCTAATTTATACACGGTGACTTGGGAGCAAGTTCCATTTAAGCAACTATGCATAAAGTTGCAGTTGCAATGAAAGGGCGTTGTTTTGTCTATCCGATATCTGTGCTGTCTTTAGAAGCTTTAAGCTAAACTCATTTCCAGTGGCTTCTTCCTTAATTGATGACCGAACCAGGCTTTCATCTTCAGCCGAAAGAAACTTAGCTGAAAAGGGAACCAACCTGCACAGTCCGAGAGGCATCCCAGCAATCCGAGGATCAAGGCAAAGCAGCGGTGAGCCATTTTCTTTCAACTTCAGACCAGCTTTGCTAATGTCACATGAATGGGCACCTCTGGATCATTCGTTCCAAAGTGCAAGTACATATTTGTTTTGAGCTTAACACAGAGGTCATCTTTTCCCTCAAGGTCCTTCCGTGGGCTTTTCCAGTTGCATAACATCAGTCTAAACAAGATGCATTAGCTTCTGTAGGACATCACCCTGCTAAAAGGGATTTTTAAAAGGGGTTTTCCCATCCAGTCATGCCCATGAAGACTATACGGGTCAATAACTGGTTCTCCCATTTCATAAGCATGTTGATGGACATCCCAAAGGTGCTTTTTAAAAAAAGACAACTGGACTTTCTTGGTTTGTTTCTTTGAAAATGTTTCACTTCTCATCCCAGAAGCGAAGAAGCCAAACATTTTCAAAGAAAAAAAATCAAGAAAATCCAGTTTTGAAAAAAGCACCTTGGGGACAACCATATCCTGGACGATTGAGAATCTCCATAGACAGGTTGATGGACCTATTCTACCATTTGATTGTGGTATAGGAGGAGGGTGGGAACTGAAGACCAAAACTTCTGAAAGACAGCGAGTTCCCTTATATCTAGCTCATGTTTCTCGGTGATTTGCACTAATTCAGTTAAAGTAATCTTGGCCTAGCACTCTCCAAACAAAAATAAATAAATGCAAAACCAGCTTTGAGAGGTCTCTATTCATAAGCCCTTTCCCTTGTTGAATGATACCAAGGCAGCTAAAAGATGAGTAAATACTGTGAGTAATTAATCAAGCTGGCAGATCCTGCTGGCATGCTAATTATGTTCTCAATGGTTAAAAAAGCACTTAAATGTATTTTAAGTCTGGGCAGCATTAACCGAAGCATTGTATCCAGATCACTACAAATTCCGTTGTAGTCCGTGATTGTTGGAATGCACTTGGAGGCTGGGATCCAGGTCCTCTAAAAAGGGTACAGCGAAGTCAAAAGTTATTAGGAAGTCTGGAACCCAAGGCCTATGAGGAACAGCTGAGGTCATTGGGATATTTAGTATATAAAAGAGAAGAGTGCCTGTGTTGCAAAGAAATATTTATTTTTATTCATTTCATCTCTCAGTGTTTTGTTTTGAGAATTCAGATGGATGGATGGAATTCTAATGATAATATAATATATTCTATATTCTAGAACATAGAATATCAGAGGTGGAAGGGACCTTGGAGGTCTTCTAGTCCAACCCCCTGCTCAAGCAGGAGACCCTATATCATTTCAGACAAGTGGCTGTCCAGTCTCTTCTTAAAAACCTCCCGTGTTGGAGCACCCACAGCTTCTGAAGGCAAGCCGTTCTACTGATTGATTGTTCTCAGTGATAGGAAATTTTTATTTGGTTCTTGAAAGACCAAACAAAAGTTTCTTTGTTGATTCATTTTTAGTTATATAAGCATATCCAAGCATGTTTTTTCTGGTAAGCAGTATTCTTGATTTGTTTCTGGTTTCTTTCAAGATAATTTGATTTCTGGCCTCAGCAATTGACAACTACAATGAATCAAGCCAAAAAAATAAGATTTGATGTAGGATAATGGTGCCAATGAAAGGGATCTGGAATGAAAGGGTAACACAATGTAAGCAGGAAAAATAGATATAGTCTCAAGTAATAAAAGAGGAAGATGCCAACTGAAATCCAAGGATGGACAACAGATGGCCCTTCCATCCATCCACTACTAAACGTGATTATCTTGACTGCCTGTTCTGGTTCCTGTCCTTGAGTCCTTTCCAATTTCATATTGCAAACTTTTTAGATCAGATTCAGAAACTCTGAGCAGTTTTTTGGTCAAAAGTGGGTCAGGTTTCATTCTCCTTGGTGGTACTAGGGAACTCATAGCAATTTGTTCTAATCAAGAGCTGATGAAGCAGTTTGCAGTCAGACAAAAATTCCTCCTAAACATCTCCTTCAGCGCCAGTTGATCTGGACCAATATTTCAAAATATGTTTTGCTTCTCAAATTCTCCTCCAAAGTTGGGACTTCTAACTCTGGCATCCATAATTATGCGATCCATAATCCACCTCCAATGTACACCCACCATATTCTAAATCTGGATTCGTACAACAGTAAAGTTACAGTCCCTGGGCTGATTGAAGTCTTTCCCCTGTGAATTCTTCCCTCTTTCTACGTAATCCTTTTGCAGATTGGGGTGCCTGCTAAGCCAATTCAATGCAGCATGGTGCATGAGTTGAGAGATTGAATATTTCTGGCTTTTTCAATCTCTCAACTCATGCACCATGCTGCATTGAATTGGCTTAGCAGGCACCCAAATCTGCAAAAGGATTACATGGAAAGAGGGAAGAATTGAATTATTTCTGGCTTTTTTTTTTCCTGAGACATTGTTGTTAGGAATTCTTGAAAATAACGTTAGTAAAGAAGATATATATTTATTCACTCATGTGGTTACAGCAGCAAGAATTGTATTCGCTCAAAATTGGAAAGCTACGGCTATACCTAGTGAGGAAATCTTAATTCATAAAATTATGCACTGCGTAGAATTAGATAGGTTAACTAAGAGACTCAAAACTCAGGATGAAATGGATTTTTACCAAATTTGGAATAAATTTTATAGATGGTGAGGGGAAAATATGGAAATCATTGTAATGAGATAAATTAAGATTGAGATTAGAGTGATGTTATTGTAAAGATTTTTTTCTTATATTAGTAGTTAATTGTGAATATGAACTGTGATGTATGTCAAATCTGATTTACCATGTTCAATGTTTTTAATTTTTTGTTATTCAATAAAAAATATTTTAAAAAAAATATTTCTGGCTTTTTCGCTCCTATTACTGTATATTGCAAATGAGTTGCACCGGCTCAGTTTTGAATAACGAAGATCATCCGAGCAGTGAAGCACCTTAGGTACAAAAGGTTAGTGCTTCTCACCAATACAAGGACAAGCAAGAAGGCAAATGAGGAATTCTTATGGAGGTGCAGAAAGACAGGAAGGTGCGTCTTCTTTTCCCCTCCCCCCCCAAAGGTGGCACCTGAGTCTAATTAGCCTGCAGAAAAATGTGTGGTTGTGGGTTTGCTTCAAGACACACGTGCGCACACGCTCATAAAAATCTCACACTGTTTTGTCTGAGTCTCAAGAGTCTCAGCAGGAAGGTAATATAACACCTGTTTTTACACCTGTAACCAGGAACAGATTAAAATCGCACTGCGACAGACACTGCGAATCTCATCAAAAGAGCAAAATGATAAAACCAGGTTCTGGCATGGGCTCATTGTCTCTTCAACGGAGGGGGTTTTTTTTCCTGCCTTCTCAAAATTCCTACCTGTTATGAAGCCTGGCTAACTTCATTGTCCCATAATGCTGCCTTTCAATTATTTACCTCTCTGTGGGTTGTTTTTTCTTTCTCTCTCTATTCAAAAGGGCTCGGCTCTCCCGCCTTCCCGCTTCTTCAGGAAAAAGAAGCAAAAGGTTCATATTCTTCACATCACCAGCTCTGTCGTCCTCCTTGAATGGACAGCAGAACTAGAAGAGGGAAGATATGGAGCAAAAAGTTATTCTTAATCCCCTCGTTGTATCCCAATAAATCTTAGCCTTCTTACCTGGAGGAAGATGTTGGAAAGAACATGGAGAAGAGCTAAACCTTCTGCCACACAGAAGGCTTTGTGAGTATACACAACACAGTGAATTGAAAACAGGATCACTGATGATGTTACCTAGTTTGGGTAATGAAATGTCTGCAAGAAAACAACCAAACTCAGAGAGCTCCAAGGACCCATAGTCGTCTTCCTCCTCCTCCTCCTCCTCCTCCTCCTCCTCCTCCTCCTCCTCCAAACAGACAACAGTCTTTCCAGAATCTTTTTTTTTTCAGAATGTTTTCCCGAGGGTCAGCCCCGAAATTGGCTGGGCAGTCTCAGCATTGAAATCCCCACCAATGTTTTCCCCCATTGCAGAGTGGAGGTGAGTGGCGGACAGTGATTAAAAAAACACAATAAACAAAACCTTCCTAGAGTTTTCTGCATCACTCAGGCATGCAGAAAATGATGTTTGTAGATATTGGTGGCCAATGTTACCATACATAGACAGATTTAAATAACAGCAGTGGGCTATTTATAGCATCGCTGCAGGCACCTTTCCAACATATCACTCCCACCCCGGCATCCTTGTCTGTTGTTAAATAGCTTATCAAAATTAAATAAATAACAGCCACAGCAACTGCTGGAAAATGAGGTTTCTCCTCTTGGTTTCCATGACATCCAGTCCATTGTCTTTCACATCCCAGATGGAATTACAGACCAGCCTGTGGGACAGAGAGAGTTTCTTGGCCATTCCTAGGGTTGAAATGGTTTATATTGCAACCTCAGGATGAGTGCCTTTTGTTTAAAACACCCTCCCAGGTTTCCCCTCCCCCAAATAATGTTTATAGATCTTTTTTTGTTTTAAGAAGCTCTTGCCTATTTTTAGAAGTAGTGGCTCAGTTGAAGCCAACACTGTTACAGAAGTGAACTGGATCCCCCACTGGGGAAATCTGAGATTTCTTTGGGATGATCACAGTGCAAAGCTGGTTAATTAATCCGGTACCTCTAATCAAATCTGGAAAACACTGCATTTACGTAAAAGAAAGAGCACTTCTACCTACTCCCACCTCCATCAAATAATTTAATAATAACTGCCACCAGTTTGTCGAAGGTACAGTAGATGTGGCTCACTCAACAAAGAAGGAGACCAAATCAATAGCTCATCAGCATGCAACACTCAGATGAGCAGAGATTAACAGGAAGATTAACATTAGACCAATAATCAAGCAGGGAACAATACCCCAATTAAGGACCTACCAACTCTGACAAACCACCAAGCAAGAAATCATAGCTAATAAAGGAACCAGCAAGAACATTCTCACCAACACTCAGGGCAAGCCACTGGTGTATAAGTAGAAAACAAACCCCACTCGCTTCTAACACTGATGTCACCATGAAATGTCTGCAAGAAAGTCACCAAGTTCAGAGAGCACCAAGGACCCCACACTCCTCCTTCTCTCCACAAAACCTACTCCTTTCTAGCACCGATGATGTTACCTAGTTGGATACTGAAACATCTTCAAAAAAGCCACCTCAGAGAGCACCAAGGGCCCCACAGTCCTCCTCCTCCTCCTCCTCCTCCTCCTCCTCCTCCTCCTTCTCCTCCTCCACCTCCACCTCCACCTCCTCCTCTCCACAAAAACCATTCCCTTCTAGCACTGGTGATGTCACCTAGTTGGGCCATGAAATGTCTGCAAGTAGACCACCAAGCTCAGAGCATCAAGGACCCCACTTTCAAATCATCTGAGGACATAAAGAAGGCCACAGGGGCAGAGAGTCAGAAAGGAAATGTTTACTACATCACAAGAGTTCTTACAGCTGAGAAATAAGTGTTTGTTTAAGCTCAGCACATGGAGGCTGAGACAGCCAAGGGACCATGTTGTGACAAATCAATGATACAAATTCCTTGGATTTTCAGAGCAAAGAATAAACACCAGCTGCGTGGGGTGAAGGAAGATGGTTGTTCCAATCAACTCCCGGGGGAGCTCTTTAGCACACCTCAAGCAATTATGGGTCAGCAAAGCTTAGATTAAACTGGATTTCCCTGCTGTGGATTTAAAAAAGATTTCCTTCCCATTCTTAAGAGATTAATCGGAGCTTTTTGGAAACAGTCTTCCAGAGCTGTGCTTTGAATTGTCCAAGGTAGATATGACCCACACACCATCCTTCTAACATTTTGCAGAGGCTTATGGAGATGTGCTTGCAACAGTCCCAAACTTTTAACAAATTAACATTCCAAGTCTTCCTTGTCAGACTTCGATGTTCCTATCATGTACTTGTAGAACATCAAGTACTTGGGAAGGCCACACTTGGAATCCTGTGTCCAGTTTTGGTCACCATGATACAAGAAAGATATTGAGACTATAGAAAGGGTGCAAAGAAGAGCAACAAAGATGATCAGGGACTGGAGGCTAAAACATATAAGGAACGGTTGCTGGAATTGGGTATGACTACTTTAATGAAAAGAAGGACCAGGGGTGACATGATAGCAGTGTTCCAATATCTCAGGGGCTGCCCCAAAGAAGAGGAAGTCAAGCTATTCTCCAAAGCACCAGAAGGCAGGACAAGAAGCAACCGATAGAAAATAATCAAAGACAGAAGCAACCTAAAAGTAAAGAGAAATTTCCTAACAGTGAGAACAATTAACAGTGGAACAAGTTGCCTCCAGATGTTGTGGCTGCTCCAACACTGGAAGTTTTTAAAAAGAGATTGGACTTTGTCTGAAATGGTGTAGGGTTTTCTGCCTGAGCAAGGAGTTGGACTATCGTAGAAGACTTCCAAGGCCCCTTCCAACTGTTATACTTTATAAAACATTGATTAAAGATGGGTGAATGTATTGATTTCAGTGTCTCTTTTTCTTGCAGGCCTATCCATTTTAGCTTCTGGCTCTTTCTTCTTTTTCCCTTCATTCCTACATTTGCCTTCCATATTTCAATGTATACATTTCCACAGTGAAATACCCTACCCTTCCACAAGCAAACTTCATTCACTCCCAAATCTATGGGGTGCATGCTGTTTTCAGAGAATAAAAAAAGAAGTAAAGGAGTCTTTGCGGTTTTCAGTCCGCTAATCATTGCTGACTATAGGTGGTGCTTATCTCCAGCGCTGTCCAAAAACATTTCCACGGTCACGTGGCCAGCATGATGTCACAGAGCATTGTTACCAAAGTGGTACCTATTTGTCTAGTCCAGGGGTAGGCAACCTTGGCTCTTTTATGGCTCGTGGACTTCAACTCCCAGAATTCCTGAGCCAGGAATTCTGGGAGTTGAAGTCCACAAGCCATAGAAAAGCCAAGATTGCCTACCCCTGGACTAGTCACATCTGTAATGCTTTCAAACTGCTAGATGGGCAGGAGCTGAGGCAAGGACGGGAGCTCACCCCTGTCTGTGGTGCTTGGGTCTCAAACCTGGGTTGCCTGCTCTCCAGCCAATAAGCCACCTTTTCTGCTCTTTTGGAGAATAGAATTGCTTTTAAAAGACCAAATAGAATCCTATTTCTGTGTCTCACGTACATCAGAAGACTTTTGCTTGACTTGTCAGTTCCTAAAAAATTCAACGGAATTTAAATTGCTCTGATTTGCCGGCACTAGCCGGCAGGGTGTTGCTTCTCAATCTGTTAAATATTTTGTTACAGCAGTGCCAGGGAATGTTGTAATGAAAAAGAGATAGTAATGAGACAAATGGAGTAGTTGTGTAACGATTTATTAACTGAAGGAAGGGAAAGTTCTTTTACTGGGAGCCAAGTGAGAATTTTTGAAAGGGTTGTAGGAGACCGAGAACTAAGGAAAAACTTCCTGACAGTGAGAACAATTAACGAGTGGAACTTCTTGCCTCCAGAAGTTATGAGTGCTCCATCATTGGAGGTTTTTAAGAAGAGCTTGGACAACCATTTATCTGAAACAGTTATAGGGTCTCCTGCTTTGGCAGGGGGTTGGACTAGATGACCTCCAAGGTCCCTTCCAACTACATTATTCTGGTATTTTGTTATGATCACAGAGCATAGAATGGTGGAGTTGGAAGGGCCCACAAAAATCATCCAGTCTAGTCTTTCCCAACCTTGTGTGTGGACTTCAGTTCCTAGAATAGCCCATCCATTTTTTCTTTGTTCCTCCTCTTCTGCAGCTACCAAGCATAAATTCACAAACTTCCATACGAACGAGAAAAGAACTTTATTTTTTTTTAAAAAAAAATATGTGGGAAATATACCAACCAAATGAAGCCAATGTGTTAATTTCAGTCTTTGTCCATTTTCCCTCCAGGATTTATCACTGAACTCTCTTTTTAGTAACTTCACACTAAAGGGGTGTACATTCTTTTAATCATGTGGTACATTTTGGCCATATTCTCCCAAAACCTGCATTTTGGCGATAAGGATTGTTGTTGAAATTTGCATTTGGGAAGTCAGAGAAATGCGATTTCAAACGACTGCGGGTGGATTCTGCTTCTCGGCCTACAGACAAGTCTCTGCTCCTTGTGAATGCTTGCAATGCCTTTAGTTTTTAAACTGGAGGAGGAGAAAAATCACCCCACCTTTTCCCTCCAGGATTTGCAGTCTTCACAAGGATCTGGCTGGTTCCAAGAATGAGCCTGGATCATCACAAGCCTCCCCAACCTCTAAATTCCTTCCCTGCCAATATGTTTGGCATACACCTGTTGGCAAGTTCGCCTGTCTGCGTCACACATGGGGTTGGATTACAGTCAGGAATTGACCAAGATTTGTTGCCTCTTAACCCTTGGCAGATGTAGCTCTGGTTATTTCTCTGAGTCAGAGAAAAGGTTTGGACTGGGGGAGGGGGCGCATTTTCAGAGGGGCATTTCCTATGGAGGGGATCTTCCTCCACCACCAAGTAGAGGGATAGTTTACTGCAGTCTGAAGACCCAAAAGTGTCTCTGGATCCAAAAGTGCCAATGGTCTGGGCACCCGATCCCTGGCCAGACAATCTTGGCCAAAACACAGATTTCTTCAAATCCCGGTCCTTCTGATGATGATGGTTTATTTTGAGCCTTTGGTTTTTGAAGCCTGTTAACATCACCTGTTGGAAACGGGAGGGCTGTTCTAGCTGAGATAAAGCTGGAATTTCGGAGAGTTCCTGCTGCTGCCTCAAATGCCTAGCGGAACGATGGGGGACGAGTCTGTGAAAAATAATGTCGTAAGTGAGAATGACGATGACTAGCATCTAGAAGAAAAAAAAAGACAAGGCCTGAGGTTTGTCTCTCTTTCGCTGTCTGTACCTCCCCAGTGTATTCCGAGTGCTTGAAGAGGTTGCCTTGAAGCTGTAAAATGAGACGATCGCAGCTGCTCTTCCAGGCACCTTCTGGCAGGGCAATTCTGGAAGCCAAAACAGCTTGGAGAATTCTGTTTCGCTAAAAATAACAGGAAGAAGCACCCTGTGAGTAGTCACTTCTTTGCCTGGAAGCAACAGGTCTCCAGATTGGACCCCCCAACCCTTCACCAATTTGGGGAAGAGAACAAAGCTTCCATCCCATCGTTCTTCTCGGCGGCCTCCTGAACTGGAGATTGCTGGGATTATTTTCTGCAGCCCAAATCTCAGGGGAAGCCAGGAGGCGATATTGAAGATCCAGGGTTGATGCTTCTTGTATTCATGGACAACGAGCCAGAAAGAAGCGTGGCATGGATTAATCCAGGATTTTTCTAAAACCTACGGTGGTCTTTGAGAACAAAGACTAGCCTCACAACTTTCAGCTCTCCTCTTTCTCTGATTAAGGTAGGTGGCAGCAATAATTAAGAGGGTGGGGGCAATTGGACATCTCCTTATAGTGTGAAAGAGTCCCGTGATTATAATTTCAACGGATGGAAGCCAGCTCCATAACGGGAACTCTTAAGTTACATTTCCCCTATGCAATCAGAACATTTGATCATGAAGGTCATCTTGAGTTGGACAACCACATAAATTTGTTTAATAAGTTTAGCACCCAGAAAGAGGAAGAACCTCTCCCTATTTACTTTCTCCAAACTTGGCTTCTTGGTCTCTTCATCTTTTTCCCTCAAAGCAGAAAGGATGCTTTTCTTTTGAAAGGAAAGAGTCTCAACCCACCTTCTTTAGTTCTTTCTCACAAATATTTAGCCTCCTTTGTCCCTCAGTTTTCCCAAGGGAACAGCCCTAGCCTTCCTAGTGTTTGTCAACAATAACCCTACTCAGGCAGTAAAAATAATACATGACCATATTGGAAAACTCTGCAAAACTGGAGAACGGCCAGCAACGAGAAGATGAGAGTTTGCTATCTCTTGACGCCCTTTTGCCTGAAATTCTGAGAACGTCTATCTACCTTTTTGAAAATATAAATCCTTCCAGAAATATTTCTTGCATTCTTCCTGCATTGGAGATTTGGGCTTTCTGGTTAAGCAAGACACATCTGTCTTGGCTGTCTTATATCTTCTGAGGAGCAAATTAAGCTTAAAACCATAATAATATGGTTACTTGTTTTTTTGTGTGTGTGTGTTTTTTTTTTTTGTATTTTTAAACTCTCCTCCAATAAAGGAAAATATTTGAAATGAGGGGTGCTTGGTGCTCTCTGAGCTTGCTTGTTTTCTTGTAGATGTTTCATTACCCAAACTAGGAAACATCACTAGTCATTAGCACATGATGTTACCTAGTTTGGGTCATGAAACGTCTGCAAGAAAACAAGCAAGCTCAGAGAGCACCAAGGACCCCTCAAACTCTCTTCCGGCTCAGGGTTGAGAATCCCCTCCAACTAATTTTATCCTCAAAACAGCCCTGAATAATCTGTGGTTAGTCAAAGGGTTCTGATTGCTTTCATCGCAAAACATCTGTGCTGGGAGTCAGATCAACAGGTCCTTGTGGACAATGGTATATCCAGCTATGTTTAGATACTGAATTATCAGTGAGAGAACGACTGAAGAAAATACTTAGCCATAACAAGCAGTGTGGTACAACTCTTCAGTTTTCATTCCTGTATAATGTACAGGGAGTAATGACTCTTCTTGAAACTCAGTATGAATATTTAGATCACAAGATGGTTGAATTACAGCCAGCTTGGAGCCAAAGTCAATGTGGTGTTTGGGGAGGGAGGGAGGGAGGGAGGGAGGGAGGGAGGGAGGGAGGAAAAGTCCAGATTTCCAAAAGTCAGCATCAAGAAAGGCATAATCTTATATCTTCTTTTCCTACTGTAGAAGAAATCCTCGGAAGTGTATCAGGTTATCCTGACATACGGAGGTGGACATATGTTATTAAACTGCAAAACCAAATTTATAACTGGAGGAAGGGAGGTTGCATGTTCGTGCTGATTTGTAGGCACCACAGCTCCACAGCTTCATATCAGCTGCCCCCAAAAGTCCAGATGGACAAGGTGACCTTCCCTGAAACAGAGGCCCACCATCAAAAGCTGTAATGAAGCCCTCAAAGGCTCAGGTGTGGTCTTTGGTGGCTTCCAGAACTCTTCCTGAATGGCAAAGAAAGCTATTAAACACATGCATAAAGAGGAATTTGATTAACTATATTTAATTTGAATTAAGCATCAAGCCACATGAAATCCACTGTTGTTTTTCCCCCTGGCGCCAGCTGTCCCTTTTGAGAATATGGCTTTCAACACATCATTTAAGGACACATCACACCACTCAATCCAGATCACATTGCACCCTCTGCCCTTGAAAACAGTTTAGCCTATCCCCAAATTTGAGGAGAATCAGGACTGTCCCTTTCCCATTGGACAAAGATGGGAAGACCAAGATGAAGCTCTTCCTCCTGTGAAATTCCTGGAGAGCCAACAGAAGAAATTTCTCTACCATCCTTGGAAATCTTTCAAGATGATGTTCCTACTTTTCTTGGCTGATTTGGAAAAACAGAGTTGGTTATACTTAGGTGGAATATACCAGAACATTTCAGAAGTCTAGACTGGGATGTTGAAAATTATCCTGGAAGAAGATTGTATTGTATTGCCCCAAAGGTGCTATTCTCAAAAGGCATTTTCCTGGAAGACATTTCGCTTCTCATCCAAGAAGCTTCGTCCGAGAAGAGAAATGTCTTCCAGGAAAACAACAAGAAAGTCCAATTGCTTTTCCAAAGAGCATCTTTCAGACAACCACGCTCTGCATGACTGAGAATCTCCATAGACATTATATTATTGCCAAGAGAATTTTATGGATCTTCCTATGTATTTTTACTTTCATGGAAGAATGGAAGATAAAATTGTGTGTCATTTATTCCTCTGTTCCCACCCATCCATTAGCTAGTGGTCACTGATGGATTTCTTTGCTCAAAATAACACAATAACAAAGTTGGAAGGGATCTTGGAAGTCTTCTAGTCCAACCCCCTGCTCAGGCAGGAAGCCCTATACCATTTCAGACAAATTGGTTGTCCAATCTCTTCTTAAAAACCTCCACCCACAACTTCTGGAGGCAAATGGTTCCACTGGTTCATTGTTCTCACTGTCAGGAAATTTCTCCTTAGTTCTAGGTTGCTTCTCTCCTTGATTAGTTTCCATCTGTTGCTCCTTGTCCTGCCTTCAGGTGCTTTGGAGATTAGGCTGACCCCCTCTTCTTTGTGGGAGCCCCTCAAATATTGAAACCCTGCTCCTTTGTTCCTCCTCCATTCCTCCAACTGCATCAGGAAGGACTTCATACGCCACTGCCTTTCCTGTTTGAGACTACAATCCCACTTGGCTCTGGGTCCCAAACTGGAGAGCTTTGCCCCAACATCTCCTTTAATCTTTCCTTGAGATTCCTGGTTTTGGGAACTCAGCAAGTTCTCTTCCTGTGGAGTACAACCCACCCCCTGCCCCCCTTTCTCCTGGGGGACTTCTTTAGACTTTCCAAAGGGAAGGGGGGAGGAACAATCCCAGCCAGGCGATCCTAGCCAGCTGTCTGCCACATCATCCCTCCAGTCCAGATCATCCAACCTGGGTGGCTGGAGTAGGGCCAGAAGACAGGGGCGTGCCATGCCTTCCAGAAGCCTTTGAGGGTGGGTTCCTCTGCCAAAGCTCTGTTGGGCTTGGGAACCTGGCCGAAGGGCTGCCGGTCTTTGCTGCTTCCTGAGAAAAGGGGGTTGGTGAGGAGGAGGAGGTGGAGGAAGAGCATTTCTTCCAGCAAAAAACACCGGGGGGCTGGGGGGGTGCGCGGAGGGAAGGGAGGGTCGAGATCCAGCGTTTGTCTCCTGCAAATCTCCAAGGGGACAGAGAAATCTGGCAAAGGTGCAGGAAGCACAAATCCCCTTTCATCCTTCCCCAAAGGGAAGGGGGTGGGAAGAAGGCAGCCGCCCCCCCCCGCCCCGTCCTCTCCCTCCCCACCCACCCCCAAGCAGCGGTCACCAAGCCCTCCAAGCTTCCGTGGTGGTATTGGGCGCATTCTTCGGCATCCGCCACCGTAGGAACCAGGCAGCCAGTCAGGTCCCGGTTTGATCCGTGATTTATTCCTCGCTCTCTTCTCTCTCTCGCTCGCCCCCCCCTTCTAGGGTTTCCCTCCTCTTCAACCCTCCTCCCCCCCGATCTACGAGAGAAGGAAAAGAGCCACAACAAAGGGGAAAAGAAAAAGGACCAAAGAAAAGGAAGAGGGGAGAAAAAAGCCCCATCCATCCATCCATCCATCCATCTCTCTCTGTGTGCGCGCGCGTCTCTCTTATTCCCTGATTTCTTGGAAACCTGGTTCGCTCTGCCACGCGGTATCCTGGGGGATCTTTACAACCAAACTGGGATCTATGAGCGGGAAGGTGATCAAGCCGAAGGAAGACAAAGATGCTTCTAAAGGTAAGGATCTCGGCTCGGAAAGAGTCTTCCTTTACATCCTTCCCGCTCTTCTTTCTCGCCCTTCTCCATCCATCCCTCCATCCCTCCAGCTGTCTGAATGTCCTTCAGTTTTTCCCCCCAAAACCTCTTCTCTTTCCATCTTCCTGGCTTGGCTAAACTTTGGGGGGGGGGGAATGAGGGAAGGAAGGGATGGGGGAGAAGTGGCATGTCAGCCCCATAGCTCACCCTTCCCTTTTTCACCTCCTCCTCCTCCTCCTCTTCCTTCTCCTCAGCCTTTGCGTTTGGGGGGGGGGGTTGTTTGTTTCCCAGCTCCTCAACCTTCTCCTGCCCTCCACCTCACTGCCTCCCCATCCCAGCCCCTGGAAGAAGGGAGGGGGGAAACTAACCTATTTACACCCCCCCTGCCCCACCCCCGTAAAAGAGAGACCTCCTATAATACTGCAGTCTTCCCTTGTACTTCCCTTTTGTGTGTGAGAGAGAGAGCATGGTGTTCCACAAGGCTGTCTCCTTGCACGGCTGGGGCTTCAGACCTTTCCCATCGCTAGGAGGAGGGGTGTGAGAGAGGAGGGAGGTGTGAGAAACAGAAAGCAAAGCCCACTTTGGGGATCTTTGCAAGGAGGAACCCAAGAGGGGTCTGTAATGTAGCCTATACGAGGAGGGGGAAGCCACAGGAATTGGGGCTGCTTTGTTAAAATAAAAAGACAACACTGGTTTTTTTTCCCGGGGTTGAGTCAGAAGCAAGAAGGAACATTCTGTGCTCCTCTTGACTGCCGTACTTCCACCTGATAGACACCTGAAGGCATCTGTAGAGTTAGGAAGTAGCACCTTAGCTCTCATCCTCTCCTGAAGCTTGGGCTAGGGGCGTCTTCTCCTGCCCAGCTTCAAAGCCCCTGGACCCACCATATCTACTGGCCCAAGGAGATATGGTCCCTCTCTCTGTTCAAGGAAAAACAATAGAGTCCTTAGGATCGCCTGAAGACTGATGGGGTTGTCTCCTTTGCTCAAGCTGCAATGGATAGGGAAGGAATGTCCTAGCAGGGTGCCATTGAGCTTTCCCATCCCCCCTCCCAAGAGTAGAACTTGGTTTCCTATGTTGGAATAATGTGGGCATCCGGTTCTGGGCACTGCATTGGTGGTGCTGGTGGTGTCTGCAGAAAGCTAAGGCGCAAAAATCTTACTAAGGTTCACAATCGAAGGAGGAGAGGTGCTTTGCTCCAGGTTTCTTGCAAATATTTTTCTCTTGCTTCTGAATATGTAAACTGGGCAACAATTGTTATGGAGACGGAAGGGGGGAGGTGGAAGAGGTGGATGTAGAGGAGGAAGAGGAAGCTGGATGGTTCCATGGACAGCTCTGTAGCCTTCTTCTTACGATTCTGTCTGGCCACCTCTGGATTTGTCCAGTGGAAAGGGGCAGACAAAATCCAGATGTCTGGAAGGTTCCTCCCCTTTTCAGAGGTGTGGGGGGCAGACAGCATCAAAAGAGGCTTTCTACACGATCGTCTCACCTCGGCCAGGTTGGTGCAAGGTCTCTATTGTCGCCTCTTTGGTGAATTCAACCCATCGAGAAATTCTCTCCCCTTTCCTCTAATGCTGCAAAAGTGATATAAATCTGTGTTAAAGGTTTGATCTTCAGCATCCATCCTAGTTATGATGTTTGTACTGGGCACCAACCTGAATGTCTCCGCCGAGACAGGAAGGGCGGTTGAGTGAATGGCCCCCCCCCTTTTCCCAGGTAAATCAGGGCCTAAGAAAAGAGGCTTTGTGATCTGAGCACTATAGTGTTGAAAACCAAGGAGGGGGTAGGTGGGATTAAATTGCTTTGTTCCTCTTGTATGAGCCCTTCTCCAGTGAGGTGACCACCAAGTGGTTGGATTCAAACTCTCTTGGTGCCCAGCTCTGCCAGAAAAGACAGGAGGACTCCTGACTATGGACACCAGCACAGCTGCTTCAGTCATTTGAAACCCCCCACAATGGGCTTCAGTCCTTTAGCGCTGGGGGTGGGCTTCCTAGAAGCCATCTTTTTCCTGATAAACTTTCTGCTTTTGTTAGACAAAGGGAAACAGGCAGGAGAGGCGTAAATCCGTCTGGGGTTACAATCCTTGGCATTTTCTTTCCACACACCCTCCCCGCCCAGGTCCATATCATCTGAACAAGTTTGTTCCGTGTGTGTTTGTGTGTGTGTGTGACAGAGAAAGAGAGAAGCTCCTTCAGATGCCTTCTCCCATGTGCCTTTTTTTATTTTTAGACTAAATATTACGTTCCAACAGGGCAATTTTGATTTGCAGAGACCGGTTCGGCCTCAGTACACGTCATTCTTGGCGAAGCGATCCGTGCGCTACCTTCTTTTGTTCTTGAGATGCGTTCATGATAGGCATGTGCATTTATAAGCTTTGTGTTTCTGAAGGGGGGCCAGGGTGTTGCTGTGGGAAGCTGTGTGGTGGTCGGTTCCAGCCATTTCCAGACTCCATTCGATGGTTTTTATTGCACCAATAAAGGAGAATATTTGTAGCTCAGGGTTGAAATGAGGGGTCCTCAGTGCTCTCTGAGTTGGTTATTTTCTTGCAGACCTTTCATGATCCAAACTAGGTAACATCATCAGTGCTAGCTAGGTTTTTATCGACTCCTTTGAGGCAGAAGAAGGAAGGTGTCTATCCTCATGTGACGATTCTACCAGTGTTTTGCGTTTTGGGGTTCAACCGTCTTTTTGAATCCTGCTCATTTTTCATGCTGGTTAATAGAAGGGGTTGAAAAAAATCCATTTGTGTTAAAGTTAGGTTAAAAAAAACCACAAGGCAGACTGCTGGCAGTCTCTTAAGAAACAAGATGATTTGTTGTTTGGGGTGTGGACGTTGATTGGTCTGTCATCAGATGAGTAAAACTACTTATCACTCATTCACACATGATTTGGGAGAGCCGAATGGATAGTTTTGGAAGATGCCCTGATGTATTGTGGAAAATTCAGAAAGCATTTTGATTTTTACTTTTAATATATTTTTATACTTTCTAGTTTTTCAACATTTTTTGGGGGGGGATGTCCTTGGTGCTTTCGGAGCTTGGCTGTTTTCTTGTAGATGTTTCATTACCCAACTAGATAACCTTGTCAGTGCTAGGAGGGAATGGGGTGGGGGGAGAGAGGAGGAGGAGGAGAATGATTGTGGGGTCCTTGGTGCTCTATAACCTTGGTTGTTTTCTTGCAGACATTTCATAACCCAATTAAGTAACATCATCAGTGCTAAGAGAGAGTGGGGTTTACTCTGTTTTATAATTTTTATTTTTAGATTCTGATGTATTTTATGTGCTTTTTAATAGACTGTACCCCACCCTCCTTAGGCTGATCTGTGACTGTAATAAAGATTTGATTGGACTCCAGAAAGCATTGTTTCTGGACGGAAGGTCCTGTATGGTTCCAACTGTGTAGTTATTTTGAATTGTCCTCCCCACGACATGTTTAACACAGAGGCGAAAATGGTAGAAACTTGGAAAAGGTAAGAGAATTCCAAGGGGATCCACCTTGTGGATCTCCTTGTTAAAAACAGGTATATTTTTTTAAAAAAATCTGTGAATGGGGGCAAAAAGATTCGCCTGAAGGTCCCCATAAAGATAAAAGCTCCTTAACAAATCCCAACCAGTTGTGTTTTTATTGTAGCGTCTTTGCTGAAAGACTTGGATTAAACCTTTTTAAGGATCACTCCATCTAGAAAGTTGGGTTGTTGTTGTTGTTATTATTATTATTGTTATTTTGTTTAGATCAGGGTTTGTCACCCTCAGCAAATTTCAGATGTGTGTAGACTTCAGTTCGGGGAGTTGAAGTCCACACATCTGAAATTTGCTGAGGTTGAGAAACACCAGCTCAGATCAATACCACACAACTTTCTTCAGGTCACAGTTTACACTTTGCAAACTTTGCTAGAAGTGGTCTTCCAAGCAGCACCTGAGAACAGGACCCAGAAGTTGAGTCTCCCATCATAGCAGTACAGGTAGTCCTCGACCTTACGGCCACAACTGAGTCCAAAACTTCTGTTGCTAAGTGAAACATTTGTGAATTTCCCCCATTGACTTTGCTTGTCAGAAGGTCACAAAAGGGGATCACGTGACCCCAGGAGGTAAAATCGGGGTCCGCAAATGATATTTACACAAACCTTGTGCCCTCTAAATCTGGGCGGCACCCTTGCCCCAATTAGGAAGCAACAGGCGAATGTTGTGGTTCACCTCAAATAAGCCAAAGTAAGTTTTAAAAGTTAAAAAAACAAACTTCGTATGTCAAATCCAGAGACTAAAACATGTGAAGAACGGATGCAGGATTTGGGTATGTCCAGTCTAGAGAAAAGGAGAAGTAGTGGGGACATGATACAAGTCTTCCAGTATTTGAAGGGCTGCCACAAAGAAGAGGAAGGGGTCAACCCATTCTCCAAAGCACCTGAAGGTAAGACAAGAAGCAACAGATGGAAACTAATCAAGGAGAGAAGCAACCTGGAATTATGAAAAAACTTCCTGACAGTGAGAACAATCAACCAGTGGAACAGTTTGTTTTGAGAAGCTGTGCGTGCTCCAATACTGGAGGCTTTTTAAAAGGGACTGGACAATCCTTTGCTTGAAATGGTATAGGGTCTCCTGCTTGAACAGGGGGTTGGACTAGAAGATCTCCACACCCCTTCCAGCTCTATTCTGACAGAAAGGAGAAATCCTTGCTCCATCTAGTTGGTAACAGGAAGCCATTGTGAGCCTTCTTTACAATTCCGCATTTGGTCCTTCGAAACAAAGCTTAGAATGAAGAACCCAGTTTTAAGAAACAAAAGCCTTGTTCAGCACCATTTAAAAGGCACCAAATCACGCATAAATAGTAAAATTTCCTGCCAGAAAATACGATGGTTGGTCTGGATGGTAGTCAAGCCAACCACATACATCCAGCAGGAGTTTTAGTAATTGTGCATGAGAGCGTATGAACAGATCTTCCACGAAAAGCCACAGTTTTTCTCCACCTATTGTTGCAAAGATAGCCA